TAGGGCCTACATAAAGCTGTCCCAACAGCAGAGCTTTCTTTTCAGCACCATGGAGTAAAATCCTTACCACCACTACACCTGGCAGCGAAACAGTTAATTCAGCCTCATTTACTGCCTTTAAAAAAAACATAGCTGATATGGCTGACTTGCTTAAACAAATGTGGTTTCTACTGACAATTGAGATGTACAAACTATGGCATAAGGGAACAACGAGTGGATAAGCAGCAGTCCGTCATTTCGATTAAGACATTAATGAGCGAGCTAGGACGGACGTAGTCAATATAACTATTTGTTCAGCACTTTTGAAATGTACAGCGACAGAATTCAGAACTTTGTCATCAAAGTTGGCATTTTCTGGATTTATGGTACCTTCAAGACAACTGAGAACTCAGAAAAAAACAAGGTTGAATCATGACGTCAGTGATCTTCAGGTCGGAGCTCTAGAAAGAGGCCCGAGTTCCCGACTTGGAATTCGATGACTTTGAAAACGATTGTCATGGGTGATGTGAAAATGTATTTGTTGTTGGTTTGCGGGGTTTTTGAGCTACTTCTTAATTGCCATCGTAGCTGCCATGGCATTTCTCTTTAAAGCTTTTTTTTATTCCACTGGATAGCAGGCTAGTGATTGCTTTGCAACGGTTGCAGTTAGCCACTGATTCCTTCCAAACCACTCACTGTTGAATTTGTGATTTTTATGTCCAATGGTCGATGAGTGCCGATACATTTAATCTATAATCCTCTTCATATGAGAAGGATTGAAAAGGATTTGCCAGTAGATTGTCGACTAGATTCATGAAGATGACTGCTTGTCTAGCTTGCTAGCTAAGATTTTGAAACTATGATGTTGACATGATCAGTCCAATCAAAGCTACGGTAGATATAACGTGATTTGACTTCATTTTATCTGTGGCCAATGACCTTGAGCCTTCTTGGATGGGCACTTCTAATGTAACTCTATGGCAGCACCCAAGGGGCTTGATTTTTCGAGCTCTCCCTGTAGATTTTGCGGTGACGTAGTATCCCCATGAGTGACAGAACACTCAGCCAATCACGGCGCAACTAGAGAACATTACCAACCCCTATGCTCCGTATTTTCCGCTGGCTGCCCCACCACCACAGAAAGCACTGAGCTAGGCTGAAACACATGCATTTTGGAGCTGCCTTACTCAAGAAAGCAAAAAAGAGACCATGTTTGTATGCGGCTTTATTTGTTTGTATGTGGCTCTGCCCCACCTGCCCTGAATGACGGGTCGCCACTGGTTAAGGAGGAAACCGATGCCTTTGCAGCCTGAATGGAGTATGTTTTATGTACAAACCTTTCGCCGAGGGACAGGAGTGTATTACCGGCTGAGCACATTAAGCTTAGATGATAGGGGAGATCAACAATACAATCATTTCCTGGTGTTTTTACAGTCTATTATGTATAACAATGAAAAGCATTTACAAATATATACACTGAATGTACAAAACATTAAGAACACCTGCTCTTTCCATGATACAGACTGATCAGGTGAATCCAGGTGAAACCTATGACCCCTTATTGATGTCACTTGATAAATCCACTTCAATCAGTGTAGATGAAGGTGGAGGAGACAGGTTAATAAAGGATTTTTAAGCCTTCAGATAACTGAGGCATGTCAAAATATTTCAATGTCTTTGAACGGGGTATGGTAGTAGGTGCCAGGTGCACCGGTTTGTGTCAAGAATTGCAACGCTGCTGGGAGGTGTTCTTAATGTATTTGTAGACTCAGTGTATATACAGTGGGGGAAAAAAGTATTTAGTCAGCCACCAATTGTGCAAGTTCTCCCACTTAAAAATGTTCATCATAGGTACACGTCAACTATGACAGACAAATTGAGATATTTTTTCTCCAGAAAATCACATTGTAGGATTTTAAATGAATATTTGCAAATTATGGTGGAAAATAAGTATTTGGTCACCTACAAACAAGCAAGATTTCTGGCTCTCACAGACCTGTAACTTCTTCTTTAAGAGGCTCCTCTGTCCTCCACTCGTTACCTGTATTTTTGGCACCTGTTTGAACTTGTTATCAGTATAAAAGACACCTGTCCACAACCTCAAACAGTCACACTCCAAACTCCACTATGGCCAAGACCAAAGAGCTGTCAAAGGACACCAGAAACAAAAGTGTAGACCTGCACCAGGCTGGGAAGACTGAATCTGCAATAGGTAAGCAGCTTGGTTTGAAGAAATCAACTGTGGGAGCAATTATTAGGAAATGGAAGACATACAAGACCACTGATAATCTCCCTCGATCTGGGGCTCCACACAAGATCTCACCCCGTGGGGTCTAAATGATCACAAGAACGGTGAGCAAAAATCCCAGAACCACACGGGGGGACCTAGTGAATGACCTGTAGAGAGCTGGGACCAAAGTAACAAAGCCTACCATCAGTAACACACTACGCCGCCAGGGACTCAAATCCTGCAGTGCCAGACGTGTCCCCCTGCTTAAGCCAGTACATGTCCAGGCCCGTCTGAAGTTTGCTAGAGTGCATTTGGATGATCCAGAAGAGGATTGGGAGAATGTCATATGGTCAGATGAAACCAAAATAGAACTTTTTGGTAAAAACTCAACTCGTCGTGTTTGGAGGACAAAGAATGCTGAGTTGCATCCAAAGAACACCATACCTACTGTGAAGCATGGGGGTGGAAACATCATGCTTTGGGGCTGTTTTTCTGCAAAGGGACCAGGACGACTGATCCGTGTAAAGGAAAGAATGAATGGGGCCATGTATCGTGAGATTTTGAGTGAAAACCTCCTTCCATCAGCAAGGGCATTGAAGATGAAACGTGGCTGGGTCTTTCAGCATGACAATGATCCCAAACACACCGCCCGGGCAACGAAGGAGTGGCTTCGTAAGAAGCATTTCAAGGTCCTGGAGTGGCCTAGCCAGTCTCCAGATCTCAACCCCATAGAAAATCTTTGGAGGGAGTTGAAAGTCCGTGTTGCCCAGCGACAGCCCCAAAACATCACTGCTCTAGAGGAGATCTGCATGGAGGAATGGGCCAAAATACCAGCAACAGTGTGTGAAAACCTTGTGAAGACTTACAGAAAACGTTTGACCTGTGTCATTGCCAACAAAGGGTATATAACAAAGTATTGAGAAACTTTTGTTATTGACCAAATACTTATTTTCCACCATAATTTGCAAATAAATTCATTAAAAATCCTACAATGTGATTTTCTGGATATTTTTTTCTCAATTTGTCTGTCATAGTTGACGTGTACCTATGATGAAAATTACAGGCCTCTCTCATCTTTTTAAGTGGGAGAACTTGCACAATTGGTGGCTGACTAAATACTTTTTTTCCCCCACTGTATATAATTTCTTTGTTGTATTTTTTTTTGCTCAGAAAACTTGTGGGGTAAATGTGGCTCACAGGCCACCAGTTGGGGAACCTTGATGTTGGCTATCTATCTGTCATGCGCCAGGTAGGCTAGTCTCGTAGCCTAATCTTGTAATTACCCCTCTCAGAACACCTTACCTTTCACTCATATCTGAGGCAAAATGAGTGAGCGAAGGAGCCATTTCCGTAATTCTTGCAAAAATAAATAGCAAGTAACTGAAAAGAGGTGATTTATTGAATTACTCTACAACAAAAGTAGGTTGTTTTGTAAAGTTCTGTTTGCAAAAGAGGACATTGGTCTCTTTTAGCTGATAATTAACCACCAATATCGATTTTAGACAGAGCTACATCACACAGATAATTTGTCATAAAAAAATTCTGAAACAAAACATCTGAAACATTTTAATCTACTTTTATTTATTGCATAAACATGTCACTCAACACTTCTGTCTCTGCGTTTAATTTCTCGTAAGGTTTTTGAGATGTGTCTGTTTATGCATACAGAGTGGTGACAAGACACAACATTATTGATTAGAATACAAATGCCTCATATAGTATAAAAAGGAGTTATGGATGAAAAATTCTACCATCAGGCGAGTGAGGTGGAGAGCAGCTGTAGCCTACAGTACAATACATCAAGACAGAACTATGTATGTGAATGTACTCAAATCCCATTGACATACACAGCCTGACCTCTGCTCCATGTCCTTGTTAGGCCAATGATTGACTGATGAGTGAAATCTATTTATTTGTCTTACTGACATGGCTAAAAAGACACAAAACGCATCAAACTGGTGAGTTTGTATACGCTGCTTGACAGTGTGCATCATGGACCTGTACAAAGCAGTGTTCTTGCTCGGCACCCTTTTCTCTGCAGGTAAGATATTGCTGGCATCATTTTACACATTGGAAGTTGAAGTGAACTGAAGGATTCCCACACAGTGTTTATACTTGCGAATGTAATGTTTATTCACAAATTAGTCCTTCTATCTGTTCCCTTAAGTTTTTTGCTAGGTACCTGTGTCTACGAAGTTACTTCAGGTGTGCTTAGTTCTTCAATCTAATAATTTTGTAAGATTATCTTTACATTTTAGTCATTTAGCAGACACTCTTATCCAGAGCGACTTACAGTTAGTGAATACATTTTTTATTTTTTTATACTGGCCCCCCGTGGGAAACGAACTCACAACCCTGGCGTTGCAAACGCCATGCTCTATCAACTGAGCTACATCCCTGCCGGCCATTCCCTCCCCTACCCTGGACGACGCTGGGCCAATTGTGCGCCGCCCATGAGTCTCCCGGTCACGGCCAGCTGCGACGGATTCGAACCAGGATCTCTAGTGGCACAGTTAGCACTGCGATGCAGTGCCTTAGACCACTGCGCCACTCAGGAGTCTGTCAAACCTTATAACTGAAGCAGTTAGTTTAATCACAGTAATAAGAACAATGTAAAGTGTTTGAAACACTGTTTATCACATACATTTTTCTTACTTGTAAATTGTTTTGAAATAACTTGTTTTTTGTCTGTGGTGTATGTCCACTCCAGAAATGACTCATTTGTCAATAGACCTTCATGTTGCAACATCTATGTTAGCGGTCTGTAACAGCAGCTTAGCCCTGGAACCATTGGGTTTAAGCATTGCATCACAGAGCAAGTGTAAGCAAAAAGGGCCCGGTAATATTTTCAGTCATAGTCAGTATTTGTTATCTGTTTGTCCTTTTAGTCAGTGCGGCTGTCCTGGACGAATATGCAAAAACAGAGGGCGCCTGGATTCTCTCTTTGGTGAAGAGGGAATACTTAGTAGACACAGTCCTAGAATGTGCCATCAAGTGTAACGTTGAAAAAGCTTTCACTTGCAGGTATCATTATGTTTATGGTCATTAATAGTGAGAATTAATTAATTTGTGAGAGATGATTTACATAGTCAAATTTCATTCTGAATGTTTCTTGGTAGGTCCTTCATGTACATTGAAAAGGATCAAGAATGTTTGACAATACCAGCAAACAGCAAAATAGAGCCTGTTCTGAGAAGAACCATCACTTCTCTATATGAAAAGAAAGGCAAGTCCTAATGTGTTTCTGACTTTTCTTGATAAGTAGCTACAGATGTAGGATCTTAATTTGATTACCCTGTTACAGGAGATTTTCTCTTATGAAAAATGTATCAACCCTCTACAAAAATGTCCATTAATTATAATCCACATAATAATTCCCATTTCCTGTTGCTACAGGATTATTGTCCTGCTGTAGCAAACTGGTTCAAATTTAGATCCTACATCTGTAGACCTGAAGGGCTCTCATTCATTTCATACAGTAAATATGCATCTCATCATCATGAATACATAATGTATTACAAATATTAGAATACAATTGAGTTTCATGTGATTGTATTTGTCAACATTATTTTTGGTAAGAGGATTGGACTGTGTCAGTAAACAAACCGAAGAGTTGAAGCAGGTTATCTAAACAAGAGAGTCCAATCAGTCCTTCAGTGGGAGGCACATAGGGTATTTCAAATTCCATACTGACCATATCTGACAACATCTCAGATAGTAAAAGCCTGATGATGCTTTTTAATTACCCAAGAAGATTACTAAAAAGCAACCCACCTACTACTGTTGAGACATCTTATTCTCTGTCTTTACAGAGTACTTGAAGGAGTGTGTAAATGGAATCGGTATGGACTACAGAGGAACAAAGTCCAAAACAATCTCTGGGAAGACTTGCCAGAGATGGGCATCAAAATATCCACAAAAGCCAAAGTATGCTCCGCCACACCTTGTACCAGATCCGGCGCCAGAACTAATCAGTTGGACAGGCCTCTGATTTTTTTCACGGGACTTCCTATGTGTGCACGTGCTTGCGCGCTCACAATTGTTTTTATGGCTGTAATAGTAAAGACCATAGGCAGCTCGTGAGATTTAGGGAAACTTAGGCCTACAATTTATCCTACCATTTCTACCAATCTGTGTGCCAGTTATGATTATTTGTATATGCGCATTTTCGTGGAACAGTTTAATTTCAATAATAACGTTTTCCTTTCTCAAAGTTATTGTCACGTGGGTAATCATAAAAATCTGAAGTAAAATTATAAAAATCTAAAAGTTAAAATTCAACTATTGCGAGAGCTCTAGCCTCTGCCATTTGGATACATTGATACACTGTGATTCATTGGCGGCTAAAGAAATGAGAGCATAGAACTCAGAGATGCTGCAGTAGACCCAGGGGCGCAACTTCACTCTAAAATTGCATTTTTGTCCCCCCCAGTTTTATCATTGGAATGTGATACAAAACGAGTCAAGGGTGTGCTTTAGGACCATGTGGATGCCTCCGAGCGGTCGGGTAGGCTGTTTGGAGTGTCTAAAACCAAAGTTGCGCCCCTGAGTAGGCCTATAACTTCCATCATCAACTAAGTAAAATAAATAGGCCTAAAGCCAACAAATAAAAACAGTAGAAAATATCCTGATGAAAATTCTGGTTCTTTCAATCACATTAATCTCTCTACTCCGCCTGTCTGCCTCCCTTTCTATCTGTCTTGACTTGAGCTATTGCTAGTGAAGTGCAACATTTCATCAAACCATCACTTGGTCCATCCTGAAGCTGTCGCTAGCGAACTTGCAACATTGTATATATTAGCCTATTCCGGGCCCTCAGAGTTTTTTAAAACTTTTTTTATCCAGTCTGATAAATATCCAAACAGCCTACCTGATTGCTCGGAGGCGTTCACATGGTCTTAAAGCACACTGTTGCCTGGTTTTGTATCACATTCCAATGATAAAACTGGGGGGGACAAAAATGCAATTTCAGAATGTGGGGGGGACGAAGTGCCCGTTATACTCGAAACACATGATCTTAACACATATTTTAGACGCTTTTCACTGACAGCCGCAACTCAATCAGCTAGACCTATTGCCACGAGCACTACCCAAATCGCGGGCTTCCCAAACACACTTGTGATTTGAAACAATCCACAGCAAAAAAAAAATCTATAAGATAATTAACCTCTGTGGCTAAGTCATGCTCCCTGGTGAAGTTTTTTCAATTATTTTATTTAGACAGGAGTAATTGTATAGCTATGGCAAAACATGTATTTACTTTCGGGCAACCCTGCAACCCAGCATGCTAACAGTGCACTGTGCACCCGCCAACTTTCATTTCCAACTCGCAAGAGGCTGAAACCAGAGATCTGTATATAATGGCGAGATGCTCATGTCTCCGCCATAACAATGGGGGTCTTTGTCCCAAAGGCAGGAAGCTTATGTCTGCATATTATTCCCAAAGAAACGCATTGAGCTTATACTGGACAGACTCTGCTGAAACTATATCACCGGACAAAGCAGCAGAGCGAGCGAAACAGCGCCCCTCTATATGTAGCCCATGTACTGTATCTGATGCTCTCTGGACAGAAATAGTATGACATGCTATACTCTTTTGGTCCAACACAATGCTTTAACTGAGATTGATGCGTCTTCCTGTTGGCGCACGTTTCGGTCAAATAAATTATCAATATTATCAATATATTATCAAACCAGCTGCCCACTGCTCTGAGGCTAGGAAATACTATCACCACCGATAAATCTACAATAATCGAGAATTTCAACAAGCATTTTGCTACGGCTGGCCATGCTTTCCACCTGGCTACCACTACCCCGGCCACCAACTCTGCACCCTCCGCTGCAACTTGCCCATGCCCCCCCCCCCCCCCCCCCCCGCTTCTCCTTCACACAAATTCAGACAGCTGATGTTCTGAAAGAGCTGCAAAATCTGGACCCCTACAAATCAGCTGGGCTAGACAATCTGGACCCTTTCTTTCTAAAACTAGCCGCCGACATTGTCGCAACCCCTATTACTAGCCTGTTCAACCTCTCTTTCGTAACGTCTGAGATCCCCAGAGATTGGAAAGCTGCCGCGGTCATCCCCCTCTTCAAAGGGGGTGACACTCTAGATCCAAACTGTTACAGACCTATATCCAAAGTATTTGAAAGCCAAGTTAACAAACAGATCACCGACCATTTCGAATCCCACCGTACCTTCTCCGCTATGCAATCCGGTTTCTGAGCTGGTCATGGGTGCACTTCAGCCACGCTCAAGGTCCTAAACGATATTATAACCGCGATCGATAATAGACAGAACTGTGCAGCCGTCTTCATCGACCTGGCCAAGGCTTTCGACTCTGTCAACCACCGCATTCTTATTGGCAGACTAAATAGCCTTGGTTTCTCAAATGACTGCCTCGCCTGGTTCACCAACTACTTCTCAGATAGAGATCAATGTGTCAAATCGGAGGGCCTGTTGTCTGGACCTATGGCAATCTCTATGGGGGTGCCACAGGGTTCAATTCTTGGGCCGACTCTTTTCTCCGTGTATATCAATGATGTCGCTCTTGCTGCTGGTGACTCTCAGATCCACCTCTACGCAGACGACACCATTTTGTATACATCTGGCCCTTCATTGGACACTGTGTTAACAAACCTCCAAACGAGCTTCAATGCCTACAACACTCTTTCAGTAGCCTACAACTGCTCTTAAACACTAGTAAAACTAAATGCATGCTCTTCAATCGAACGCTGCTGGCACCCGCCCACCCGACTAGAATCACTACTCTCGACGGGTCTGACCTAGAATATGTGGACAACTACAAAAACCTAGGTGTCTGGTTAGACTGTAAACTCTCCTTCCAGACTCACATTAAGAATCTCCAATCCAAAGTTAAATCTAGAATCGGCTTCCTATTTCGCAACAAAGCCTCCTTCACTCATGCTGCCAAACATGCCCTCGTAAAACTGACTATCCTACCGATCCTTGACTTCGGCGATGTCATTTACAAAATAGCCTCCAACACTCTACTCAGCAAATTGGAGGTAGTCTATCACAGTGCCATCCGTATTGTCTCCAAAGCCCCATACACTACCCACCACTGTGACCTGTACGCTCTTGTTGGCTGGTCCTCACTACATGTTCGTCGTCAAACTCACTGGCTCCAGGCCATATATAAATCACTGCTAGGCAAATCCCCGCCTTATCTTAGCTCATTGGTCACCATAGCAGCACCCACCCGTAGTCTGCGCTCCAGCAGGTATATCTCACTGGTCATCCCCAAAGCCAACACCTCCTTTGGCCGCCATTCCTTCCAGTTCTCTGCTGCCAATGACTGGAACGAACTGCAACAATCTCTGAAGCTGGAGACTCTTATCTCCCTCACTAACTTTAAGCATCAGTTGTCAGAGCACCTTACCGATCACTGCACCTGTACACAGCCCATCTGAAATTAGCCCACCCAACTACCTCATCCCTGTGGACCTGGCATCTTTTCACTCCCTCCTCTCTACATTTTCTTCATCTGTTTCTGCTGCTAAGGCCACTTTCTACCACTCTAAATTCCAAGCATCTGCCTCTAACCCTAGGAAGCTCTTTGCCACATTCTCCTCCCTGCTGAATCCTCCCCCCCCCCCCCCCCCTCCTCCCTCTCTGTGGATGACTTCGTCAACCACTTTGAAAAGAAGGTTGACGACATCCGATCCTCGTTTGTTAAGTCTAATGACACTGCTGGTCCTGCTCACACTGCCCTACCCTATGCTTTGACTTCTTTCTCCCCTCTCTCTCCAGACAAAATCTTGCGACTTGTGACTACAGGCCGCCCAACAACCTGCCCGCTTGACCCCATCCCCTCCTCTCTTCTCCAGACCATCTCCGGTGACCTTCTCCCCTACCTCACCTCGCTGATCAACTCATCCTTGACCGCTGGCTATGTCCCTTCCGTCTTCAAGAGAGCGAGAGTTGCACCCCTTCTCAAAAAACCAACACTTGATCCCTCTGATGTCCACAACTACAGACCAGTATCCCTTCTTTCTTTTTTTCTTTCCAAAACTATTGAGCGTGCCGTCTTTAGCCAACTCTCTTGTTATCTCTCTCAGAATGACCTTCTTGATCCAAACCAGTCAGGTTTCAGGACTGGTCATTCAACTGAGACTGCTCTTCTCTGTGTCACGGAGGCTCTCCGCACTGCTAAAGCTAACTCTCTCTCCTCTGCTCTTGTCCTTCTAGACCTGTCTGCTGCCTTTGATACTGTGAACCATCAGATCCTCCTCTCCACCCTCTCCGAGCTGGGCATCTCCGGCGCGGCTCACTCTTGGATTGCGTCCTACCTGACCGGTCGCTCCTACCAAGTGGCGTGCCGAGAAGCTGTCTCCGCTCCACGTGCTCTCACCACTGGTGTCCCCCAGGGCTCAGTTCTAGGCCCTCTCCTATTCTCGCTATACACCAAGTCACTTGGCTCTGTCATATCCTCACATGGCCTCTCCTATCATTGCTACGCTGACGACACACAACTAATCTTCTCCTTTCCCCCTTCTGATAACCAGGTGGTGAATCGCATCTCTGCATGTCTGGCAGACATATCAGTATGGATGACGGATCACCACCTCAAGCTGAACCTTGGCAAGACGGAGCTGCTCTTCCTCCCGGGGAAGGACTGCCCGTTCCATGATCTCGCCATCACGGTTGACAACTCCGTTGTGTCCTCCTCCCAGAGTGCGAAGAGCCTTGGCGTGACCCTGGACAACACCCTGTCGTTCTCCGCTAACATCAAGGCGGTGACCCGATCCTGCAGGTTCATGCTCTACAACATTCGGAGAGTACGACCCTGCCTTACACAGGAAGCGGCACAGGTCCTAATCCAGGCACTTGTCATCTCCCGTCTGGATTACTGCAACTCGCTGTTGGCTGGGCTCCCTGCCTGTGCCATTAAATCCCTACAACTCATCCAGAATGCCGCAGCCCGTCTGGTGTTCAACCTTCCCAAGTTCTCTCACGTCACCCCGCTCCTACGCACACTCCACTGGCTTCCAGTTGAAGCTCGCATCTGTTAAAAGTCCATGGTGCTTGCCTATGGAGCTGTGAGGGGAACGGCACCTCCGTACCTTCAGGCTCTGATCAGTCCCTACACCCAAACGAGGGCATTGCGTTCATCCACCTCTGGCCTGCTGGCTCCCCTTCCTCTGCGGAAGCATAGTTCCCGCTCAGCCCAGTCAAAACTGTTCGCTGCTCTGGCACCCCAATGGTGGAACAAGCTCCCTCACGACGCCAGGACAGCGGAGTCACTCACCACCTTCCGGAGACATCTGAAACCCCACCTCTTTAAGGAATACCTGGGATAGGATAAACTAATCCTTCTACCCCCCCCTGAAAAATAAATAAATAAATAAATAAAAATGTAAAGTGGTTATCCCACTGGCTATAGGGTGAATGCACCAATTTGTAAGTCGCTCTGGATAAGAGCGTCTGCTAAATGACGTAAATCTAAATGTAAATATATTGTTATTTATTTTGCTCATTTGCACCCCAGTATCTCTATTTGCACATAATCTCTTGCACATCTAGCATTCCAGTGTTAATACTAATTGTAATTATTTTGCACTATAGTCTATGTATTGCCTTACCTCCATAATTTGCTACATTTGCACACACTGTATATATATTTTCTGTTGTATTTTTTGACTTTATGTTTTTTTACGCCATATGTAACTCTGTGTTGTTGTTTTTATCGCACTGCTTTGCTTTATCTTGGCCAGGTCGCAGTTGTAAATGAGAACTTGTTCTCAACTGGCTTACCTGGTTAAATAAAGGTGAAATAAAAAATAAAAATAAAAATTTATTTTTATTTTATTTGGATGGGCAATGAGGTACGGTAGAGCGGGCCAGGCCCCCTAAAGCCCGCCCATAATACCGGCCCTGCCTTGTACAATATTTCTCATATTCCTATTAAGTATTTTATTGACATAACATGGACTACCAGCAGATTAAAAGATGCATTGTAAAGGTTTTGTATAATTTTTGCCAGTAGTTTTGAAAGTAGTGGAACATAATTACAAATAATTTGTAGACTGCAAAATAACCGCAAGAAGCCCAAACAGATATAATATTTGATAAAATAACTTCAAACCTTGCTTACGTTTGTAGACGATCACCTACAGTATATCTAGGGTTGCAAAGGGAGGGTATATTACTGGAAACTTTCAAAGTTTACCAGTAAACTACCAGAATTTTCGTATCTTTTGTATCTGTGATAGATTTTATGTAATCTATCACATGACATCTTTTGGGTACTTCAGATTATCTCTGGCCCTCTATGTAAAATATATGAAGTAATTAAATAAGATGACACAAAAAATATATATATATAGAATGACAAAGCTGTAAAACAGTATCTTAAATATAAACCATCAACTTAGTGAATAGCATATATATGAGGGTTTCAGCATGAAATATCCTTAACACACTTTGATTTATTTTACTATGTCAATATGTATTTGTTGTCAATGTTTTGGCATCAAACTGGTGGCAGTTGTGAAAAAAGTCAATAGTTGGAACAGTTGCAGAGTTATTTGAAAATTATGCCATTGTTGATTAGATGCTTTTTTCATTAATTAGGCTATTTTCTCTTGAACCATATGGTCTATCTACTAGAAACTCGTGGACAATATGGACACAGATATACCAAAAAAATGAATACTTTATATAAATACACATTTTTGAAGTTACTCAAGTATAAATTACCAAAGTTAGGATAGATTGCCATATATTTTCTGTTAAATACCAAAATGACTGAAGATTCCAGTAACTTTGGTAAATTGTCGGTAGCTTTGCAACCCTACATATATCTCTCTACAATGCGTGAGAATACTTTGGAACAGATTTCCAAAATTAAAATCACTTGGAGCTGATTTGCTGGTGTTGTTACAGTCTTTTATGTCCAACAATAAACATTTTAAAACACTTTTTTTTTTGCTCAGAAAACTTGGGAGGGCCAAATGAAACCACGTCCTGCAAAAAAATAAATAATTATCATACAATATGTTACAAATTTGTAAGTGCTTAAGATCCTGTTCAATCTCTTTAAGTAACTTGTGAGGTTAGATTTCTTAGCAGCTGAAGGTAATTCACGTTATCTTTGTGAACGTCTCTTACAGCATGACTCCGTCAACACACCCCAAAGCCGACCTGGAGTCCAACTTCTGCAGAAACCCTGATGGGGACAGCAAAGGCCCCTGGTGTTTCACCACAGACCCTGACACCAGATGGGAGACCTGCAACGTCCAGAACTGCAGCGGTACCCTCAATATCGTGTTATGTCCCCACTCCCAATAAGCTTATGAAACAGCTGGTGTCATGTTTGCACAAAAGTTAAGATTTCAAAACCACTAAAATACAATCTATATTCAAACAAAGAGTTGACTACCTTTTTTAGTCACTCACTCATCATGACAGTTCACCTATAAAAATGCATTAAGTGTAATTTGGAAGTGTTTTATTTCTAAAGCGCTGTTGTTTGGCCCACAGAGGAATGTATGCACTGCGGTGGTAAGAACTACAGTGGAAAGATCTCCACCACTGAGAATGGCTACACCTGCCAGCACTGGGACGTCCAGAAACCTCACAACCACGGCTACATTACCAGCGCGTAATAGCCTTTTTTTTTTCTCTCTCTCTCTCTCTCTCTCTCTCTCTCTCTCTCTCTCTCTCTCTCTCTCTCTCTCTCTCTCTCTCTCTCTCTCTCTCTCTCTCTCTCTCTCTCTCTCTCTAATATATTTGTTATACAGTGAGCTCAAAACTATTGGGAAAGTGACACATTTGTTGTTGTTTTGGCTCTGTACTCCAGCACCATTTAGAAATTACAGCACTTTTTGTACAATATCCCATTTTAGGGGACAAAAAGTATTGGGAAACATTCTACATTAATGTGGATGCTACTATGATTATGGATAATCCTGAATGAATCGTGAATAATGATGAGTGAGAAAGTTAGATGCACAAATATCATACCCCTCCCCAGAAAATGCTAACCTTTCCTGTCATTGTAATGGTGAGAGGTTAGCATGTCTTGGGGGTATGATATTTGTGCGTCTATAACTTTCTCACTCATCATTATTCATGATTCATTCAGGATTATCCATCATCATGGTAGCATCCACATTAATGTAGAATTTTTCCCAATACTTTTTGTCCCCTAAAATGGGATAATGTACAAAAAGTGCTGTAATTTCTAAATGGTGCTGGAGTACAGAGCCAAAACAACAAAAAATGTGTCACTTTCCCAATAGTTTTGAGCTCACTGTATATGTCTAACCATGTGATCCTTCATCTTGCTCTCTTTCCCTCTTCCTGTGTCCCTTTCTCTGTGTATTTCTCTTTCTGCCTACCCCCCCCCCCCCCCCCCCCCCCCCCCATCCCCTCCCCTCCCTGTCTCTCCAGTCTTCCTGAGAAGTACCTGGAGGAGAATTACTGTAGGAACCCAGACGGAGACCCCAGACCCTGGTGTTTCACCACCAGCCCCTCCAAACGCTGGGACTTCTGCTCCATCCCTCGCTGCAGTGAGCTATCATCATAGATATACAACACTATTACTAGTATATTGTCTATGGCTTTCGTACCCTGGATCTCTCCCCCGTCTGCCCATCATGTCCCTACTAGCGACTCTATAACCCCATTCATTCCCTTCATCTTTTATCTCATTTGTCTCCCATGGCCCCTCGTTCCCCTGCTCTTTCACATAAAAATAGACAATTTAATTAAAGCATATGAGTTTACAAACTCCCAGGGAGATCTCCTCACTCTCTCCCTCTCCCCTAGCCTCTGAGCCTCCCGAGGTGGTGGAGGAGCTCACTTGTGCCACAGGCGACGGCAGTGCCTACAGGGGAACCATCGGCGTGACAGCATCTGGGAAAGCCTGTCAGCTCTGGGCAACTCAGACACCCCAACAGCACAACAGAACTCCAGACAACTACCCATGCAAGTAAGATCAACCCATGAGATTGGGCAACTTGTTTTTACTCAAGCAAGAACCGAGCATTGCTTTTCTCAGTGCAGTCGATCAGTGTTTTAATGTCTTATAGATACAGACTGACTGTGATTTAACCAATATGTGTGGTTGTTTGTGTTCCTGTCAGAGGCCTGGAACTGAACTATTGCAGGAACCCAGACAATGAGAAGATGCCCTGGTGCTTTACTACAGACCCAGAGACACGCTGGGAGTACTGCAAGGTGCCTAGCTGTGGAGATGTTCCTGGACCAGGTCACTTTACACTGCATCATGATGATGATGATAATGCATTGGATTTATATAGAGCTTTCCCAAGTGCTAAAGTCGCTACTTACTAACTATGTAGCGAAACTCATGTAATCCACTACCAATCCATACAGCCTACATTTTTCACCAAAATTTATATTTAATTTGGTTGACATGGGTGATATTGTTTTTAAAACTCAGATTACGCAGCGCCCCCTCCAGCTGAGGAAGACTGCTATGTGGGCACCGGGATTGACTATCGTGGTATTGTGACAGAGACCATCAGTGGGAAGAAATGCCAGGCCTGGAGCTCGATGACACCTCACAGTCACAATAAGACACCGCAGTCCTTCCCTAAAGCGTGAGGCCTAGAGCATAGTCAAATATAATCTCTACCCACTGGGCAAAAACTGGTTGAATCAATGTGGTTTCCACGTCATTTCAACCCCCAAAAATCTATGTGATGACATTGAAGCAATGTGGAAAACTGATTGGATTTGCAAAAAGTCATCAACGTAAGGGCATTTTGTATTTTTTCACCCAACTTTTGACCTACATTTCACAGGTGTAGAGAGGAGTAGGCAGGAGGCAGTCGCAGGTTTAGAACTACTGAATTTATTTAAGCACCATAGATCAAAGCGGGACGAAACCCAAACGATGTTGTGCTCAAAATATATCTTCATTAACAAAAAGGCAAAGGGCGAACCCAAAGTGCAAAATATAAAGTACTCAGGAAATAGTAGGAGAGATACCTCTCAGGAACACAAGTAACATTTACAATGACCGACAAAGACAAATGGCCGGAAGACGTGAGAGAAGAGAGCCTCTGTGGTCTGCAGGACCGTAGGGAGACCAGGCAGAGGAATAAAATGACAGGCTTTGGAAAACCGGTCCACAACGACCAGGATGGTGGTGTGTCCCTACGAGGGGGGAAAGTCTGTGACAACGTCCACAGAGAGATGGGACCAGGGTCGTTGTAGAACCGGCAGTGGGTGGAGTTTGCCATAGGGGAGGTGTCTAGGTGTCTAGGTGTCTTGCTCTGTGTGCAGGTGGAGCAGGAAGAGACGTAAACCCGGACGTCCCGGGTCAAGGTGGGCCACCAGTACTTGGCGGAGAGACAGTCGATAGTACGGGCTATACCCGGGTGCCCCGACACAGCTGCTGTGTGTGCCCAGGCGAGGAGACAGTCCCGCACATCAGAGGGCACGTAGTGGGCAGGAGAGGGCGGAGGAGCAGGAGCAGGAGCCTATAATGCGGGACAGGGGATAATGGGTGTCACTTTCTCCCTCCGATCCTCTGTGTCATGCAGAGGCCACCTGTAGGTCCCGGTATTCCTCTGGGATAGGGACGTGGGTGGCCTGGTCCGGACTTTCCACGGAATTGGCACAGATTGACACAGAGAAACACCTCCCCTGACACTCCTGCGACCAACCCAACAACCTCCTCTCTGTCCATGATATACTGGGGTTATGCAACCGTAGCCAGGGGAAACCTAAAACTACGGGGTGTGCAGGAGAGTCTAAGATGAGGAAAGTGATGCGTTCGTGGTGGTTGTGATTAACTGTGAGGGAAATGGGAATCGTGGTCTGGTGCACCAGTCCTGTTCCTAGGGGACGGTTGTCTAGGGCATGGACTGGGATAGGGGGTTGTAAAGGGACTAGAGGAATGCGTAATGATAAGGCCACTGACTGGTCTAGGAAATTGCCTGCAGCACCTGAGTCCACTAGGGAAGGACTCAGTGGGGGACCATGATAGTCAGGGAAGGTGACAGGGAGGAGGACGGGCTGTGTGGACAGAGAGGAGCAAGGCACGTCCACGCCTACCTGGGAAGGTGTAGGAGCGCTCCTCGGCCTGTCGCTTCCTCGCCTGGTTCTCTTTCTGGGACAGGTATTCCAGGGGTGGTCCGACTCCCCGCAGTAGGAGCAGAGACCCTGTTGACGGCAGCGTTGACGTTCCGCAGGGGGAAGGTGCGTCGTGCCCACCTCCATGGGCTCAGTCTCACTGGAGGTTCCTGGGAGAAACCCGAACCCCCGGGATGGGCGACGACGGGCACGCAGGAGATTATCCAGGCGGATGGCCATGACGATGAGCTGTTCCAGCGTGAGGTCTTTATCGCGACAGGCCTGCTCGGTCTGGATGTCTTCCTGTAGCCTGCTGCGGAAAACCGTCAACAGGGCCTGGTCGTTCCAGCCAGTGGACGCAGCCACCGTCCGGAGCGTACTCCGACGCTGTCCTGGACCGCTCTCTTGGCCCTCTGTGGGTGGTCGAAGACGACACGGAAGAGTTGGGTGAAACGCTCATAGGAATGCACTTCTGGACCGTCCCTCTCCCAGACGGCGTGAGCCCACTCCAGAGCCCGGCCTGTCAGCACCGAGATCACCAAGGCCACCTTGTCCCTCTCGGAGGCCGTCCTGGCATGACGGGCAAGGTGGAGGTCACACTTCAGGAGAAACCCCCTACAGTGAGCTGGGGTGCCGTCAAACCACTCCGGGAGGAGCAGGTGGACGTTGCTGATCGGACCGGGTGATGTAGATGGTGGTGGGGTGGCTGGAACGACCACGGGGAGCTGGGAAGGTGGTAGTGTAGCCTGCAGTTGGCAGGATGTCCTGCTGCTTCCTGTTTTCTTGGGTCGGTCATTCTGTCACAGGTGTAGAGAGAAGGTCGTGGTCCTCTGTAGCTCAGCTGGTAGAGCACGGCGCTTGTAACGCCAAGGTAGTGGGTTCGATCCCCGGGACCACCCATACACAAAAATGTATGCACGCATGACTGTAAGTCGCTTTGGATAAAAGCGTCTGCTAAATGGCATATTAAGTAGGCAGGAGGCTGTCGCAGGTTTAGAACTACTGAATTTATTTAAGCACCATAGATCAAAGCGGGAAGAAACCCAAACGCTGTTGTGCTCAAAATATATCTTCATAAACCCAAAGTGCAAAATATAAAGTACTCAGGAAATAGTAGGAGAGATACCTCTCAGGAACACAAGTAACATTTACAATGACCGACAAAGACAAATGGCAGAGGGAGTAAATAGTGATAGTGGGAATTGGAACCAGGTGTGTGTAATGATGACGAGACAAGTCCAGGGTTGATGAGTGAAGGGCGTTTTCCAGCAGTAGGTTCGGCAGCAGCTAGAAGGCCGGTGACACCGAATGCCTGAGCTGGACAGGAGGGGGAACCAAAGCGAAGGCTGGTGTGACACTAAATCCATTGTGTAAATCAAATGTAAATCAAAACTAGATGTTGAACTGATGTTTGTGCCCAGTGGGAAATGTATATCTCTAGCTCTATCTCTGTCTTCTACTATCTGGTCATTAAAAGCCAAACAATGTAATATGTAATCTGCAGTGTCTGAGGACATTATGTATTTTACATGTGTTTCACAGCGATTTGAGAAGAAACCTGTGTAGGAACCCTGATGGCGACCGTGCTCCATGGTGTTACACCACTGAACCCTCTGTTCGTTGGGAGTTCTGCAGTGTGGATAAATGCCCAACTGCTCCCAAGCCTACTCCCAAGCCTGACAAACATGACCAGCCCAAGCCAGCACCCTCCCAGACACCCTCAGACAACAGCAGAGGTAATCCATCCATCCTTTCATCAGTGTTGGGGAAGCTACTTTGAAAATATACAGTGATCTCCAAAAGTATTGCGACAGTGACACATATTTTGTTGCTTTGGCTCTGCACTCCAGCAATTTGGATTTGAATTGATACAATGATTATGAGGTTAAAATGCAGACTGTCAGCTTTAATTTGAGTTTTTTTTAAAATCCATATCGGGTGTACCGTTTAGAAATTACAACACTTTTTGTACATAGTCCCCCCATTTTTGGGGACTAAAAGTATTCACTTAAATGTATATTAAAGTAGTAAAACGTTAAGTATTTTGGTCCCGTATTCCTAGCACGCAATGACTACATTAAGCTTGGGACTGTACAAACTTGTTGGATGCATTTGCTGTTTGTTTTGGTTGTGTTTAAGATTATTTTGTGCCCAATAGGAATTAATGGTAAATAATATAGTGAGTCATTTTGTAGTCACTTTTATTGTAAATAAGAATAGAATATGATTCTAAACACTTCTACATTAATGTGGATGCTACCATGATAACAGATGATCGTGAATGAATCGTGAATAATGATGAGTGAGAAAGTTACAGATACACTGTTATGATGAGTTTCTAGGGTATCAAGTGATTACGAATGTAAGGATGTACTTAGACACTTTTGATGGGGAGTTCATATAAGATATTTAATATGGTACCATGTTTAGTTATAACAGATATAGCCCTGCCTCTTCCAACTTCCTAACTCCAGAACAAAGATCCACTCTCTCTATATATACACTCTGTTACAAGTCTCTCCACAAACATCTGGTAAACCTCCATGGGCACTCCCATTCTTTGATGTTATTACCCTTTACCCCTGTCAGTATATCCTGTCCATCAATTATTCTAAGATCAACCTCAGTAATCTCCCCTTTGACATAACGGAATGTAGACTCCGTGGCAGCAAACCACTTATCTACTAACTCTCCCCCTGGTCCACACAATACTATGACATGACATCATTACAATCCACTTTTTTTTTCTTATTTTGTGGTAAGTAAGATTACTTAACCCCCAACAATTCATATAAAATACAATATTCCCAATCAGTAGTATATGTCTGACTAGATCCTAACCTATGCTAAATAACTGACCCATCATCTTAGACATGCTACCAAGAAAACATCCATATAAATAAATTGTGACCATCATGACATCATCCCCACAAATACAAAGATCCATAACCATTACTAAGTTACATGGATATTATAATCTGGTCACATTAATATAAAAAAACAAAAACGTCTGTCTTCGTCATCCATGCGCAGTCAGATGAACCCCAAGCTTTTCCCTGGTCACTTGGGGAGCTATCTGATCTACTGAGATAGTCTTCTTTCCACATCTTCAATCCTGTAAACCTCAATCCACTTTATACATTTCCAATTTAACATTCCTCATTCCTCAATCAACATTATCAATGGACTCTAAACTGGAATAACATATAGGTGAATAATTTATCCTTTCTCTCTGTTATGATGAGTTTCTAGGGTATCAAGTGATTACAAATGTAAGGATGTACTTAGACACTTTTCATGGGGAGTTCATATAATATATTGAATAAGGTACCATATTTAGTTATAACAGACATAGCCCTGCCTCTTCCAACTTCCTAACTCCAGAACAAAGATCCACTCTCTCTATACTGTATGTTAACGTGGGCTATTTTGAGCACTTTTCTTCTGGGATGCTTACTTGATTTCATTGCTTTACTGGGAAGCTTAGCAGAAGTAGATATAATCATGTTATTTATGTTAGTGCAGAGTGAGCTGCACACAGTGGACTTCCTCCTAGGGCACACCGCCTCAGTTCTAACAGTATAAATCTGGTTCATACGCACATGATTACTGCATACAATAGCTGTAGGATTAGCAGAGGCATTCAGAGCAGTTAGAGGGACATAAATTAGGTTACTTACATTGTGTCTACCAAAGCCCCGGTGTAATGTACATTTGCTGAAGCATTATGACAACTGCGTCACAATGGCAGGGATTAGCTGAGCTAGGCTTGGGTCATTGATAAGTCATTGTCTCAACACAGCCTTATAATGCTGTGAAAGGATCCAGAAACCCAAATGATTTGGGTGGATCCCATCCTCCTTATACAGTGCCTTGCAGAAGTATTCATCCCCCTTGGCGTTTTTCCTATTTTGTTGCATTACAACCTGTAATTTAAATTGATTTTTATTTGGATTTAATGTAATGGACATACACAAAATAGTCCAAATTGGTGAAGTGGAATAAAAAAAAAAAACTTATTTCAAAAAATTCTAAAAAATAAATAACGGAAATGTGGTGCGTGCATATGGATTCACCCCCTTTGCTATGAAGCCCCTAAATAAGATCTGGTCCAAACAATTACCTTCAGAAGTCACATAATTAGCTAAATGAAGTCCACCTGTGTGCAATCTAAGTGTCACATGATCTGTCACATGATCTCAGTATATATACACCTGTTCTGAAAGGCCCCAGAGTCTGCAACACCACTAAGCAAGGGGCACCACCAAGCAAGCGACAACATGAAGACCAAGGAGCTCTCCAAACAAGTCAGGGAAAAAGTTGTGGAGAAGTACAGATCAGGGTTGGGTTATAAAGAAAATATCTCTGAACATCCCACGGAGCACCATTAAATCCATTATTAAAAAATGGAAAGAATATGGCACCACAACAAACCTGCCAAGAGAGGGCCACCCACCAAAACTCACGGACCAGGCACGGAGGGCATTAATCAGAGAGGCAACAAAGAGACCAAAGATAACCCTGAAGGAGCTGCAAAGCTCCACAGCGAAGATTGGAGTATCTGTCCATAGGACCACTTTAAGCCGTACACTCCACAGAGCTGGGCTTTACGGAAGAGTGACCAGAAAAAAAGCCATTGCTTAAAGAGAAAAATAAGTAAACACGTTTAGTATTCGCCAAAAGGCATGTGGGAGACTCCCCAAACATATGGAAGAACGTACTCTGGTCAGATGAGACTAAAATTGAGCTTTTTGGCCATCAAGGAAAACGCTATGTCTGGCGTAAACCCAACACCTCTCATAACCCCGAGAACACCATCGCCACAGTGAAGCATGGTGGTGGCAGTATCATGCTGTGGGGATGTTTTTCATTGACAGGGACTGGGAAACTGGTCAGAATTGAAGGAATGATGGATGCCGCTAAATACAGGGAAATTCTTGAGGAAACCTGTTTTAGTCTTCCAGAGATTTGAGACTGGGACGGAGGTTCACCTTCCAGCAGGACAATGACCCTAAGCATACTGCGAAAGCAACACTCGAGTGGTTTAAGGGCAAACATTTAAATGTCTTGGAATGGCCTAGTCAAAGCCCAGACCTCAATCCAATTGAGAATCTGTGGTATGACTTAAAAATTGCTGTACACCAGCGGAACCCATCCAACTTGAAGGAGCTGGAGCAATTTTGCCTTGAAGAATGGGCAAAAATCCCAGTGGCTAGATGTGCCAAGCTCATAGAGACATACCCCAAGAGACTTGCAGCTGTAATTGCTGCAAAAGGTGGCTCTACAAAGTATTGGCTTTGGGGGGGGGGCGAATAGTTATGCACGCTCAAGTTTTCCGTTTTTTTGTCTGATTTGTTGTTTGTTTCACAATAAAAAATATTTTGCATCTTCAAAGTGGTAGGCATGTTGTGTAAATCAAATGAGACAAACCCTCAAAAACACAATTTTAATTCCAGTTTGTAAGGCACCAAAATAGGAAAAATTAATGAATACTTTCGCAAGCCAAACGTGTTTTGTTCCCAAAAGGTATCGAAATTGTCAACAAACGTTACACCCATTGAGCTGCAATAATCACGTAGCCAGTTGTGAAGAGAAAGAATCCTGCTAAAGCGTTCAATGCCACGATTCAGAGAGGGCACAGGGCCAGATATGATGGGTCTTTTGTTGGTGTCTAGCAGAGAGTCAATCAGCTCTTTAAAATCCAGTTTCAACTGATCAGAGCTGCCCTTCATAATGTCATTAAAACCCCCATTGACTACGATAGAATGGATTTCCATGTCCTGACGTAGTACATTCGGGAGCAGCTTAGTAATGTCATTTACTCGAGCTCCGGGATAGGACATTGTATTTGCACCAGGAACAGTCACATTTCTTACCATTTCGCTACATGGGAAAACATTTTAAATAATTAACTACTGAAAACACTACCTAGATTAGAATTTAGTTCAGCATTCATTCACTCACCCTACATTGTCAGTGTTGAGGGTAGAAATTGATCCGTGATATTGTTTTCTGTTGACTGTGGCTTTCAGATTGCAAGGTGGGCAACGGGGGGACATACAGGGGTCCTACTTCCATGACCATGTTGGGTGTCACCTGTCAGAGTTGGAGCGCCCAGAGCCCCCATCAGCACATCAGCTTCACCCCTGAATCCCACCCTGACAAAGGCCTGGAGTCCAATGTAAGTTCAAGGAATCTTCTTATAAGACATATTTAAATAATATCAGACGATACTGCAAAAGTATTTCATATGACAGACATTTGGGAAGATGTACTTCAATTTATTCAGCGCCCCTTTTCACTGGTAGAATTGTAGAAACCCTGACAATGACGTGAATGGACCATGGTGCTACACCACAGACAGAAGCCAGAAATGGGACTACTGCCAAATCCCAGATTGCGGTATGTGGACTACTGTGAGCAGGGTGCGAATTATGGGAGAGCCAGGGGGGGCTCAGCTTCCCTGAATGAGACATGAGTTCTCCCAAATACAACAAAAGTCAAACTTTGGGGGGTGTATAATAATGCTAATTTAACCATTCTCCTATTTGTTTAAAATGCAGTGGTAAATATGTTTTACGGTGGTAAATATTAAAATAAAAGCTTCCAAATTGAACAGACACCCCCACCTCTTTGTCAAGGTTTAAACCATTTATTTCTACGTGGCTGCACAAACCTCCATGTCCACAGCACTGTGCACTCAGTAGTGTTGAATTTTGGCCACAGCTGAGCACCTTTAAATGCATAGATTTTCCTTTGTACTTGCTCATTTTCACCATTTGTTTGCCATGCACCCTTGATAAAAAAAACTGCCTTTATTCCAATTCATAAGATTTATACATTGATTTATCATTGTTTGCTTTTGTCAGTCGGCTGTTTAGAGCGCTCATTGCGGGTACTGGTGTTCTCTGTGCTGTCCTGGCCAGAAAACATTTATTTAGCTTTATTATTTTTTATCAACATTTGTTTTCTTTCCTGGATCAGCTGATGATGGTCGACAATATCACTAGACAACTAGCCTACAGCTAGACACCAATGTGCATCCAATCCATCCAACATTAATGACAGTAGGCCTATAGTTGACTCTTTCTGTTAGAAGCATTCCATTTTGCAATGCCATAGGCCTACATTATTTTGGATTTGTGTGCCCATGAGAACTGTTTTCATGGCGAAACATAATTACATTTTATGTAGGCATTTTCCGAGATCTCCAAGATCCAGGAATCGTGCTGGATTTAAGTTCAATGTTCTAATTCAATTGTTAAATGCTTAATAATGACAAATAACAATGTCATTAATGTCAGGAAAGAAAGGTAGTGTTTTATGTCACACGATCTATGAAGACTCCATGCATTCAACTCATGAATTACGGACAACTCATGAACTAAGATGTAAACATGTTTTGATTCAACTCGTGTATTTTATTAGTGTAGTATAGGGAGCGTTATAGGGAGCGTTATATTTTTCACCGTGACTGGCAAAGAGTTTATCCACCGATCTTTTTACCACTACATCACTGGCTAGCGGAAGCCCTATTTAAAGGTCATAGTAATTGGCCTACACATTGTAGCCTAGTGTAGTAAGTTGACCCTGTGTGTTAGGGTGACCATCCCGTTTTCCCTGGGACATTTTCAGCCCCATTTCAGGTGTCCTGACTTTACAGGCTACAAAAAAAGTATATTTGTCACCAAGACGCATCAATGAATGTACTGTAGGCCCAATCAATGGCGATCACTGAATGTCATTAGGCACACTTTTTTGGTGTTTGTAAACAGATGTCTATTTCCATTCACCAAGTAGCGTTTCCATTATTCTGGAGTGGAGGAACATGCACAGGTAGCCTACTTTTTGAAGTGATTTGTTTTGTTCAATCAGATGAAAGCATCATGAATGGTTGTGTTCATGCCACATTAAAAGGTCATTCATTTTTACCATTAAATTACTTTTTTATTCTAGACCCATAAAATAAAATTGTGCACCCAAAATTGTGCACCCCCCCTGTTGTTTTAACACAGTTGTTTTATCCAGATTTACTGTATGTGGTTACTGTATGTACATCTGCTATATCTGGTCTACATTGTGGAATGCAGAAATAAAACTGTATTTTTGGTCTCCAGCTGGCTTGAAATGTGGGCAGCCTGTTACAAAGCCCATGAGGTGTTTCGGTCGCATCGTTGGAGGCTGTGTATCCAAACCCCACTCATGGCCCTGGCAGATCAGCCTAAGGACCAAGTATGGAGGATAGTATCCCATTCCCTTTCATGAATCTCATTAATATATTGATACCTCTATACAATAAGAAAAAACAATATCTCTTGGAGAACTTACTCAGTTACTCTTCTGTCCGTCCCTCTGCAGCACTGGCATCCATATCCATACCCATATCTGTGGAGGAACTCTGATCGCCCCTCAGTGGGTCCTCACCGCTGCCCACTGCCTGAAGATGTGAGAGAGCAGCCCTCATCAGTGCCCATATCAACTCAGTTGTCATGAGGCTAATTACTGACAAAACCTATACCAACAAGAAGGGCAGCTGTACATACTCTGTAGTAGTGGCCAATGTTCCCTCAAAAAAGGTCTGCTGAGCGCAAACTTGAACATTGTGAAAATTCTGTGCAACTTCCAGCACGCGTTTACTGTGAGCACTGAGGCTGTACCAGTTACAGTTTTAACAGTGGCCAAGTAGGCTACTGTGGCTATTTGATCATAATGTAGGCCTACCAGAGTGGCCTACCATCAAAAACAATGGAGAAAAAATGCATCCCATAACATTTTAACATGGAAATAGCTGTTTTATCATTCAGCCTACAGTAGCAGCAAATGTGCTTATTCAAGACGGTCTCAAAATACAACACTGCCCCTTTAAGACATAGAAAAAAGCTCTTTACCTGACTAGCTTTTCAAAGATGGCTAGAAATGCGCCCGCGCACACATGCAGATTAGAGGGAAAATTGATAGTGGCTGAGTGTTAGCCTCCTACACAGCAGAAAAGCAGCATGACTGTTTAGTATTAATAATAATAATATAATAATATGCCATTTAGCAGATGCTTTTATCCAAAGCGACTTACAGTCATGCGTGCATACATTTTTTGTGTATGGGTGGTCCCGGGGATCGAACCCACTACCTTGGCGTTACAAGCGCCGTGCTCTACCAGCTGAGCTACAGAGGACCACCGTATTGTTTACTGTGAGGTCCTAATTATGGATTACATACAAGTACATCTTCCTGTGTGTGTGTCAGATCAAAGAGGCCATCTGCCTACATGGTGGTATTGGGAACCCATACAGAGAGAGCAAATGAAGCGTCCAAGCAGGAGCGTAACCTGGAGAAACTGATCCTGGGACCTGGCGGGACAGACATTGCACTACTGAAGCTAGACAGGTGAGTGAGGCCATTGCATGTCATTAAAGAAAAACTCAATAGAATGTTTTATATTTTTCTTGCTGTTTGGAAGTCAGAGGCTGTAAAAAGACTTGTGTGATTGGTTGCAGCCCTGCACTCATAAATGACAACGTTTTACCAGTATGCTTACCTGAGAAGGATTACGTGGTACCATCTGGAACTGAGTGCTATGTGACAGGATGGGGAGAGACACAAGGTTCAAGAGTCATGCATGTTTTTTCCCCTCATGGTTGCTCTCATAACATGACACAAAATGAAGTTATTCTTCTGTCCAGGACTCCATTACTTTGTTGATGCAAATATACCAAACATTTTCTATATTTTCCGACATAAAACATTGATCTTTGTGTTTGTAGGAACTGGTGGAGAAGGGCTCCTCAAGGAGACGGGCTTCCCTGTTATAGAAAATAAAGTGTGTAATCGTCCTGCCTACCTGAACAACAGAGTCAAGGACCATGAGATGTGTGCTGGGAACATTGAAGGGGGAGCAGACAGTTGCCAGGTACATACTACCAGTCAAAAGTTTTTTTAACGGTTTTTCTTTATTTTTACTATTTTCTACATTGTAGAAAATTAGTGAAGACATCAAAACTATGAAATAACACATATGGAATCATGTAGTAACCAAAAAAGTGTTAAACAAATCAAAATATATTTTATATTTGAGATTCTTCAAATAGCCACCTTTGCCTTGATGACCGCTTTGCACTCTCTTGGCATTCTCTCAACCAGCTTCATGAGGTAGTCACCTGGAATGCATTTCAATTAACAGGTGTGCCTTCTTAAAAATTAATTTTTGGAATTTCTTTCCTTCTTAATGCGTTTGAGCCAATCAGTTGTGTTGTGACAAGGTAAGTGGGGTATACAGAAGATATACCTATTTGGTAAAATACCAAGTCCATATTGTGGCAAGAACAGCTCAAATAAGCAAAGAGAAATGACAGTCCATCATTACTTTAAGACATGAAGGTCAGTCAATACGGAACATTTCAAGATCTTGCAGTCGCAAAAACCATCAAGCGCTATGATGAAACTGGCTCTCACGAGGACCGCCACAGGAATGGAAGACCCAGAGTTACCTCTGCTGCAGAGGATAAGTTAATTAGAGTTACCAGCCTCAGAAATTGCAGCCCAAATAAATGCTTCACGGCGTTCAAGTCACAGACACATCTCAACATCAACTGTTCAGAAGAGAATGTGTGAATCAGGCCTTCATGGTCAAATTGCTGCAAAGAAACCACTACTAAAGGACACCATTAAGAAGAAGAGAATCGCTTGGGTCAAGAAACACGAACAATGGACATTAGACCGGTGGAAATTTGTCCTTTGGTCTGGAGTCCATATTTTAGATTTTTGGTTCCAACCACTATGTCTTTGTGAGATGCGGTGTGGGTGAACGGATGATCTCCGCATTTGTATTTCCCACCGTAAAGCATGGAGGAGGAGGTGTTATGGTGTGGGGGTGCTTTGCTGGTGACACTGTCTGTGATTTATTTCATAGTTTTGATGTCTTCACTATTATTCTACAATGTAGAAAATAGTTTAAAAAAAGAAAAACCCTTGAATGAGTAGGTGTTCTAAAACTTTTGACCGGTAGTGTACATGCTCAGCAACAACCAGTAGTCATTCAATTTAATTAAGGACTGTGTAGTTGGTTGTATACCGCAGATTCCACAATGAGTTTAAAGTTAACTGCATCAGAGTTTTTTACCTCTGTTTTTTACTTCTTCTAGGATGACAGTGGTGGCCCTTTGGTGTGCCATGCTCAGAACACCTTTGTTCTCCAGGGAGTGACATCGTGGGGTCTGGGCTGTGCCGACGCCATGAAGCCAGGGGTGTACATCAGAGTATCTAAATTTATGGATTGGATTAACAATCAGATGAAGATTAATTCTTCACCCTCTGCTATACCTCCATAATCTTGAGGAATGTTGAATTTGAGCCCTAAATGTAGTTATATTAAGACTTGTAAGACTTGAAAGTACAAATTAAATACCTGTGGTAAGTGATTTCTTCCGAAATTGCAAGGTTCTAGCCTGGTACACAACAATGGTGTTTGACCACATGTTAAATAAAGGAAGAGCTTGTGTGTCATTGGGATCTTTGGTGTGTCATGTTAACCTTTTTATTAATTTCAGTCAGGTCAGTCAACAATAAATGTATATAACATTAACACGACTGGGGTATGTTAACATTTGGGATAACTAGAGACAGTTTAGAATAAGAAAATCTTCTCAAAACACACTTGAGAAGATGACATTTCTGGCAATTTCTACCATAAAATTAGTGGAGGACTGATAGTGGATATCATTTGGGGATTTCCAACTGAAATATTTTTTTTAAATGATAGAAATCACCATTGTGTGTATTTTAACAGCTAAATTAATATTATGATCATTATTATGATCTAAAATCATGTCCTGTACAGTAATACATATAAATACCAGCATCACAAAAACATGAAAGGATTCACATCAGCTAGTGTTAGGAAACAACAAATGCAAAAAACATATTATAGGTTATACATTCGTAAATACAGTATATGAGTTCAGTATGCTGTCAATCTTGTGGCGAAGAGGTGGAGCAATATCGATCAGACGATTGTAGTTTCTTTGTTGGTCGTCATGTCAGTGGGCAAGAGATTTGTCAGCTGTTGACTCTTCAGGCACTTTTCTTTGTGTCTGATCACCAATGGAATATGTACAATAAATCCATATTCCCCAAACAAATCCTCTAACACACTACAGTGCAATTTAGTTTAATTTGAAGTGATAAAGAAAATCATACCTGTTTGGGAACTCAATGTCATCGATAGTCTCAGGAAGTGTTACACCTCTGGTCTCAGGCAACAGCAAGACTAAACCTCCAGCTACGAACGCTATCGCCCCTGTGGGGTACAACAAAACATATTACCACATTGAGTGTCTGACAGAAATGGACTCCTCAGACAGAAATGGTCTCCGGTGTATAAGCATCTTATAACAGGTTAATTAGTGTTTTAATCATGTACCGAAGATGATGAGTGGCAGTTCCAGCCAGATGGTAGCCAGTCTGTAGAGCAGGAACGGGGAAACGATGCCTCCGATGTCACACAGAGTGGAGCACACTGACACGCCCAGGTTCCTGAGGAGAGAAACAGTTGTAGTATTTTTTCCATAATTTGTTTCCTGCTATGTTTGTTATTAGTTATACATTTTGAGATGTGCACCCCTGGTAAACCTTACCTGACAAAGGTGGGGTATAATTCAGTGTTCACAAACACCACCATCTCAAATGCCATGGTGATGCCCAACCGGCCAACGCAGGCCACAACTGTTTTGACCCAGAAGTAACCTGCAGGAGAGAGAGAGAGACATTACTGTATCGTATGTACTATGCACATTAAATAAGACGGGGTACTACCATTTTCTAACAAGTTTCCTTTCAGATATTGCACACTTACTATCTGGGATCATAGCAGTGATGAAGCAGGATACTCCAGCTACAATGTTGGCCGTAGCAAAGGGAAGACGACGTCCAATACGATCGATGGTGAAGAGGATTAGGAAGGCAGCAGGGAACTCTACCAGGCCAGAGATCAGGAAGTCAATGTAGACGTTTCCTCCTGCGATTCCCACACGCATGATAAGACCCTGGTAGACAATAGCACTAGTGAACCTGTGAAGATGATGATACAACATCAAATTAGGCCACGAGAAGAGAAAGGGACCCTGTCATAAATGTATATGTAACGGGTTAAAGTTTGTTGTGGTTCTTGAACGCACCCTCTTGCCTCTGCCAGTCACAGGTGCACCTCCTTTTAATTAAGGGTGTGGCTTTTTGTATAAAAACTGAGCTTTTCCCTTGTTTCAGGGGCTATTCTGAGAGGATCTCTGTGAATAGCAGTGTGATGGAAAATGTTATGTTGGTGCTTTTCTATTTTATACATTTCTGTGTTCAATGTTTGTGCTTTTCTAATAACTGTTTTCTGTGTTCATGCAAGTGACTGATTGAAAGAACCCTCACTATCAGTATCTGCAATTTGGCAGTACGCCCAGACCCTTGTTTTGAGAACGAAAGATATCTCAGTTTCAAGGTCTCAGCTTAGAGAGAAGAAGCCTCGTGAGGTATTGGTCTGTCACATGCATGACCCAGTATTGGTCGGTCACATGAATGAAGCAGATGTTAATGATGAATTAATGATGAATAAGCTAAATCATGCAAATATAACTTGTCTGCAGTATATAAGAGTACTAACGGAACTGCCCCATTAGAGCTCCTGACAGACGTTCACTATGGTGCATCAAGTTCGTTGTAACCTCTCCAGCGCGCTGACAATAAACAATGAATAATTTAAGATTGACTTAGAGTTTTCCTGTGTAAGAATTTTCACAATAGTAGATATGTGCAAGAACAGAGGGATAGGCCAATGAGTGATATATGTTTCAGTAAGGTTGGCTTCTTAGCATTCATAGCAATGCTTATCAACTGTACCGCAGAGATGAAACGTAAGTCAGCTAAAATACATGTGGTGGCAGCTGCAGAGAAGTAATTGGGGGTATGAGATTTGACTTCAGAAGAGTTACAAGGTGTGTTGAGTGGTAGTGTCCAGTCCTCTCAGGCAGTTGGCCTGGGGTAGGATCAGAGAGGGTTAAAGTAGTGGAATAAGGTGATTTGTTTGAATGAGTATAGGGTTAGTTGGTAGGGTAATTCAACATTTATTTGTATCTTTATTTTATTTACCCCTTTTCCATTTTGTATCATAAAGTGTAATAGATTTATACTATACTTGAATTGGGGGCAGTAATGGATGCCAACCACCATTAAACTCCACTGAAGAAGAAGATGTTTCAGGGGATCCCCTAAAAATTGTAAAGGCTGGCATGCCGTTGGAGGACGGGAGCAGCAACCATTGTGTATTGCAAATGGACAAGTTTAATCGGGAGTAAAGGTTCTATGGCAAGAGTACCTGTCTCCATTGGTGCCGCTCTCCTTCTCCCTTGGCATGTTCTCCTGGGTTGTTGTTGGTATGTATGATGTATTTTATGTTGCCCAGAGTTAAACAGAACATTCTGAAGCGAAACCTTGATTATTGAATACTGTCCCGGGGACCTCACGTATAAAAAAGTAGTAGTATCGGCTACAGGGAAGATTATTTATGGTATAATCCCCCACGTTACATATAGCTTAAGTGCTGTTGTAATTTAAGCTTAAATCATTGGTCATAGATGTCTAGCAATTTTTTGCAGCATGGGTCTTACCAGTTGAACATGAGGATGAAGGTGTGCTTTCTCATGTTTGGAGTTCTGACCAGATCCAGGAAAGAGGCAGTTGAGGTCTCTGCATTGTCATCGCTCAGCGTCTGTAAAATATGTTAGGCTATGGAAGTTGTCATCAAATCTAGTTTAGCAGTGCCTTTTTAATTATGTATGATCCCCTGAAACATTTCTTACCTCAATGTTCTTGGAGAGGGTTTTCTTGTTTTCCTTCGCTATTGCCTCAGTGATCTCCTTAGCTTTGGTTGAGTTGTTCTGAGAGAGAAGCCATCTTGGAGACTCTGGGATCAACCTGGAAGCCAAAATGTGAGACGCAACATGAGGTTTTCAGAACCATGCAGACATACAGTATAGCAGGGCATTGGACATGGTGATCCTACAACAGGCCTGTATAATATCTGAGGTGATTCCGGGTCTTACCAGAAGTAAGATAGAAATATGAAGTAAGGAACAGTGAAGGCCACCTGCAGCCAGCGCCAGTCAGTGATGAGGTAGGCAATGAGGGTCAAAACGAGAATGCCCACACTGAAGAACATCTGGAAAATCACGCCCACCATCCTCCTGTACTCAACTCCCACCAGCTCAGTAACTGAGGAGACAAGTAAGCAGTGTTGGGGAGTAATGAACTACATGTAGTTCAACTAGTAATTTAACTGCATTGAATTCAATTCAAATCTTGGTAGTGTTTTCAGTAGTTAATTGCTTTTGCCATGTAGCGGTGTAGCTAACTAATGGAACAACACAACAATTTGTGCAAAAATAAAATATGGGTAAAGTAGGCAAAAAAGATTTTTTTCGGCATCAGACCTGCCTAATTCTAATTTGAAACAGTTTTTGTGTTTAATAGGCTAAAGTACACCTTCTGTAAACATCTGACTCCAGAATGATCTGTTCTTGCAATTTGTAGTCTATGACATATCAGATTTAGACATGATAATTTATCACAAAGTAGTTTGGGTGTAGTGAACTACTTTTTAAAAATGTAACTTTAGTTAAGTCAACTATATTGTTCTTAAAGGTAGCTTTAGTGTAGCTAACTTCTTTCAGTGTGAAGTAATTGGTAACTTGGTCAACTATATTTCCCCAACACTGCAGGTAAGACACATACTGTACAGTAAAGCATGTAACCTTAAGTCAAGCAAGAGTTTTACTGAAACATAATTTGACCATCCTCCTCTGTTGAAAGTTGCATAGGAAATAAACTAACTTCCTATTTACTAAACCATAAAAATTTGCTGCAAATTATTAATCAAAATCATATACGCCGTAGTTAATATATCAACTTTTGTGGGACAAAGGTTTTTTTTTCATACTAAGCACATATACAGACATCCAGCCTCCCTTGACAGCAAAGCCAAAGATTGTGCGAAATACAAGCATGGATATATAGTTTGGAGCCACTGCTACAAGTATTCCAGCAACCCCATTCAAGAGGTTGGACATCAAGAAGCTCATTTTTCTGCCGAACCTTCAAAGAAGAAGAAAAAAAGATCATGTAAAAACAGGATCTAATATTGAAAAAAAGAATCTTTCTTCTGCGTTGCGAAGTAAACTTACCTGTCAGCCAGGTATCCAAACGTTATGCTTCCAACGAGGAAGCCCACATTGAGTGTAGCCTGGTACATGTCCACCACCCAGGCATCATTACATACCAGGTCAAACTGAAATGAACAAATACCTCATAATGAACTGCCATATTAAAGAGATACTTGGGGATTTTGGCAATGAGGCCCATTATCTACAGTACTTCCACAGAGTCAGATGAACTTGTGGATGCTATTTTTATGTCTCTGTGTCCAGTAAGAAGGAAGTTAGAGGTAGTTTTGCGAGCCAATGCTAACTAGCGTTAGCACAATAGCTGGAAGTATATGGGTATCTGCTAGCGTGCTATGACTTCCAGTTAGCAATTGGGCTTGCGCTAGTTAGCTACTTCCTTCAAACTGCACGCAGAGACATTAAAAATGATATCCATGAGTTCATCTGACTCTGGGGAAGTAGATAAAAGGCCTCGTTGGCAAAATCCCAAAGTATCCCTTTAATGTCTTAAAACATTAATTTGTTTAGTGTTACATAACAATACAAGTTATTGTCTAATAAAAAAAAGGGACATTTCTCACCTCGGTCACAAAGGACTGCCTGCCTTGATAGTCATACTCCCAGCCTTCTTTGCAGGAGGTCATGGGAGCTTTGCTGCGGTGGGCGTCGGTGAGGTCAGACTCTGGGTTGTCACAGGTCAGACCCGTATTGTTCCAGTCCAGGTCATACTGTTCACACTGGCTGTGGACCAGCACTCCTGAGGTGTTGACCAGAGGGACCGTGATCTTTCTAGTGTCCATCAGGTTCCAGCCACAGCTCTGCCGGATCTGACTCACCCCTGAGTCCCGGCACCAATGCTCTGGGGTGAACCCCTGGAACACAATGCCCACATAGACCCCAGAAAAAGGCAACGACACCATACATAGCAGAGCGAAAATGCGCTTTTGGCAACGACCAAAATTCCCTGCCTCCTCTAGGATTTCATCGAAGGTGGTCATGGTTGCAGCGTTGGGTGTCAGAAGCAGAGATACTATTTGTGAGACTGCAGGGGTTTTAAAAGCAAAGAGCAGATCAAAAGTCCAATAGTGAGGTTGACCTTGGACTTACTGTGTTGAATCGCCAACGGAGGCAGCATGTTACTTTTTAATAGTGCTGGCTGTGTGCAACTCCACTGTGTAGCATATCTGAATGGTCATCTACTGTAAAGTGTCACCGAGCCAAATCAAATAACACACTTTCTGTCTCACAAAGAAATAGTGCCCTTACGAACCCTTAGGAAGTGGATTACTTTTAACTATAAAAGTTGTTTTTTAGACATATTTATAGTATACTCTTTCACACATTAATTTTATGATGCTAATACTTCACTCTCAAAGTGAACTTAGAGCATAGTTTATACATTCTAAGTTGGGATGGTTATTATGCAAATTAGACACTGTGGATTTTTTTGCTATACTCCTGCAAGATAATCACATAATTGTAATTGTAGTTTAATGTCACATACTTTTATTACAAGTTGGTGTGTTTGCGGATGTAGGGTTGTGTAACCATAGACATTCTCTCTTACATATTTTCTGCTCACACAACATAATGTCAATTCACAGAAACAACACAATCCGTCCACTTCTCTAAAATGGCAGGTAAGTAAATGTCAAAAAAACATTCACTGTTAATAAATTATTTGATGACAATATTACCAACACTTATAATAACAAAGCTAGGGCAACAACACATTTCAGTTAATTACTTTAAACACATGATCAAATAAAAAAAATAAAAACATGTCACAAAGCACATGATAAAATAATAATACGCCATTTAGCAGACACTTTTATCCAAAGCGACATACATTTATTTATTTTTGTGTATGGGTGGTCCCGGGCATCGAACCCACTACCTTGGCGTTACAAGCACCGTACTCTACCAGCTGAGCTACAGAGGACCACCGTGATCTGAGAGGGAGATCTTACTGTAACCATGGACACATGGTAGAGGTGAAAGAAATCAAAATAAGTTCCAATCAGAATAAATGTATTCCCCAAGTAAATGCACACATACCCAGAATTTGACTTAGTGAATAGGTGCTGCCAGCAATAGACAATGTAAAAAAGAATACAGACACACAACATACAGGATATATAATATAAAACATAAAACTTCACAAACACCATTATACAAACAATCCTTATTGTATTAGAGACAACAAATTAAACGGACAGGTAACGTTAACATAAAATAACATGAAATAATAAATACTGCTCATCACCACCCTCTCATACTTTCATCACCACCCTCTAAGAAGTCCAGGAGGGAATCAGACAGTCTCAGGTTCTTTGTTGGTCGTCATGTGGGTGGCGGTGGGCAAGAGGCTGTAACGGAAACATTATAGTTGTGACTAATAAGGCTATTATAGTTCCTGATATGTTCTTGTTGTTTGTGGAAAAGGTATACCAGTTGAAACTGGTAAGGATGAAGGTGTGTTTTCTCATGTTTGGAGTTCTGATTAGGTCCATGAATGAGGCAGTTGAGGTCTCGGCATTGCCGTCTCTCATCGTATGTAAGATACAGTAGCATATGAAAGTTATTCTTCAATCTAGTTTACCATGCAGTGCTGTCTTTGAGTGTCTGTAAGATACAACAGCCAAATGTGAGTAATAACAAACTACATTTCAGTTACTGGAGCTTTCTTTAGTTTCTTAAATTTGATCTACCCTTCAAAGCAATAATTTCTCACCTCAATGTTCTTGGACAGGGTTTTCTTGTTTTCTTTAGGTATTGCCTCAGTGATCTTCACAGCTTTCTTTGCGTTGTGCTGAGAGTGAAGCCATTTGGAGACTCTGGGATCAGCCTGGAAGCCAGAATAGAAAATGCGATATAAAAAGCTTGAATACATGAAACGCACAAACAAAAATCTACCTGAATATATACAGTACGAGGCAGTTCCAGGTCTTACCAGTAGTAGAACAGGAAGAGGATGTAAGGTGCAGTGATGACCACCTGCAGCCAACGCCAGTCTGTGATGAAGTAGGAGATGAGGGGCAGGATGAGAATTCCCACACTGAAGAACATCTGGTAGATGACTCCCGCAGTTCTCTTGTACTCTACTCCTACCAGCTCAGTGACTGAGGAGAGGGGATAAAAGCAGGGCATGAGGACAGAACACAGAGGATACATAGAGACGAGAGAGGAAGCCTCTGACATGATGCTATGGTCAAAAGTGTTGTGACTGAAGTGTGATCTCCACAAGAGCAATATGATGTAATTATTACAGCTACAATTTGTAAAACAACAATTTGAAATGTAAAATTACAATTAAAATGTTAAGGTTTTAGACATTGTTTAAAAAAGTAATGTTGTCATACTCAGGACATATCCAGCCACCAACCCTTGTCACCAAAGCCATAGAATGCTCGGAAGACCAGCATGGATACCCAATTTGGAGAGCATGCTACAAGGATTCCCAAAATCCCATTCAAGAGGTTGGACATTAAGAAGTTCTTCTTTCTGCCAAATCGAAAATGAAGGAGAAAAAGGAACACCCAGGGGATGGAAATTCAAATCTTTATATTTCATTTTTCCATCTCTACACATAGTATTTCAGAAGTTTATTTCTTTCAGTAAGGGTTCACTCTCTTTTAGCAAGTCCACTTTCCTTCACTTTTCTCGTTCTTTAAGTCTTTCTAAAAGTCAGTAAGAAATCTGCACTGGTGGGATCTTCTGTCTGACCCACATAGCCTTCCGTATCTGTCAGCCAGGTATCCAATGGCTATGCTGCCTATGAAGAAGCCCACTTTGAGTGTCGCCTGGAACATGTCCACCACCCAGGCATCAGCACACACCAGGTCAAACTGAAAATCACAAATACCTTATCATTCACTGCCATCTTAATCGGTTCATTGTTCTGAAATTCAATTAAAATTCAATGTCTTGAACATACAGTACCAGTCAAAAGTTTGGACCACCCTCTCATTCAAGGGTTTTTCTTAATTTTTTACTATTTTCTACATTGTAGCATAATCGTGAAGACATCAAAACAATGAAATAACACATATGGAATCATGTAGTAACCAAAAAAGTGTTAAACAAATCAAAATATATTTTATATTTGAGATTCTTCAAATAACCACCCTTTGCATTGATGACAGCTTTGCATTCTCTCAACCAGCTTCATGAGTTAGTCACCTTGAATTCATCTCAATTAACAGGTGTGCCTTCTTAAAAGTTAATTTATGGAATTTCTTTCCTTCTTAATGCATTTGAGCCAATCAGTTGTGTTGTGACAAGAAGATAGCCCTATTTGGTAAAACACCAAGTCCATATTATGGCAAGAACAGCTCAAATAAGCAACAGCTCAACAGTCCATCATTACTTTAAGACATGAAGGTCAGTCAATACTGAACATTTCAAGAACTTTGAAAGTTTCTTCAAGTGCAGTCGCAAAAACCATCAAGGGCTATGAAACTGGCTCTCATGATGACCGCCACAGGAATGGAAGACCCAGAGTTACCTCTGCTGCAGATGATAAGTTCATTAGAGTTAACTGCACCTCAGAAATTGCAGGCCAAATAAATGCTTCACAGAGTTCAAGTAACAGACACATCACAACATCAACTGTTCAGAGGAGACTGTGTGAATCAGGCCTTCATGGTTGAATTGCTGCAAAGAAACCACTACTAAAGGACACCAATAAAAATAAGAGACTTGCTTGGGCCAAGAAACACAAGCAATTGACATTAGACCTGTGGAAATTGGAGATTTTTGGTTCCAACCACCGTGGCTTTGTGAGACGCGGTGTGGGTGAACAGATGATCTCTGCATGTCTATTTCCCACCGTAAAGCATGGAGGAGGTGGTGTTATGGTGTGGGGGTGCTTTGCTGGTGACACTGTCTGTGATTTATTTAGAATTCAAGGCACACTTAACCAGCATGGCTACCACAGCATTCTTCAGTGATACGCCATCCCATCTGGTTTGGGCTTAGTGGGACTATCATTTGTTTTTCAACAGGACAATGACAGTGTCTGTTACTTGAACTCTGTGAAGCATTTATTTGGCCTGCAATTTCTGAGGCTGGTAACTCTAATGAACTTATCCTCTGCAGCAGAGGTAACTCTGGGTCTTCCATTCCTGTGGCGGTCCTCATGAGAGCCAGTTTCATAGCTCTTGATGGTTTTTGCGACTGCACTTGAATTATCTTTCAAAGTTCTTGAAATGATCAGTTTTGAATGACCTTCATGTCTTAAAGTAATGATGGAATGTCGTTTCTCTTTGCTTGAGCTGTTCTTGCCATAAAATGGACTTGGTACTTTACCAAATAGGGCTATCTTCTTGTCACAACACAACTGATTGTCTCAAATGCATTAAGAAGGAAAGAAATTCCACAAATTAACTTTTAAGAAGACACACCTGTTAATTGAGATGAATTCAAGGTGACTAACTCATGAAGCTGGTTGAGAAAATGCCAAGAGTGTGCAAAGCTGTCATCAAGGCAAAGGGTGGTTATTTGAAGAATCTCAAATATAAAATATATTTTGATTTGTTTAACACTTTTTTGGTTACTACATGATTCCATATGTGTTCTTTCATAGTTTATGTCTTCACTATTATTCTACAATATAAAAAAATGTTAAAATAAAGAAAAACCCTTGAATGAGTAGGTGAATCCAAACTTTTGACTGGTACTGTATATTTCATAAAGTTCTCACTTAAGTCACAAAGGACTGCCTTCCTTTGTAGTTATACTCCCAGCCTTCTTTGCAGGAGGTCATGGGAGCTTTCCTGCGGTGGTCGTCAGTGAGGTCAGATTCTGGGTTGTCACATGTCAGACCCGTATTGTTCCGGTCCAGGTCATACTGCTCACACTGGCTGTGGACCAGCACTCCTGAGGTGTTGACCAGAGGGACCGTGATCTTTCTAGTGTCCATCAGGTTCCAACCACAGCTCTGCCGGATCTGACTCACCCGAGTCCCGGCACCAATGCTCTGGGGTGAACCCCCAGAACATAATGCCTACGTAGACACCGGCCCATGGCATGGAGATCATGCATAGCAGGACAGTGATTCACTTCTTGGATCACCCCAATTTGCCCACCTCCTCTAGGATGTCATCAAAAGTGTACAAGTACATGGTTGCAGTTCTCGGTCTCTAAGACATTTGTGACTGCATGGTTTTTAACGGTGTGAAAACAATCAAAGGTCCAACAGAGGTTGACCTTCGACCTACCAGTGACCAGACGCATTTAGACACATTCACTAGAGCAGGCTACAGACGTCAATTTGTTAATCTACTTTTGGTTTGGTAATGGGCCAAATCCAGTAACACATTCATTGATGGTCCATCACAAACCACAAAATGTTTTTCATTGTTACATTAGTGTATACTGTTTGTATATTTGTTGTCTTGCTTGATTTTACCTGGTCTTGGGGAGTTACAGATGCATTGCCCACTCAATTACATTTAATAAAGACTTACATCATGCCACTATGTCCATTTCATTACGGTCAATATTTACTGTATTGTAAAAACTGAATACTTCTCAACTGTGTTTGTCACTTTTTTCAAGTTTACAGTGGAAAGTCAACAGGGTCAAAAATATGATTGATCTTACAGAATGTTTTTTATGACTAGGGAAACGTGTAGTCACTTAGAAACATACAGTACTGAGACTTCTGAGGTTCTGTTCAATAAATGCATCAGTGCGTTGAGGTCAACCTGTTGACCTTTCAGAGTAACAGAGTAACCTTAGCACTTCCAGGATTGTGGAGATTTGGCTAAATGATGTTCCTCTTTAATAGAAACAACTGTGACGGACAGCTGATCTGTTTTTATTCAAATAATGCAACATTTTTACATCAACATTTAAATATGAAAACAGACAAAAGCAGTAAAACATGTTTGAGAAAATAACATACAAGAACCAAATCACCTCCAAAACTACCAACTCATCAGAATGGAGCTCCTTATCCCATGATTCATACCCACACAGATTAACCAAGCAGACGTGCTTTGGTGCTTACAGCAGAGCTAGACATTATACAACGAGCAAGGAGTTTCCTTCACATTACTACCACACAGGATTACTTTCTATCGCTCCTGAGGAGAGGTAGCAAGTGCTCTTTCCCCATATCAAAGTACCTGAAGATGCCTCTTTTGTTCTGAGGGACCAAACTCAAACACTGGCTTGCAATGGTTTGCATTCTTAGTTATTTTTCATCATCTGACTTCTACAGTTATGTCTGTTTTAAATGTTTGCCTTTGTGCAGTTGTCACAATTTCAATGCATGATCTTGAAGGTGAGGAAAATTATGAAAATAAATACAAAATTAAATCTTTTTTTTATCTCGCAAAACATTGTGAAGCTTTTTGTGCTGCTGCAGGGAGGACCACTTTTCCAAAACCTTCCTCCTATTAATAACGTGTAGCTACAAACCTTAATAAATACCCTGAAAGGTCAACCATTCTTTTTTTGGATAAGATCGCTATGGCCGGCTGCTTGCTAAGTGTGTGAACATTAGCTTCAACCCTGGTGATAAACACTGGCATAACAAAGTAACTCTCCAATTTGACGTCTGAAGAGAGACAACGGTAACAAGCATCCTATAGCCAGACTGGTTAGTGAGGCAAGTTCCACTTCAAAAGCTTTTTCTAATTACTGTTCTGTACCACTGACATGAATATGAGATATTGTCCCAACTACAGATACATAAGAGTGGAATTAGTGACTGCCTGTGTACATGTGGTTTTAGTACTGGTGTTTGTTTGTGTACTTGTGTGTGCCAACTGATAAATGCTAAATTAATTTCAAAGAATCCATATATTTTCCCAGAAAAGTAATACTGTGATTGCTGCTATAGACCCAGTAAAGCATCTGCATTGGATAGATATGGCTGAGCAAGACTGAAAAGGGGATCTCAAGCTCACAAATACATTGCATCTTTAAATGGCACTAGCTACATCTTTCATGACTTCCGTTTGAGGGATAGCACATGCAATTTTGCAAAAAGTGAGTTTCAGATCAACAGAAAACTTCCCCTTTCAAATAAACTTCGGTCATGACTTTGACAAGGCAACATCTAGAAGCAAAGTTCATTTATACCATTTAACAGATACAGCAACTAGCTGTGCCTGTGATGTACATATGGAGCGCAAGTACAAAACCACATGATGATTTGATATACTGTTGTTGAATAAATACGATTTGGGGAACTCAAAAACATACAACTTAAGAATCCCATGTACCAATGAGTCATGGTATGAGCAACACAATTTCAAGTCCCTGTTTTCCCAATAACTTATCTTTCATTTTCACAACAATCCATTCACACAGAGGCCAATCATGTCCAATCCTGGCAAGGTTAGCAGTATAGAGTTTTACAGAGCAAATCAGTCCGCAAAATGAAATAATAAAAAACGTGAATAAGCAATTCTCAGGAACATGCAAGTGACAAAATAGAATCCCATTACCTATGTACATAAATTAAATATAAATCAAACAGTACAAAAACAATTAATTGATGAAAACACTAAATCAGGAAGGCATCAACTTTCTTTCGAAGAGGGCCCCCCCAAAAAATCTGCTCTTTAAAACTGTAAACAGCCAACAGACATTTTGCATCGTTCCCTTTAGAAAATAAACAAAACTCCTAAGGGTTTCTGCTTTCTTGCGTTGTTGTCGTTGTGTGGAGACATTCAGAGAAAGAGAAAGAGAAAGAAAGAGTAAGAGATAGAGATTAGTTCAGGTGGCTTGGACGTGACGGGGGGGATGGGGAGTCCCTCACACTCTCAGCAGGTCCTCATCGCTGTCATCCTGGAGCTCTTGTTGTTTCCTGTGGGGGGGTCTGTTGTCACGGTGAGGCTTGGCCCTTCCCCTCCTCTCCCTGTCCTCCAGGAGCCCCACCAGGTCCTCATCACTCTCCTCCTCCAGGAGGGCGCTGCGGAGGGGCCTTGAGGTGCGGGTCCTGGAGCTCGAGGGCCGTAGAGTGGTCCGACCACCGTGGACACGCACCCCGGGGACAGATAGGACCTCGTCCTCACTGTCCTCCTGCTCATCCAGGGAGAAGGAGCGCAGGGCGTCGCCGTTGACGGGCTTGGTTGTGATGTGGCCGTTCTCCTGGCCCTCCTTCCCGAGGCGAGAGGACATGGCTGGGGCCTCCATCTCCTCCATCAGCCACTCCATCTCATCCTCCACTCCCTCATCATCCATGATCACCTGAAGGAACAGACAGACAGACACAGGGGAAAATATTAAGCACTGGGCAATCGCCACACCAACATTGACATGGAATCAATTACTTTCAAATATAAACATTGAATTGAAAGAGACTATATACACTGTAGCATACTGTGTTTTTTAAAATTATTTAACACAAAGCTGGTTGGTTTCCTCTCTACTATAGGGTTTATTGGTGTGGATACCTTGGAGTATTTATAAGAGACAGGCTTTCCTCTCCTGCAACATCCAATCACTTTCTGTATAACCAGCTCCCTGGAAATAGAAAAGATTTAGGAGAAGATTAAAATAAATAGGATGCATGTACCATATGACCAAAACACACTGAAGCTGTATTCACAAATTAGTATCCATAGGCCCTATGCTAATGGGGAAGATGAAGAGGGTAGATGTCTCTACCTCCTCTCTCGTTTGTGCAGTAGCAGAACCAGCAGACAGATGGTCAGCACAACCAATAGCACGCTCAGGACTGCCCCCATAGCCTGGCTCCTCCCAGACAAGGCCATATGGTCCTCCCCTCTGTCATCGTCAGTTTGCTTGGACGCGGAGGTGTCCACAGTTCTGTATGGCACACCAGACAAAATGTCACACCTCTTTACTTTATACAGCATCTTTCATTCAAATTCAAAGTCCAATTCAATGTAAGGACTAGCAAAAAATGAACAGCTCTGGGTCGCTTTCAATAGACACAAATGGAAGAAAGACCTTTAAAGCTGAAGTTGAAAAGCCTAGTATTTTTATAGGCCAACTTCAGGTAGTATTTCCTGTTTCAAAGCATTTTATCCTGATGTCTGTGTGTAGAGTTGTTGACTCACACTAGGCCACAGACAGTGGAGGTGTGCCAGATGAAGAGGTACTGGCATCCGTCCGTCTCCAACAGGAACTCTGGGATGCCCTCCCCGGCTGAGGGGTTACAGTGGAACAAGATGGCCGACGACGCCTTCATGGACTTGTCCCGCCCACACACAGACTCAGATGGGACCAGCACGTCCAGGTTACCACCTGAGGAGAGAAAGTACATCCATCAATCACAAGCAGCTTAATGGAGTGAGCTCATTGAGTCATTGACGTCAATGTAAGTATCAGTACTGTATCTTGTGAGTGATGTTATCCGTCTCATCTTTAATAAGTGCAAGGTGAGGCACTGAGGATGTTCAACACCACGCCCCAAACCCAACCACACTCTATTCCCCAAAGGCCCAGACCACTTTGGAGTAAACCTGTGTCTAGCTCACATGTCTTACCTTTGATGTAGTACTTGGCCTTGCTGGAGGAGCCGATCTTCCTCCTGTAGTCTCCGTTGATCTTCACCTGGCAGATGTTGGCCCCCAGACACACTGAGAAGGAGCTGTCGGTGATGCCTGACAGCTGGATGTCATAGATGTACTTGTCCCCATTGGAGCGAATGTCCCCAGAGGCCTGGTGGAGCCTACGGAGAGGACAGAGGGACAAAAAACCTGGTCTGAGTAAATTCATAAAAGGCTTATTTTATCTTCCCTCTAGTACATTTATAAATGTTTGTTTTATGTTCCCTGCTGGAACTGTAGAGAGGTTCAATTGCATCAGAGGCCCACTGGTGTTGTGATAGGCATTCAGGCAGTTAAGAGGCCAGAGCAACATTTGACCCTTTATGACATAAGAGGTTTTGACCCACAACGGGGGCAAAATGGCAGCCATCTTAGTCAGGGAGGAATCCAAAACCAGTCTAATTGGAATGAATGGCAGTAGAGGCATAGGTGATGCATTTCCTGCTTTTACTAATGCAGGAAAATAAAAGTAAGCCATGTGAACTGTGAATTGACTGGATTGTTGGCTTATTGGCAGTTAATTTGAAACATTTATGGAATAATTTCTCTAAAACTGGTTGGCTAGCTAGCTAGTTAACACACATACAGTGCAGATAAATTCTTCACATTCATTGTTTTACACAATATCTTATCACAGCACTGGCAAAACCATGGTTGACCAACACGGCTGATCTTTGGACCATCATAAGAAGGTTCATGTCCATTCTAGTATTCTAATTCCTAATTCTATGCTTTGACCTATGATCTCTCTCTGTCTGGGTTTAGGAAATCCCGATATGAATCCAAAACCAGCCACAGGGACTCCTGACTTCCCTTAGCAACTGAGGTTGTTATATAATACCAATAGGATGCAAAGAAGCTTGTTTTCCAACATATAACCTCAATGACCTGGAAGATAACATGTTATATATATTTTTCGGCTCAGCACATGAACTTGACTCATAACAGGTGTCAATATAAGATGGTCAGGGTTAAATGGTTTAACTCTAGCTGTATGACCCTTACAAAAAAAGACTGCAGTTTTGAAACTGCAGTAAAAGTGCAGTAACTGCAGTCGACTGTGGTATTTTGGACACAGTAATTGCAGAATATTCTCTTATTTGTGGATCTGTAGGGAGAACATCATTTTTTATTTTATTTATGTCATTTTAGCAGACGCTCTTATCCAGAGCGACTTACAGTAGTGAGTGCATACATTTTCATACTTGTTTTTTTTCTTCTATACTGGTCCCCCATGGGAATCAAAACCACAACCCTGGCGTTGCAAGCGCCATGCTCTACCAACTGAGCCACACAGGACTAGAATGGAGAGGTGGCCTGGGTTGTTGTTACAAAGTTGGTTGATTGAACTGTGTTGGTGGTGAGAGGTGTCACCTGTAGTAGAGGGCCCCCAGGCTGAAGTTGGCACCTGTATCGGGAACTTTGATGGTTCCGTTGACCATCACCACCTCACGTTGTTGAGCAGCGCATGCCGCACGCGTCTCCCAGCCCAGCACAAACTCACACAAGGCTTCATCCACGCTACGCAGAGACAGAGACACAGAAATGTAGTCACTGAGTGTGTGTACGGTATGTGTGTGTACGGTATGTGTGTGTACGGTATGTGTGTGTACGGTATGTGTGTGTACGGTATGTGTGTGTGGTAGCGAGAGTTAACAGGCATCCTACAAAGAACGACAAATGAAACCGTGAACGATGGAAAAGTTTCACTAGAAAAATAAACATGACGTTCAAGACTTCAAATTTATATTTAAGTGGTCAATTTTCAACTATGAAGGAGGTTAAAGTGCCTCTTCAACTTGATTATTCAGTAACTTTTTATAGTGTTGTTGAGTTGAATAGGTAGATTTTTCCCACAGGACCACGTTAGTTGCTGACAGGAAGACAGTTGGCTTTCCCTTGTAGGAGGTGGCCAGGTCCCAGATCTGTTTGTACTGTATAGCCAACAACCATAGCAGTTGGTTATACGTCACAAACAGGTCTGGGACAAGGCTACAGCGGAGGAGACTCTCCCAGGCTAACTGCTTACAGCCCACTCACCTCAGCAGCTTGGGCTGGCCTATGTTAGGACCACAGGTCAGCTGGACCACTGTCTTGGCCTGGAGGCCGTTCCCACACACAGTGTCTCCCATGGTGTAGCTCACTAGGATCTTCTTATCTGGGAGAGGGAGGGTTGGTAAGGCAATACGTCTATAACGGCTTATCTTAGTGGGTTGGGACACAAACACACAAGCCCAAGAACCATGTGAAACGTAACACATGACATTCCAATTTTGAAAGAGTTTCCTCCAGTCCTGCTAAGGTGTGGGTAGAGGGTAGCGGGATGTGAGGGAGCTGTAAGACCCACCTGAGAGGGCCATCTTCTGGGTGTAGACGCGGCCCAGGGTCTGGGTCTTCCCCTCACTGGTCCTCCGGCACACCGTGGCTCCCTCAGGGCAGTCTGGCAGGCCCCCATGGATCCCCTGGCACAGGTTGATGTAGTACCTGGAGACAGCACAGCCAAGCTAGAGTTTAAAGATGTTTTTTTCTAACAGCTTGCCACTACTGTGCATGTTCACTCATCATCATGTAGTACAGAGGGAGAGAAAGACAGAAGGGGAGGAGGGAGAGGAAAATATATAGAGGAAAAGGGAAAAGCTAAACATACGCCGTTTTGTTGTGGCTGAACTTCCAGGGCTCTGTGAGAGAGGAGAGGGTGCGCAGGTCGTAGGTTTGGTGCTGGTTCACCAGCTTACACTCCATCTTCTTGGGTGGGCATACAGTCGTGGTTCTCCACTGGAAGGTGGCAGCGCAGCCTCCCGTCTCACTGAGAAGCTGTGGGGTACCGTGGCCAGCTGACTGGTCACAGGTGAACAGAATGGACGACTGCCTCTTCCCTGTAACTGAGAGAGAGACAACACACACAGCAGAATTGAGCACAGCTAAGCCCAGAGCCTCCAGGAGACACAATCAAAACTCTGTTCCACATTATACAAGACTGCCTATTAGCATTGCTTTGACCAGTCATTACCATTAGCGCAGAATCCCCATTTCCTGTCCTTATTAAAGTCGCTGGTGGTGGCACACCAGAGTCTCCCATCCATCCTGCCCTCGGTTGTACACGCTGTGTACGACTTCTTCAGGAAGTTGAAGGGAAACACGCACACCTCCTCATTCTCAGTCACTGAAAAGGAAAACATGTACAGCAATAAAAAAACAGCACTATATTTTGTCTCAAATGAAATGAGCTTCACTTTGGGATACAACACCACAACAGGCAGATAAACACCTCATCAAGGCATCATAGGTTGCAAGTTAAATAACACCATATATAATGCACTGCCACACACGGCACTGGTTAAAAGCGGTCCACTATAGAGGGTGTCATTTCCGACTTGGTCATAGACTCAGAGGCAGGACTGACTGAGAACAGTCTAACCTGCTGGGCAGATGTCTCCTCCTCCGTACTGCATGAAGACAGCTTGCTCCTCATGTTTGTAGTCCATAGTCATGGCCTGGCTGATGCCATAGGAGAACGCTGATCCGCCCGGCGACTGCACACACACTGCACTGTTCTTACAGTTGGGGTCCGCCACCGCGCCACACACATTGATCTTAAAGGTCTCCGAGCCAACAGGCACCTGGCAGAGAAAGACAAAGGGTATCAACGAGGATGAAAGGCATCAAGAAAAAGAAGAACTACTTAGAAAGAAAGCCCTGTCCACCTAATACATGGACAACTATGTGTTAATGCATAGATAAGAAATATAGCTAAGTAGCTATAATAGAATATGTAGGGTATAGAGGGTAAGAGGTCACGTAGGAAAGGTCAACCCACCTGGATCTCCCCAGAGAGGGGTGAGAGGTCAAAGGTGAACTGCAGCTGTGAGTCAGTTAGGGTACAGCCGCTGGTCTGAGTGGCATCAGGACAGACCACTGGAGTGGCCCACGCAAACATATACATACAGTCCTGCTTCCTGATCATTTGGGGCGAGCCCTGGGGGACAGGAAAGAGGCTTTAATACTGCAAAGGCATTACTTCTATTTCTGCCATCTTTCAACACAAGAACCATCAGTGAGAAAAGAAGACAACAATGAAAGAAAAGGTCTCTTCATCTGTGCCACGTGTGGTACTGACCAGCTCCAGGCCTCTCTGGCAGGTGAACAGGATGGTGGAGGTGGAGTTCTTGTTGGAGTTAGAGGGGCAGGTGGTGGTGCTGTTGAAGGTGATTGACACCTCATTGGTCATGCTGTTGAACTCTGGGGTGGAAGTGATTCGACCAATGTCCTGTTAGCAGGAGAGAAACACAGAGAGAGAAATCCTTGAGCATGCTGGTTTGTAAACGCAGAGGGAATACTATTAAAGAGTCTTCATTTCTGCTGTGTGTGTGTGTGGGTGTACGTGTGTGCATGCGTTTCTGTGTGTGTGACTCACTACAGGGGGTCCCGCGTCGGGGTCCATGCAGACAGCGGCCCCTGGGGGACAGGTGACCCCAGGGATGGGGTTGAGGGGCTGGCAGATGTTGATGTAAAAGTCAGGTGACTGGTCCTTGTCCACCAGGTCCTCGTTTGTGGCCATGTAGTAGCCCGTCACATGGATCAGAGGAGTCAGGTCAATTAGGGTAGAGCCGTTCAGGACGGAACACTTCACCTATTGAAACATCATGAAAGTCAGAGAGACGATGGGGGCTAGCAAAGAAAAAAGACACACATCAGATGGTTACATATTAAAATGGCCTATTAGATATAATACAGCCAATACAGTATACCAAATTCTAATAGAAAGTTGATGTCAGTTGAGGTAATTCCTCTACCATTCAGCAGACTAAACGTTATGTATTAACAAAACCTTTCAGTCACCTGTGTAAAGCAGCACATGCATGTAGTTTGGTTATTCAACACAGACAGTCAGTTAACATCAGTTACAGTACATGAACAGCACATCGACTTGTTTGAAATGACTTTACATCAAGGGCTCACTGGTTGCCTGATATGTATGGCATGACTGGTAAGCTGAATAAATTCCACCTATCATATCAGGGGCTAGGTAATGCAAATTGCCATATTGCTTACATCTATCCAATCCTTTCAGTTATACTCAGTCTAGGGGTTAGGAGGCTACGGGTTGTTTTGGAATTGGGAAACACCACCTGTAATTACCTGCTGTTCGCAAACCAGGGGCGTGTGCCAGGAGAAGAAGTGTGTGCACGTGTTCTTGTCCGAGTCCACCAGTACCGGCCCCGTGCTGGCCTCTCCATGGGCCTTGCACACAAAGCTGATGATGCTTTTGTGTGTGATGGCGGGGTTGGCCGCACACACAGCCCCGCCCTCATAGACCAGTTCCACCACCTGGTCCAGGTATGACAGCTTCCTGCTGGCCCGCCCGCCACTCAGCGCACTCTTGGTCTCCTTGATACACACACCTGCACCTTCACACACACACACACACACACCAAAATGACCATAAGCAACTGAACGGACTGTCTACGTTGATCAAACTCAAGTCGAAGTGCTCAATTTCGGAAAGCCAAATATTCCGTTTTTTTTTTTCTCCCCACTTTCGATCTTGTCTCATCGCTGCAACTCCCCAACGGGTTCGGGAGGCGAAGGTCGAGTCATGCTTCCTCCAAAACATGACCTGCCGCCCTATGGGACTCCCGATCACGTCCGGTTGTGATACAGCCCGGGATCAAACCCGGGTCTGTAGTGACGCCTCTAGCACTGTGATGCAGTGCCTTAGACCGATGCACCACTCGGGAGGCCCCGGGGATTAAGATTTTTTGTTTGCTTTTTTGTTTCAAAATGTCTCATGTGAATGCGTGTGAATGTTTGATTGTCTTTGAACATCTAGTTCTCTTTTCCCAGTAAGGTAACATTGGAGAACCAGCCTCACAGTCCTGAGTTTAAAGCAGAGCCACAGACCTATAACATAATACAGCTGAATAAACAAACATCGTCTAGAAGAGTCTGCTTCATTTTGAAACAGTCGTCTTGGGACCCCTGTCTGGTCCATGGATCAGTAAGCCGATCACTGCTGGATGGCAGACATTGGCAGGCCTGTTAATTGATTCCTGAGAGGATCTGGCTTTGACCAGTATAAAAAGAGCTTTCCCAACCAAACCAGAGCTTGTGAGATAGAATATGGTCGTACCTGTGTCTGGTCCACAGCCTGCGTTGGCCACTTCCCCACACACGTTGAGCCTGAACATCTTCCTAGGGTCCAGGTTGTCGTACACAGTGTAGCCTCCCTCCTGCCTTAGTCCGTTCAGGTCAAAGAGGTGGCCTGGGTTCAGGAGGGCAATACAGCACATACACGTGTCAAAAAAAAAAACAATAGCACTAGGAGTTGCTCAGTAACTCTGTGCGGTTGTGTGCTTGACTACTGCACCGGGATTCTATGAGAATGGTGGTATTTTTCCATGTTAATCATACTAACTTCAAATACTTCCTCAGATTTTTTTATATGGTCTAGTGCAGGCAGCGGCCTTTCAGTTTTCAGTGGCTGTGTGTGGGAGTGGCACTCACCAGTGACTGGATTGGTGACTCTGCAGTCGCCATGCTGGCTGCTGTTGAGGGGGCAGGCAGCTGCAGTGAACCACACAAAGGTGTAGACACAGTCCTCTATGGCCGTGATCAGGGTTGGCCTTGAATCCTGGGGTAGAAACACAGTCAGTCTACTCAGTTACATTTTACATTTTGGTCATTTAGCAGACGCTCTTATCCAGAGCGACTTACAGTAGTGAGTGCATACATTTTCATACTGGTCCCCCATGGGAATCGAACCCACAACCTTGGCGTTGCAAGCGCCATGCTCTACCAACTGTGTGTGTGCATATCTGTGAGTTTGCATATTTGTGTGTATGCGTATCTGTGTGTGTATCTGCATGTGTGTGTTATGTCTATGATCCCTTACCACTTTGTCCCGGTCACATTTGAAGCGTATGATGGTACTCTTCTTCCTCTGTCCACCGGGACACATCTCTCCATTGGTGTACTTGAGTACCAGGATGTTCTGGTCCCACTGTGGGGCAGACTCGGCCTCTCCCAGACTCACATAGTGCTCCCCACTCTTCAGACAGGACGCTGCGTTGGAAGGACACTTCCAGGAGCCTACAACATGAGGAAAGAAATATATATCCAATGGTTCAGAAGGTGAGCATAATTGCACCACATTCAAATTGTGACTGAAGACTATGAGAATGTTGATATTTGTTCACACAATTGGGAAATAAAAAGGATATAGGAGCCACCAGTGTCCTTCATATAAAGGATTGTGGTGTCGGAGATAGGCACTTACCCCCCTGTTGCACCAGAGACTTGCAGACATTGATGTAGTAACGCTCCTGCTTCCCAGTGCTGGGCTCCACCACCCAGTTTCTGGAGTCCAGGGCCAGAGAGGAGAGGTCGTACGAGTTGCCATTAGAATCTCTGTGAGAGGAAGAATAAAAGGCAGTCAGAGAGATAACAGACAAAAGAAGAAACCAGTCATTGTCTGGGAGAAAGAGGAGGTTGTGGTGGGAAGAGAGCTCCCAGAATAGAATATGACTATGCGTACTGGTATGAGCAGCTGGTAGTTTTGACGGGGATACAGGCGAGAGCAGTACGCCAGGTAAAGAGGTAGGTGCACTCTGCAGTCTCCTTGATAAATTCTGGCACCCCCTATAAGCAGAAACAACACAAAACAACCCCAGTATCTACCACACTCAAGCACACTTTGGGACAAGCAGAAAAGTTGCATTAGACGTTTCATCTTTAGCTTCGCTCAGACTCACAGGGTTCATTTTAGGATGACAGGAGAAGTAGATTGCTGTGGATCTCTGGTAGATCTTGTGGCAGGTCTCCCCACCAGTGTAGTTGAGTACCAGTTGTTCTCCAACATAGCTCAGAGTCTGTGAGGCCATCCCTGTAATAAATGATTTAAAAAGCAACATGCCTGAGGTTTTTGATCAGTTACTAACAAACTAAAATCAAAGCTTTTTAAAGACCAAGTATATTACCATGTTTACATACCGGCAATTCTGTGGGTGCTGCCTTCCACCTGACAGGCTGACACCTGGTTACTTCCTGGGTCTTTATGTGTGCAGATCCCGCTCTGAAGCCCCCCGCAGACAGAGAAGTGGTACTGGTACTGGCCACTCTTCACCATGTAGTCCTTCCCTGACAGGGAGCTCATGTCAAACATGTAGCCACTTCTGGGGTCCTTGACTTTACAGTTTTCACCTGCAGGAGTCAGGGAGAGGAGAGTTAACTTGAGCATGATGATGACACTAGTGGAGAGAAGTAACAGTCTTACAGCCACAACATTAAACATGGCAGCCTCCTCTTTCAAGCCTACCTTGAGCACTGGTGAGAGGACACGCCTCGGAGGTTCTCCAGACGAACACATATTCACAGCCGTCTTGGCGGTCAAATACAGGAGAGCCCTGTTAGTAAAGGAACCAACCAAGAAAAATATAGGTATTAGGAGGGAAAATATATGGTAATAGGATCAGTATCATCAATAAGTAAAATTTCATTATGTTACTCACAGGGTTGGCGTCACACTGGAAGATGATACGTGTGGAGTAGTGGCCTTTGTCACAGCGGTCCCCGTTGAGGTAGACAATGCTGATGGAGCCGTCAGAGGCCACCTGTGGGCTGGACTGGACGTAGCCCAGGTTCACACCTTTACCCTCCAAGGTGCCACACGCACCCAAGAGACCAACTGCAGATGCATACATAGATGCATGTACAGTAGTTAAAACACAAAGCTAAACATTGGCAGAGTAATGCTAAACTGATGGTACAACACAGAGGTATTCCACCTCACTGGCCAGCATATCAACATAGGCTCATGGTGTGTGACTCACCGGGGCAGCCCTGGACCGGAGGAAGAGGTTTACACACGTTGATGAAGAAGCTACGTTTCTTAGCCTGTTCAGCCGTGTCGATGGCCACCCAGGGACTGTCTTCACTGTCCCTGCTCAGGTGACTCAGGTCATACTCGTTACCATGGGAATCTAAAAAGAGAAGGAAAAACTATGTATTTTAATTAATGAAGAGACCCATTTCTATGACCAGTTTTTTAAGGTGGATAAAGTGATATATGCCACGTTAGAGACGTACTGAAGACATCCATACTGTTTTGAAGACATTGACAGTGTTCCTACCAGTGATTTGACAGTCCACAGGGGCAGGGATGCATGCCAGTGCTGTGGAGAACTCAAAGAGGACATCATGGGTGACGTGTGTAGATGAGCTGAGCTCTTCTCGGACCAGTTTCAGAGTGCCAGAGTGGGCATCCTGGTCACACACAAAACTAATGGTGAAGGTGTTCCTGGTGCCTGGGGGAGAAGGGAGGAATCAGGTCAGTTATCAGACCAAATGCTTATGAACTGACTTATTAAAAAGGGATTTTCCAGAGGATTGAAAACTATGTTATTTTTTAAACATCTCGTTTTGGACTCAACGTGTCAATGTATGGCTCATACATGCAAAATAAACGACCTACAGTCCTCTCCCAGCGGAAAAAGGCACAGAATCCTTACATTCAAACCTGCCATCACTTGGTGCCTGAGATCTAATTTACGTGCTCGTTCCTGTCATGTAGTGAACGTACGCTCTGAAGCGAGTGGGATGAGTGGCTACATGCGTTCACAATTAGTTATTTTGATAACAGCCAAAATACATAGATCATATCCATGCATTTAGAAGATAACTGTCAACCCGATCAAAAAGACTGTACACTTAATTTTGGAATATATTGCACAACAGGTTATAAGGTTTTTACCAGGCGTGTGATCCCGATCCCAAACGTGATGGACAATGTTGATTGGCAGGTGGAATTATGTCCAATGAGGTTACAAGGTTAAAGTGGGAGGGATCAGGTCAGCCCAGTATTGTCCAATGAGGTTGCAGGGTGAGCCCAACATGCACACCATTTTTTATTTATTTTTTACTCTCTATGCGCACACGTTACAGAGGCTCGAGAACAATGACGTGATGACGACGTACACAATTGTACACAATTTTGGCAGTTTTGGCTCACGAGCACTACTTTCAAAACTACTGACGGAAATCATACTAAACTTCTGGAAAATCTCTTTAAGTCAAAGAATGTTTGAGAAACGAAGGCTATAGCATCCAAAATAATGTGGATTCAATTTCTTAGGCAGCCATGCTATTATTGTCATAGTATCCTAACTGGCGATCTGTAATGTGCAACTCTTTTATATAAGACTGTGTGTACGATTTTTGTGCAAATCATGCATTTATGTCGAAGGGAGCAGCCGTGTTGATTGAAGATAGCTGGGTCCATTGACTGTACCTGTAGGCCTGTCCAGGTCTCCTTTGTATGTGAGTGTGAGCAGGCCGTCAGTAGAGTACTGTAGCGATCTCTCCACTCCTACAGGACCAACAACCAGGCCATTGTCCAGCTCACAGCCAGCTACAGGCTTCCCCTGGTCCTTCCCACACTCTGCCACCTCGTCGCAGATATTTACCTGGGGGGAGGACAGTGTCATATAGTCAGGCACAGTGCCCAAAAACACTACTACACAAACAATGTGTATGTGTACATTTCACTGCAGAAGTCAACTCATGAACCTGGGGAAATGGATTCACTTTAGTTTACTTTATTTGACAGGGACGATGCACATTAGTCAACATTTCCGTGAATGTGCCATTTCTGCTATGCAGGCCAGAGACTACAACCTGCCACCGTGTGGAGAAGTTAGAATGAAACATAACTAAAACTGCTTGGATATGCATCGATCCCTGGTTCAAATGTTTCCACGGACCCCAAACCAATCCAAATGTAGCATGCATCAGTCAGAAAATCGATTGAAACGTTACAAATTGCCGGTTCCCTAAAATGTTTTGCTCATATTACTTTCCTTCTACCTTCCCGAAAACCTGACCAATGATAGGTAGGCCGCGCGTCACCTTCAGCATTCAAATGTTTGTAAAATGGCTTGTGCAATTTTAGGCTTTATTAGTTGAGTGATAACCAATGTAATTTGCTAGGTTATTGTTATCAAATGTGCTGTTTAAAATTGTGTTTTACCAGAATAAAGTAGCCTAAGCAAGCACCTGAGACAGGACTCATCTGGCTATATAGCCTACCTCAGGGGTGTCAAACTTTTTCCATGGAGGGCCTAGTGTCTGCAAGTTTTTGGTTTTTCCTTTCAATTAAAGACAACCAGGTGTGGGGAGTTCCTTACTAATTAGTGACCTTAATTAATCAATCAAGGACAAGGGAGGAGTGAAAATCCAGACTCGGCCCTCCGTGGAATGAGTTGGACAGGTGGCCTACCTGCTGATCGACTCGTGGCTATATACTGTAGGCTACTTGCTGATCGGGGCTTAGGCTAAATTAGATTTTATATAGAATTTTCAGGTTCACCATCAGCAATAGTTTTGGTATTTTTGCTTTAAACAATCAGTGTATATGGTCATTTTTAGACATACAGGGTAAAGTTGATAATTTCATAACGAGGCCAACAATCACTTTTTCTACACGTAGTGCACAGTCAAAGCGGGAGGAAAAGAACACTTCCAAACGGTCTGCCATTCGATTTTGAAACGGGGGTGAAATCCAAAGTTGTGCTATGTAATAGCTAATTTTTTAAGATCAATATTTATACATTACGAACTCAAACCCTTTGGAACTGCAAAAAATACAAATTAATTAGTGGGTAATGGTGATTTCAGATGAAAAGTGGGGGGACAAAAAGCAAACATTGCCCCCCTTATCTGATAGCGTGGTGATAGATGCCCAGTTTCATCATAACCACACACACAGTCAGCTCAAAGAGCTCCAGCAGAATGGAAAATGAATGTGTTTATGCAACAAATGTTAGTGCATCGAATCGTATCGCATTGATTTGTTCTTCTAATCATACCGAATAGTTTCAAACTAAAACGTATCGTTCCTGTATCGTATCTGAGCATATGCATCTAGATACGTATCGAATCATCTTGAAAGGGACAGATGAACATCCCTAGTGACTTACCACAAAAGTTTTCCCATTCCCCTCAGCCTTGTAGCCAGTCTTAGAGGACAGAGGATGCAGATTGAACTCAAAGCCGGTGTTGGGATCCCTCACAGAGCAGGTCTGCCATAGAATAGAACAAAACATTTAAAAAATCATTGACGAGACCTCCCCAATCTAACAGAAGATCTAAAGACTTTATGGGCAAACATTTGCTTCAAGTTGATGTGGAATCCAACAGCTCACCTTGTTCTTCTCATCAGCAGTACTGATGGCACAAGCTGCCCCGGTCTCCCACATGAAGTTGGCCGTACAGTTTCCATAATTGAGGAAACGAGGGCCGGACGACTGCAGATACAGACAAAGAAAGGCACATCTCACTCTTAAAATCCTAGACAGACTTTATGATATACATTTTTTTGACATTGCTTTATAAATATGCCATTTCACTTACCACAGGTCCTCTGGAGCAGACCAGGTGGATGTGTGTAGTGTAGGTGAGTTTCAGTCCATCGGAGATGCACTCGGAGCCGTCTGTGTACTCCAGCAGCAGGCGGTCCTTCTCTTCGATCACTGGACCTCTCTTAGCCAGGCCCATGTTACTGACAGACACCGTTTCAGACAGAATGCCCTGAAGACAACACACAGAGAAAGACCAGGGTCACGTCGAGCTACAGTTCAGTACTAAGACAGACCCACAGCGGATGGCTACCAGAACCAGAAGAGGGATACTAACAGTCTTACCTTAAATGTATATAAATAACAAAATAAATATATATATAATTTTTGAGGAATAGTCTCTCAACTTTTTAATGCTGTTTAATGCGCTGTTTTCCTGATAATGCCATTGGTTAGATACTGTACTCTGGTGATATAAAGAAACTGAAGTACAAGTTCCATGACCAAAACAGTGTATAACACACATCATAGTGTGTAAACCTCATCCTGTAGGTCATCCTGGAGCTTTTACACTAACCTGCTGAGGCTCGTATTTCATCTGGCAGACGGAGGCCTGGCGGTCACAGCCCTGCACGGCATTCAGAGGACGACACACGTTGATGTAGTACTTCCTCAGGTTGTTAGGGTCAGACAGGTCCATGGCCTGCCAGTTCCTCCCTCCACTAGACCGGGAGAGACTGGGAGAGAGGAGGGTTACACACATTCTTCAAATATTGTTTCATGTCTGCCTTCATTGGACATAACTAGGACAGAGTTTTTCCTGATTCCATGACCTGACCAGGACAAAGTAAGCTTTGTGGTCTGGGAAAACTCTGGGCCCTAGTCATAACATATCCTTGTGCAGGGAATTCTCACCTGGAGAGGTCGTACTGGTCCAGAGTGTTGGGGTCTGTTACCACACACTCCTGTGGCCTCTCTGGACAGGCGTAGGACGTATACCACCTGAAGTTATAGGTGTACTTGTCTTCCAGCTGTGAGGATCAATATGGTTATAAATAATGGTATATTCATGGTATAAATATTATACAGGTGGAACAGTGCATAGGTGAACCATATGAGGAACTACTTATTAGAGATTGGATGAGATCTGTCAGCAGGACAGGACAGGACCCAGTCAGTACCTGAAACTCTGGCTTGCCGGCGCCGGCCTCTCGGTCACAGAGGAAGGAGATCATAGTGGAGCGAAGGGTGTGCTGCATGTTGTTGTACTGAGAGCCGTTATTGTAGGACAGCTTGATCATCCCGTCATAGTAGGACAGTTGAGAGGTAAATTCCCCCAGGCTCCATGAATTAGAGCCACTGTAGCAGACAGACACACCAAACATAAGAACAGAAGCTACAGTATATCCATCCATTACTTCAGACTAAAACGGTCAGTCCATTCAGTCCTCCTCTAACCTCAGTCTGAACTCTAAAGCACATGTATGAAGCCCAGATATAAGCTTGATCCTATTTTCCTACTACTGTAATAGGGCACTTCCACCTATTGTATATCCACAGGGATTTAGTATGACATGATTTAAATGGTTAATACATGCCTTTGGTCCACTTGGCAGGCCCCAGCCTTCAGAGGGCATTTGGCTGCAGTGACAGAGCCACAGACGTTAATGAAGTAGTCATAATCTCCATTGGACATGTTGTAGAAGCCTCCTCCAGGTTTAGACAGGGGGGACAGGTCAAATGAGAACCCTGTAGAGAGAAGACAAAAGAGAAACAATTATAGTAACGCATCAAACAGCCATATTACATCTCCATAATCTAAACCTCCTGTCCTTGTCTCCCTGCCTCCATATGAAACAATATTAAAGTTCTGGACAGGTGGACACAAATTGCTGTTAGGCATCTGGGTCCAGTGGGTCCATGTGACCTACCAGCTTGGGGGTCTTCCACCTTGCAGTTGTCCCCCTCTGTCCTGGACATGACGCAGGCTGCAGCCGTGTACCACTCAAACTCATACACACAGCCATCACTGGACACACTCCGCATGATGGGGGCGCTCTCTAGGTCACCTGGGTAGAAGGACAGGGGGAGAGAGGGGCGCACACACAGAAAGTCAGGAGGAGTTGAACAGGTAGACTTTAAAGACAACATGAAGGTAGAACTGAATGCTAGCTAGCTCCACTTTCAGGTAGTCTTGTCACGATACCAAAATGTTGACTTCGGTACCAGGTTTAGTATCACGATACCAGATCCCAAAACAATACCACAGCAGAAAAGAAGGCGTATTAGCCATAGTCACAGAATGACACTTGTTCCAGAAAGATATTTTGAGTTCAATTTCATTAGAGATTTTGGATTTCTGAATGTATGCATTAATGAATCAATTATACAAAATCATACAATAAATTTGACTTTGGTAAAAAAATACAATCTAACTACATAATTATTTATTTGAATGGTAAATCAAGCTGTAGCCTATAGGCCTATTCACAATACAGGTAAATGCATATTCAATAGGAGTGTGGGCATGCATTGAGTTATTTGGACAGATGAAAAACAATCTCTTTCCATTCCAGCTGGGACTTACATTATTGTACTGACCAACAACATTTGCATAGAAGAAGCAATCTCTTCTTTTATAAAAGTGCGCACTGTCTCTTTAAGACCCATGACATCATTCACACAGTCATTGAAACACAGTCATTTCGAGGTTCCACACAGACAATCTTGACTGGGAGAGACTAAGTGAATAAATAATGTTCTGGTGACAATCAGCAATATTTTGCATTATGGCAAAGGCATCACTTTCCTCCTTAACTAGCTTTAATGGCGGGACGTAAAACATTTTAAAAAATGGAAAGATATGTATACTGTCTTAATTTTCCACCACCATTTTCGGGTTTTCGGATGACTTAGGATGTTGCACACCGTGTCCGGAAATGGTGGTGGAAAACTGTTTTATTAAGACAGTACATGTATTTTTCATTTTTTTGGGGGGGGGGACGGCCCGACATTAAACCTAGTTAAGGAAGAAAATGATGCCTTTGCAGCCTGAATGGAGGATGCTTTATGTACGAGCTGGTCCACAAGTGTATTACCGGCTGGGCACATCAATCCAAGACGATAGTGCAGATCTAACGCCCACTATCGGCTGCCTAGCCTACATTGGAAAGGGTTTTAGCCTAGATCTAGCAATGACTAAGTGGAGCAGGCATGGTGCTCTCATGTTATAAGGGGACATCGGCAGCACTGATACAGACTTGATCCTCTCTCAATCAGTAGACGACGTGAGACACATTTGACAGAAGTACCGAAAGTAACAAAAATTCTAGTACCGAACCGTTTTTCATGTTCTATTAGATCAAATGAAAAAAAGAGTTTCAGTATACAGTGCAACACTACTTTCAGGCAAACAGTTGTTCACCTTGGACTCCGCAACTAACTATTTCTAACACTGTCACCTGGCTTGCACTTCAGAATCATGATGGTCTTGATCTTCATGTTCTTCCTGCATTCTCCTCCCTCAGTGTATACCAGCTGTATGTCGTTGCTGTCGGTCTTGTTAGGGGAGGTGAGAAATTTGCCCAAGCTGATGACTTTGTCCTTTCCTAAAAGAGAGGATGGAATACATATTTTTTAAGGCAACAAACAAGCTACAAACTGTAAGCCATCTTGGTCTCTCAGATTTGACAGTATGCTGTCCGTGTACAGATAAGAATCAGGGCCTGTATTCAGAAAGCGTCTCAGAGTAGGTCTAGGCTCAGGTTTGCCTTTTAGATCATAATGAATGAGATTGCATGGATATGGGGGACCTGATCCTAGATCAGCACTCCTACTCCGAGACGATTTATGAAGACAGACCCAGATCTTCTCCAGACGTACCCACGGCGCAGATGGCAGCGTCCTCGGGACAGGTGCTGGTGGCCCCCTGCTGGAGGACTTTGTGACACACATTGACGTAGAAGCGCATCCTGTCTGACTTGGGGGCATTGGCATCCACAGCCTCCCAGTTCTGGGCCAACTCAGACTCTGAAAGGCACAGATAACACCAAGACAAGTTATGTGGTTCAGCATATACACTGACTATACAAAACATTAAGAACACCTGCTCTTTCCATGACAGACTGACCAGGTGAATCCAGGTGAAAGCTATGATCCCTTATTGATGTCACTTGATAAATCCACTTCAATCAGTGTAGATGAAGGGGAGGAGACAGGTTAAAGAAGGATTTTTAAGCCTCGAGACAATTGAGACATGGATTGTGTATGTGTGCCATTCAGAGGGTGAATGGACAAGACAAAAGATTTAAGTGCCTTTGAACGAGGTATGGGTAGTAGGTGCCAGGCGCACCGGTTTGTGTCAACAACTGCAACGCTGCTGGGTTTTTCACGCTCAACAGTTTCCCGTGTTTCTCAAGAATGTTCCACCACCAAAAGGACATCCAGCCAACTTGCCAACTGTGGGAAGCATTGGAGTCAACATGGGCCAGCATCCCTGTGGAACGCTTTCGACACTTCTCAGAGTCCATATCCCGATGAATTGAGGCTGTTCTAAGGGTGGTTGTGGTGGGTGCCACTCAATATTAGGAAGGTGTTCCTAATGTTTGGTATACTCAGTGTACAGTATATTTAAATGTATATTTATTTATTTATATAATTTTGTATTTTACCCCCCTTTTCTCCCCAATTTCATAATATCCAATTGCGATCTTGTCTCATCGCTGCAGCTCCCCAATGGGCTCGGGAGAGGCGAAGGTCGAGTCATGCGTCCTCCGAAACATGACCCGCCAAACCACGCTTCTTAACACCCGTCCGCTTAACCCGGAAGCCAGCCGCACCAATGAGTCGGAGGAAACACCGTCCAACTGACGACTGAAGTCAGCCTGCAGGCGCCAGGCCCGCCACAAGGAGTCGCTAGAGCGCGATGAGCCAAGTAAAGCCCCCCCGGCCAAACCCCTAACACAGACGACGCTTGGCCAATTGTGCACCGCCCTATGGGATGCCCGGTCACAGCCGGTTGTGACACAGCCTAGGATCGAACCTGGGTCTGTAGTGATGCCTCAAGCACTGCGATGCAGTGCCTTAGACTGCTGCTCCACTCGGGAGGCCTTAAATGTGTATTTAAATGTAATAGGGCTCATACTCATCTTTCTGTTCACTTTCACTTAAAGTATAAAATTAGAAGTCAAGGGGCTGGTCATTTACATTCATACATGCTGATCATTAAACTGGGATGTAAGGTGAACGCAGTGTTCAAGCTCTCTGTAAATGGAGATGATCCAGGACTCCATCTTACCAGGGTAACGTGTTAAGGGGGACAGGTCATAATGCTTATAGTGCATAGTCTTCTTGTCTGTGACCATGCAGAGTAGATCCTCCGTCTCCTTGACACAGGCGTAAGCCGTCTGCCAGTCAAAGTAATAGGTGCAGTCTGTCTCACCAGCAAACACAGGCGAGCCGCGGCCACCGTTTCCTGAGAAACACACAAATAAGGAATAAGGGGGAATGTAATGGACATGACTTGGATCTGTCATTGTGGAGTGGCCTCTACAGCAGAAACCATTGTTCATTTAAAAGGGCCTTGCTTTCTCTTCGGATATGCTATGGGTTATGCTCACCTGCCAGTTTGTTGCACTCAAAGTTGATGATGGTCATGCGCTGAAAGCCCGAGCTACACCTGCTCCCATCTGGATAGATCAGAGTCAGATCTCCATCAGAGTACCTGGAATAGAGTGCAATAAAAAGGGACAACTGTTACAAATAAGGGGAAAAGAAAGAGAGAAGCTGAGATGGAGAAAGCGGAAGACATCTGGCAAGAAAAGGAGTTTATTAATATTTAAGAAACCTTAGTGTTTGATTTTTGTATCTCCCGGCAATCTTTTTGACATCTCCTGTTGCTTTGACTTGGCAGGCTGACACATAGTGCTGGTCGTCACCACAATCTCCTGCCTTGGTTTCCCCACACACATTCAGGTAGTAGGAATAGCTGTCCTTCCCATCGCTGCTCTTGGCCTCAGCCATATAGGGATCGTCTGTAGCTACACAGACAGAACGTGACGCAGTGATATATTTCAACACGTCATTCACCGTTAGAGGAAGTAGCTTAAACTGTGAATAAAAATTAGCCTGAGTCAGTGAGAATTGGGACAGTCATATGATTATTCATAGCATCACTTCCTTTTATTACACAAAAAATATGCAATGTTTCTCAAAGCCCACAATGCTCTGGGCTGGTGGACTCACGGCCTAGGGTGAGGTGGGTGAGGTCTATGCTGATGTCGTGCTGCTTGCTGGTCAGGGTGCAGTTGTGGCTCTCCAGGTAGTCTCTGTGGCAGGCATACTCTGTCACCCACTCTACCTCGTACCTGCAGTTGGACTTCGCTGTCATCTTGGGGTCACTACCCTGTAATGGCAAGGTCAAAGGTCACACATGACTAAAATTACATCTTAACTGCCTAAGGGAGATCTTGTCGTTTAATCCAGTGTTTAAATGTAGTATTATATGAAATACCACTATTCTATGTATTAACACTTTCTGTAGTATGATTAATTATGTGATCAATTGGAGATCCATGGGACAGACGCCCAGGCTTCCGTCTTACCTCCTGCCTAAGTGAGGGGCAGATGAAGGTGATGGTGACAGCAGGATTGTGGCCACTGCAGAAGTCCAGCGGGCTGTCTGAGGCTCCCTCGTATCGCAGGCTCAATCTGACACGGTAAGAAAGAGAGAGAAATCTGCAACTCAGCAAGGCAACGCAGCTCTGGAGCTGGTCAATAGCCAAGAGGTCAAAACAAAGGTCTTGCAGCAATTACTAAGACTGAGGCAGACTAGAGACAGAGACTGCTAGCTAGCAATTAGCATTGCCTGTGTTTTTGTATGGCATTAGCGTGGCTGTACCGGTCCTTGGAGATCAGCTCCAGCTGGGTAGTTGGTAGGCCCATGCTGAAGGAGCCGTTGCTGGTGGTCAGGCAGGCAGCAGAGCCTGCGGTGCAGGGGCTCTCTGGTCGGTCTGTAGAGGAGGCAGAGGTGATATGAGTTAGCCTAGGGATTAAGAGTGTTCGGCCAGTAACCGAAAAGGTTGCTGGTTCGAATCCCCGAGTCATTTAGCCACCCTCATGAAGCTGGTTGAGAGAATGCCAAGAGTGTGCAAAGCTGTCATCAAGGCAAAGGGTGGCTACTTTGAAGAATTTCAAATATAAAATATATTTTGACTTGTTTAATACTTTTTTGGTTACTACATGATTCCATATGTGTTATTTCAGTTTTGATGTCTTCACTATTATTCTACAATGTAGAAAATAGTAAACATAAAGAAAAACCCTTGAATGAGTAGGTCAAAACCTTTGACTGGTACTGTATATGCTAATGAACAGTGATGTAGATTCATGATGTACATTTTTATACCGTATTATTCACAGAATAGTAACAGGCAGGTCTAAAAACAGTATCACTGAACAATTGAGCACAGTAAATAAACTCACTTAAGCTTCTGCATATGTTAATATAAAAGTCAACTTCATCATCAGAGTCATCCACCAGGTAACCATCTGTGAGTTTGATGAGTGGGTTCAGGTCATGCTTTTTCCCATCCGTGTCAAAGACATAGCAGGGGACCTAGACACAGAGTGAAAGAGTAAAGAATTACAACATGACAGGATTGATCGTCTTCTATTTTCAGTTTGTTCTGGACTGGTACCTACTGTAACAGAAATTTAATATATACCAAGTATACCAAACATTAGGAACACCTTCCTAATATTGAGTTGAACCCCCCCTTATGCCCTCAGAACAGCCTCAATTCGTCGGGGCATGGACTCTACAGGGTGCGAAAGCATTCATTTACATTTTAGTCATTTAGCAGACACCCATATTCAGAGCAACTTACTGGAGCAATTAGGGTTAAGTGCATTGACAGATTTTTCACCTAGTCGGCTCGGGGATTCGAACCAGCGACCATTCGGTTACTGGCCCAACGCTAGGCTACCTGCCGCCCTAGGGATGCTGGCCCATGTTGACTCCAATGCTTCCCACAGTTGTGTCAAGTTGGCTGGATGTCCTTTGGGTGTTGGACCATACTTGTTACACACAGGAAACTGTTGAGCATGAAAAACCCAGCAGTGTTGCAGTTCTTTACACAAACCAGTGCGCCTGGCAACTACTACCATACTCCGTTCAAAGGCACTTAAATATTTTGTCTTGTCCATTCACCTTCTGAATGGCACACATACACAATCCTCAATTGTCTCAAGGCTTAAAGATCCTTCTTTAACCTGTCTCCTCCCCTTCATCTATACTGATTTTTAGTGGATTTAACAAGTGACATCAATAAGGGATGTCATGGAAAGAGCAGGTGTTCTTAATGTTTTGTTTACTCAGTTTAATATTGGAATGACTATTCATTTTTTTCCCCTTTGAACAAGAGGCATCAAGTGACTTTCTGAGAACTCGTGATTTTCCACAGTGTGAATGTGCTCGTCACAGACTCACCTCACAGACTCACACAGTGGGACCAACGCAGCCTTACACACTGTCACTGACTCACACACACCACAAATGGGTGACATACACACGTCCTGCCCTGACAGCTGCAGACCACTATTCAGACATACCTCTTTATTGGGCTTGTATTTATCCTTTTTGCAGGCTGCATATGTTCTCCATTCAAAATAATGAACACACTGGGCCACAGTGACAAACTCTGGTGTTCCCTGGGGGTAAGATAAAAAATATAGTTCAAGTTGACATATGACATACTGTTTGACCTGACAGTTTGCTTTGTCTCATAACTGCAACAGTAGAAGTGGGTGTGATGGCCTACAAGGAAGTCACTACTAGAGGAACTGGACTAGCAGCATGATTACTGTGTTTGTTCAGCTGCAAAGCTACTGTTCCACCCATGGTCTCTCAATACTGCAATCACATGGTCACACTTATCAACAAGCAGGCCTGGTATTGTTTTTTATAAGGATAGGAGGGCACTGTATGATATTTAATATAAATGTTTCTCAATAGAACTTAACATTTTCAAATAAAGAAACCACCACAGTGGTTGCAGTTTCATTACACCATCGGATTGACAAAGAACAACGCTTTGTGATGAAATTATTCTCAAACTAAAACCCACAAGTGTGGTTTGACAGGAAATTCATAAGCAGCTTTCAATACATATATGTCCCATGACTACTCTTCCTTTGTAATGACAGGTGCTACTTGTGACTTACCATAGTCTTCCCACACTGGAAACTGATGCTGCTCTGGACATTAGTACCGCTACTGCCTGGGCACTTCTCAGTGCTGTTGAAATCTATCACGCTGCTCCCAGTCACTTTCTTTAAGGACAGATCCCCTGGAAATAGAAGTGGATGAGTGAGAAACACATGCCTTTTAAACATGCAAATGCTGAGACAAGTAATAGAATTGTTTAAGAATTTGCTTCAGTAGGCTATGCTGAACCACGTACTCCTTGCAAAACAACCTCAACAATTCACTAAAACCTTAAACATTCCCAGTGGTTTCTAGCGGATGATTAATACAGGTTTCAACTGAATCTGAAGCCTCCACCAACTCTCCCAGTCCCTACAGTGTTGTGTCAAAGCATTAGGGCACAGGGTCTGGAAGGGTTAGTAGTTGAGGCCATTTTTCTGCTGAGCTCTCTGGCCATGTACAGTCCAGAAAGAATAACAGCATGGGAACGTGACCTACTGCATAACACAGCATGGGAACGTGACCTACTGCATAACACAGCATGGGAATGTGACCTACTGCATAACACTGCCTGTCTCTGTCTGCTCTGCCAACAGCCTGGCCCCTGGGCAGGCTCCAAACGTACAGTTACAGCTAAACGCCAACCAGAGAGAGAGAACAAACTTTCTGACCAGTTATTACCTCAAAGACACTGTATTTTCCCCTCTAACCACATTGGCTGGGGTTTCTGTTATTGTGTTTCAAAGGGGCAGAATCCAGCAAGGACTAACTGCTTTGCACAGCAGAAAATTCCTTCTCAGAGGGAGGTAAAAAGGCTTAGAGTGCAGCACCAACCGCAAAGCTTTATGTAATGATAAGTAGGGCATTTATATTTTACTATCGCTTGTCCAGATAGCACTGAATAAACAGAGACTGAATCCACTGCTGTGTTAGTGAACACTGTCACACTCACAAGTGCCATTGTGATTCCTTTCATGCACCATGCTTTATGGCTCTTATATCATTAGATATTTTCAGTATGCATGCATGACTAAGTCGATTTGGATAAAAGGGTCTGCTAAATGGCATATATCTATATACAGGAAGTCAGAAGTTTACATACACTTAGGTTGGAGTCATTAAAACTCGTTTTTCAACCACTCCACAAATTTCTTTTAAACAAACTATTGTTTTGGCAAGTAGGTTAGGACATTTACTTTGTGCATGACACAAGTAATTTTTCCAACAATTGTTTACAGACAGATTATTTCACTTATAATTCACTGTATCACAATTCCAGTGGGTCAGAAGTTTACATACACTAAGTTAACTGTGCCTTTAAACAGCTTGGAAAATTCCAGAAAATGATGTCATGGCTTTAGAAGCTTATGATAGGCTAATTGACATCATTTGAGTCAATTGGAGGTGTACCCGTGGATGTATTTCAAGGCCTACCTTCAAACTCAGTGCCTCTTTGCTTGACATCATGTGAAAATCTAAAGAAATCAGCCAAGCCCTCAGAAAAAAAATGGTAGACCTCCACAAGTCTGGTTCATCCTTGGGAGCAATTTCCAAACGCCTGAAGGTACCACGTTCATCTGTACAAACAATAGTATGCAAGTATAAACACCATGAGACCATGCAGCCGTCATACCGCTCAGGAAGGAGATGCGTTCTGTCTCCTAGAGATGAACGTACTTTGGTGCGTCTAGTGCAAATCAATCCCAGAACAACAGCAAAGGACATTGTGAAGATGCTGGAGGAAACAGGTACAAATGTATCTATATCCACAGTAAAACTAGTCCTATATCAACATAACCTGAAAGGCCGCTCAGCAAGGAAGAAGCCACTGCTCCAAAACCGCCATAAAAAAGCCACGGTTTGCAACTGCACATGGGGACAAAGATCGTACTTTTTGGAGAAATGTCCTCTGGTCTGATTAAACAAAAATAGAACTGTTTGGCCATAATGACCATCGTTATATTTGGAGGAAAAAGGGGGCTGCTTGCAAGTCGAAGAACACCATCCCAACCGTGAAGCACGGGGGTGGCAGCATCATGCTGTGGGGGAGCTTTGCTGCAGGAGGGACTGGTGCACTTCACAAAATAGATGGCATCATTAGGAAGGAAAATGATGTGGATATATTGAAGCAACATCTCAAGACATCAGTCAGGAAGTTAAAGCTTGGTCGCAAATGGGTCTTCCAAATGGACAATGACCCCAAGCATACTTCCAAAGTTGTGGCAAAATGGCGTAAGGACAACAAAGTCAAGGTATTGGAGTGGCCATCACAAAGCCCTGACCTCAATCCTATAGAACATTTGTGGGCAGAACTGAAAAAGTGTGTGCGAGCAAGGAGGCCTACAAACCTGACTCAGTTACACCAGCTCTGTCAGGAGGAATGGGCCAAAATTCACCCAACTTATTGTGGGAAGCTTGTGGAAGGCTACCCGAAATGTTTGACCCAAGTTAAACAATTTAAAGGCAATGCTACCAAATACTAATTGAGTGTATGTAAACTTCTGAACCACTGGGAATGTGATGAAAGAAATAAAAGCTGAAATAAATCACTCTACTATTATTCTGACATTTCACATTCTTAAAATAAAGTGGTGATCCTAACTGACTTATGACAGGGAATTTTTTCTAGGATTAAATGTCAGGAATTGTGAAAAACTGAGTTTAAATGTATTTGGCTAAGGTGTATGTAAACTTCCGACTTCAACTGTATCTATCTATCTATCTATCTATATAAACTCAGCAAATAAAGAAACGTCCCCTTTTCAGGACCCTGTCTTTCAAAGATTAGTAAATTCCAAATAACTTCACAGATCTTCATTGTAAAGGGTTTAAACACTGTTTCCCATGCTTGTTCAATGAACCATAAACAATTAATGAACACACACCTGTGGAACGGTTGTTAAGACACTAACAGCTTACAGACAGTTGGCAATTAAGGTCACAGTTATGAAAACGTAGGACACTAAAGAGGCCTTTCTACTGACTCTGAAAAACACCAAAAGAAAGATGCCCAGGGTCCCTGCTCATCTGCGTGAACGTGCCTTAGGCATGCTGCAAGGAGGCATGAGGATTGCAATGTCCGTACTGTGAGACGCCTAAGACAGCGCTACAGGGAGACAGGACGGACAGCTGATCATCCTCGCAGTGGCAGACCACGTGTAAAAACACCTGCACAGGATCGGTACATCCGAACATCACACCTGCGGGACAGGTACAGGATGGCAACAACAACTGCCAGAGGTACACCAGGAATGCACAATCCCTCCATCAGTGCTCAGACTGTCCGCAATAGGCTGAGAGAGGCTGGACTGTTGTAAGGCAGGTCCTCACCAGACATCACCGGCAACAACGTCGCCTATGGGCACAAACCCACCGTCGCTGGACCAGACAGGACTGGCAAAAAGTGCTCTTCACTGACGAGTCGCGGTTTTGTCTCACCAGGGGTGATGGTCGGATTCGCGTTTATCATCGAAGGAATGAGTGTTACACTGAGGCCTTTACTCTGGAGCGGGATCGATTTGGAGGTGGAGGGTCCGTCATGGTCTGGGGTGGTGGTGTATCACAGCATCATCGGACTGAGCTTGTTGTCATTGCAGGCAATCTCAACAATGTGCGTTACAGGGAAGACATCCTCCTCCCTCATGTGGTACCCTTCCTGCAGGCTCATCCTGACATGACCCTCCAGCATGACAATGCCACCAGCCATACTGCTCGTTCTGTGTGGGATTTCCTGCAAGACAGGAATGTCAGTGTTCTGCCATGGCCAGCGAAGAGCCCGGATCTCAATCCCATTGAGCACGTCTGGGACCTGTTGGATCGGAGGGTGAGGGCTAGGGCCATTCCCCCCAGAAATGTCCGGGAACTTGCAGGAAGCCTTGATGGAAGAGTGGGGTAACATCTCACAGCATGAACTGGCAAATCTGGTGCAGTCCATGAGGAGGAGATGCACTGCAGTACTTAATGCAGCTGGTGGCCACACCAGATACTGATTGTTACTTTTGATTTTGCCCCCCCCCCCCCCCTTTGTTCAGGGACACATTATTCAATTTATGTTAGTCACATGTCTGTGGAACTTGTTCAGTTTATGTCTCAGTTGTTGAATCTTGTTATGTTCATAAAAATATTTACACATGTTAAGTTTGCTGAAAATAAACGCAGTTGACAGTGAGAGGACGTTTCTTTTTTTGCTGAGTTTATATACACACACACACACACACACACACACACACACACAGTGCCTTTGGAAAGTATTCAGACCACTTGACTTTTTCCACATTTTGTTACATTACAGCCTTATTCTGAAATGGATTAAATTGTTTTTTTCCCCTCATCAATCTACACACAATACCCCATCATTTAAAAAAAAAACATTTATTACAAATAAAAAACAGAAATATCTCATTTACATAAGTATTCAGACCCTTTACTCAGTACTTTGTTGAAGCACCTTTGGTAGCTTTTACAGCATTGAGTCTTCTTGGGTATGACGCTACAAGCTAGGCACACCTGTATTTGGGGAGTTTCTCCCATTCTTCTCTGCAGATCCTCCCAAGCTCTGTCAGGTTGGATGGGGAGCGTTGCTGCACAGCTATTTTCAGGTCTCTCCAGAGATGTTCGATTGGGTTCAAGTCCGGGCTCTTGCTGGGCCATTCAAGGACATTCAGAGACTTGTCCCGAAGCCACTCCTGAGGTCTTGGCTGTGTGCTTAGGGTGGTTGTGCTGTTGGAAGGTGAACCTTCGCCCCAGTCTGAGGTCCTGAGCGCTCTGGAGCAGGTTTTCATCAAGGATCTCTCTGTAATTTGCTCCGTTCATCTTTCCCTCAATCCTGACTAGTCTCCCAGTCCCTGCCGCTGAAAAACATCCCCACAGCATGATGCTGCCACCACCATGCTTCACCATAGGGATGGTGCCAGGTTTCATCTAGACATGACACTTGGCATTCAGGCCAAAGAGTTCAATCTTGGTTTCATCAGACCAGAGAATCTTGTTTCTCATGGTCAGAGAGTCTTAAGGTGCCTTTAGGCAAACTCCAAGCGGGCTGTCGTGCCTTTTACTGAGGAGTGGCTTCCATCTGCCCGCTCTACCATAAAGGCCTGATTGGTGGAGTGCTGCAGAGATGGTTGTCCTTCTGGAAGGTTCTCCCATCTCCACAAAGGAACTCTGGAGCTCTGTCAGAGTGACAATCGGGTTCTTGGTCACCTCGCTGACCAAGGCCCTTCTCCCCCGATTGCTCAGTTTGGCCGGGCGGCCAGCTCTAGGAAGAGTTTTGGTGGTTGCAAACTTCTTCCATTTAAGAATGATGGAGGCCACTGTGTTCTTGGGGACCTTCAATGCTGCAGAAATGTTTTGTTACCTTTCCCCAGGTCTGTGCCTTGACACAATCCTGTCTCGGAGCTCTACGTACAATTCCTTCGACCTCATGGCTTGGTTTCTGCTCTGACATGCACTGTCAACTGTGGGACCATATATAGACAGGTGTGTGCCTTTCCAAATCATGTCCAATCAATTGAATTTACCACAGGTGGACTCCAATCAAGTTGTAGAAACATCTCAAGGATGATCAATGGAAACAGGATGCACCTGAGCTCAATTTCGAGTCGCACAGCAAAGCGTCTGAATACTTATGTAAATAAGGTATATCTTTTTTTTGTTTTTTTACAAATGTTTTTTTTTTTTTACGGTTTTTGCTTTGTCATTATGGGGTATTGTGTGTATATTGCTGAGGAATTGTTTTTATTTAATCCATTTTAGAATAAGGGTGTAATGTAACAAAATGTGGAAAAAGTCAAGAGGTCTGAATACTTTCCGAAGGCACTGTATGTCTATATATATATATATATTATTCTGTGGCCTAAATGAAAGCTATTCAGCAGAGCTTAGAGCTGACAAATTGCTACTCAGCTGACCCAGTAACATAAATTACTAAACAATAGAGGTGACTTGGAAGATTCAAATACATATTATGCAAGGTCAATTGCCTGCATGCAAGCAGCCTGGTTGAATTCAGAGCAAAGCTGTGTGAGCGATTTCTAAGCTTGCAAATTGTCTGTTGCATGTTTATCATAGCGTAAAGGCACAGTCATGAAAACAGGCAGCTGGTCTGGTTCACCTTTAACCTCCTTTGATTATTCCAACACAAAATAAATAGGTTAGTCGCTAGTTATCAGCATTAGATCTGTCACAAGAGCCCCTTCCTGTCCTACTCTGACACTCAGAGCTTGTTGAGTTGAGCCCAGGGTGTCATACCATCTGCAGGCATTTCTCTCATGTAGACTTTAAATCATGACCCGACTGTGTTTCACCCTGAGCGCAACCAAACACTGATTAGTCACTGAGTGAAGGTCATGGCCAAGTGTCCTGGGCCGGGACTTGTTGTGATGATCATGTTATGGAATAGTCTAGCAATGGTCAGATTAATTTGTGCACAATCATTTGAGCTTAAAAAATTATGAATAAGTCCAGGTAAACCACAAACGATATATAGCCAAAACAGCTAGCCTATATTTGACAAGGAAAACATTTTACATTTTAGTCATTTAGCAGACGCTCTTATCCAGAGCGACTTACAGGAGCAATTAGGGTTAAGTGCCTTGCTCAAGAGCACATCGACAGATTTTTCACCTAGTCGGCTCGGGGATTAGAACCAGCGACCTTTCGGTTACTGGCACAACGCTCTTAACCACTAAGCTACCTGCCACCACTTTTCTGAAATGCTTAGCTACATCAGCACTAAAGTGAAGCAAAGCAAAGTATCAAGTGTGATTCAATTAGTTTGATATCAGTGCTTCCTCTGTTTACAGCAAAAGCTGAGGATAAGGCTTCTGTTTTTTCAGTTGGGGGATTTTAATGACATACCTTACCAAATAGTACTGGAAAATGTGTCATCATTGAGGAACAGTTTGATAAGATAAACTGCCAGTAAAGGTTTGCCTACCTTTTACGTTTTGTTTTGACAGACCAGACCCTACACTTGACAGATAGCCTAACCTATCACCAAATCATTACCCAAATGTTGTATTCTATAAAGAATTGTGTCTCTTCACGAAACAGCATTAAACTGACACATCACTGAAACAAATCAACGGAATCAATGGACATTGACTTGACTGGCATCTGACTGGGGTCCATACTTTGGGGTGCTCATGGTGCTATTGCTGACCCCCACTGTGTCCTGACAGCAGCATCTACTACAGTGATCTATCTACAGCAGCAAAACATTCTGCCTAATCAGCAGGCCAGATCATCAGATGCCAACCTCACTTAATGAACCCTTAGCACATCCTCCTAACAGAGGCAGGGCCCTGTACTAGAATTAGGGCCAATAGTTTTTCCTGAGCAGAAGTTACCAGACCAGGAACAACTCCAGAGCCTTGTAATAGGGCCAGTGCCCAGTTGGTCCTGACCAGGTCACATTGTCAGGGAAAACTCTTGTCCCTAACTATACTCACCCACTGACTGGTTCTTTTGACTGGTGAGGTTGTTGGCACAGACAGCACTGCCGGCCCCACATCCTGTGTGAGGTGAGGAGTCACAGAGCTTCAGTGTGTATTTGACTTTGTTGTCCTGGTCTATAGCCTCCCATTTGTAACTGGAGGAAAAGGAGACAGAAAAAAAAATACATGTAGAAATACATTCACACCATCTCAATGTTTACATAAACATTGTACTGTTTAGTTATCTATGTGTCCTCAAAAAACATATAATCAAAAAAACATTCATATGCAGTTCCAAATATGATCACAGCAACGTTTTCATGACTCAGAAATGAATCACCATATAGTGGCATATATGGCTATTATTTTAGCCTAGTACATAAAAGTAGCCTACAATTGTCTTTCTAAACAAACAACTCGTGACCCTCCTGTCTATCCACCGACCTCCTCCAGATGCCAGTTCTATTTGAAGCCGTATGTTCTCACAAGTAGTCTCATAATAAATACCGTGATCAGCCAACTGACTAGACACCATCTTTCTATCCAAACTACTGCCTTGTAAAACCAGGTTCAGGGGCTACGCCAGACGAGAAGCAGCTGACAATGGAGACATACATATGAGGATGGAAAACATATGAGGATGGAAACAGCATTGTATCATTGTACTGTACCACACTAAATGAACTGTATAAGCTGCGTTTGTTGCTAAATACACTTTCCATTTCCAAAGAAGCTTTATACCCTCTTGTTTACTGTCATGAGACTGCGCGAGTGAGCGGTGCCTCCTTACCTGCAGAGGTCTTGGTACCAGAGGCTGACATCAGAACCCGCTGTGCCGGAGGGAAATATAACCAGGACCGTTGTGATCGAAACAAGTAACGTTACAACGATTTTCCAAGGCACAGCCTTGTTACAATTGCAAGGCGAGTCCATGTTTTGTCTCCAGTATTATAAACTAGAGCACTATGTCCGACATGATACAGCAAAAGTCCGCTGGTAGTCTTAGCAGGAACTGGGTGAATCACATGACAAACTAAACACATGATAGAAGACGTCACGTGGTATGACCTTCCACGAGTCATCGTGAACAACGCGTTCACGTTATGACAGAGTGATCGGAGGAACGACTTGGAGCGTTCAAGTGCCTCGGAGCACGGAAGAAACGCAATAACCATTCTGCCAAATAATAATTTGGTGGGTGCTTATATTTGTCCTATTTCACACATGTCCAAGTGTGGACATGTGTGAATTGGAAATCGATTTGTTGCATAGCCCACTCTCCCAGAGACAGCCTCGGAGAGTGGGGTCACGGCCAGGGTCTGCCATTATCAACGGCAACCCTGGAGCAATTAGGTTTAAGTGCCTTGCTCAAGGGCATATTAACAGATTTTTCACCTTGTCGGCTCGAGATTCGAACTAGCGACCCTTCAGTTACTGGTCTACCTGCCGCCCTGATTAGTGATGTCAGAGTTCAGCATATGGGAAAGATCGGGGTCCAGAGATCATACACGAGTTTCCTAGTCATAATTATGCGGTGGAGGGGCGTTCACTTGCATTTTTCCACCACCATGTTAGGGTGGCTAATGCTACTTCCTGATGTTGCAGTGCACGTCAGTCTCGGTTACGTCTTGAGCACACTGACAGTGTTATTGCGCAAAATGGTACACAGCATAATCTGAATGTGTGTGCAACAAAAGTTCAACATTCACCTTCTGCTAACGTTTCTGTCAAGCCGTTTACGCATACGTTCAATAAATCCAACGAATGCACCACACATAACGCTCTGCAACACAATGCTGCAAGGCAAACGCAGCTTTGCATTGGAAATGAATGTACTCATGGTGTACCAAAATGCAAAGACACTGTCGGCGTGATAGAGGCGTTAAACAACAGACTCGGGTGGTACAACATCCGGAAGTTGTCCGAAAATGGTGGTGGAAATGTTTGTTTTATTAAGACAGTACGCAATTTCCCCGTTTTTTTTCTCCAACAGTGAGCCATTAAATCGAATTAAGGAGGAAATCGACGCCTTTGCAGCCTTAATGGGGGATAGGAGTGTATAGCCGGCTGCATACATTCCCTTTGGACGGTTAAATGAAACGACTCCATATCGCCATCTGCCGGACTTGGGTAATCTTATCACAGCACTGGCAAACCATGGTTGACCAGTGTTGTGTATAAACGCTGGATGACTAAGAGGGGGCGCTGTATTTAAGCCAATGCGCAGCCATCTTTGCACTCCTCCTCAATTGTAAAAAATATTTTGGAAGCTTTTATTAATGTCTACATTCGTTTTTGACACGTGTATCATATTACAGACACTTAATGCATACTTTTAAATGATATTATGTGAGCTAAACATACACATTTAAAATTAATACATGTATAAAAACATTTTCCTTCAGGTATTTTTTTAGAGAGTACTAATGTTACTGGCCCCACTACAACAAAAATACTCAAATACATGAAACATTGAATTTAAATACTGTAGAATTCCATTCATTCCTATGGAGGACTGCTTATACTAGGGAGTGCTAATGTGGCCGACCGGTGGCTTCAAAGCCTCTCAGTGGCCAATACATAGCATCAACAATCCAGGGTTTATATAAGTCATTGTGCTTGACCAACTCCCTGACCAAAATGTCTGACCTTTATCCCATCATAAGAAGGTTCATATCCATTCTAGTAGCCTATTCTAATTATATGGCTGCACATGCGTGAAATCAGTGGTCGCGTTGCCCTGCTCAGACGTTATTGCATCAACCAATGGTTGCGTGGTACGTCATCGACTGTGTCATCGACTGACAGATGCCGTGTTCGAAATAACTGGAACTCGGAAATCTGAGACATGACATCAGTGCGTTCAAGACAACTTGAACGCACTGAAGTCAAGGAAACGGGAAAAAACTAGCTCCGACTAGGAAAAAGCGGTTTCCCACTAGGAAAAAGCGGTTTGAACGGTCATCCAACTGGGAATTCCAAGTCTGAAACTCGGGCATCTTTCTAGAGCTCCGACTTTCCGACCTGAAGATGACTGAAGTCATGATTTCACCATATTCTTTTTCGGCGAGTTCCCAGTTGTCTTGAAAGCATCAAGGTTTCTTTAACATATGTTGTTAGCTGATACTTAAAATAGCAACCTATTCAGGCGTTGTAATATATGTCATGCATCAGCAACACCTGGGCAGAGGAACGCGCCCATTATGTTCACATTCGTACGTCATCAATGACCGCTCCCTTTCAACGCACAGGAATGCTGTACAGCTGGTCGAAAAATGGCTGCCGCGACGATGGCAGGGGCCGATGCCCATATGATGGAGCAGAAAAAGTTGGAGTATTTCTCCTCCATCAACTCCATGGCCAGGAAAATAATGCAAGAAAGGGAGAACATCAAGGAGAGACATGGACCCGATTGGGAGAAAATGACACCGAATGAACAAGACAGCGCCATCGACAATGGAATGATGGACCCCCATATTCGTGCTCGATATGCAATGCATAGGGTTGCCCGAGAAGAAGTCATTTGTTATCCTAAATTGCTCATTCAGACAGGACAGAAAATTGTCCATTTTGGTGATGAGGTACGGACTTTTACCCGATTTGCATTGGTAGTCACATATCTATTTCCTAGAGAAATAGCTACGTTTTCTCGCATGATTCCAGCTAGGTAAAATGGCTAACATACTAGCTAGCCACGACCGATGTTTGAGCTGGTAAACGTCATACCAGTAGCAAAACAATGCAAGACATCGAAATGGATCAGATGGCAATTTTCATCATGGTCTTCCCCATGGTATATACAGATGGGCATTTGTATGATAACATGATCTGTCTGATTTGGACAAATCTGGGAAACTAGCAATTTTTGTTTTGCTGTCAATTGATTCACTAGATTATCAAAACACTAAGCCAGCCAGCTAGTATAGTCCTATAATCCAGTAACCTGACGGTGGCAGACTGTTTCTGCATGTGAAGAGAGTAGTGGTTTATCACTAATCACACTTTGATGAAAAAAACAGTTTTTGTGTTCAATTTCAGGACATAACTTGGCAAGATGAGCACTCTGCCCCATTCTCCTGGGAGACCAAGGTGTGTATGACAATGTCCATGTTGTATTCTACCATTAACAAGATTACCTTAAATTGATGTAGCTACAGTACACATTTTATTTTCGGTCAACACACCATCTCCTTTCTCTTTACAGAGCCAGTTGGACTTCAGCCTGACAACAGGGGAATCTGTGCAGGGCATCTCCTCTTCAACAGCTGACTACAAGCCACCTAATGTCACCCAGAGCAGCCAGCTGAGCAAGGTAACCCAGAGCAGCAAGGTGTCCAATGGCGAGATCCTCGGCCTGGACAGGAAAGAGGAGTCCTCCTCCTTCTGGAAGATCAGTGCTGAGAGATCCAGGCTGGAGGGTGAACAGGCAGACTTCTACTCCCTAACCCCCAGCCAAATCAAGTCCCTGGAGAAGGGGGAGAAGCCACTGCCCTCCTACCTTCGTCAGGAGCCCACCCCCAAGGAGGCAGAGGAGACCCCACCCCCACCACGGGTGACCAAGCAGAGAGCCCCCCGGTTGCCTGCGCCTCCTACCCCTGTGCCCATCAGTGTCCCCCCCCCAGCAGCCATAAGTGTGACCCCTATGAGCGTGACTCCTACCCCTGCTCCTATCAGTGTGTCGTCCACTGTGGCTGTTTGGGAGCGCGCTCAGAGCACCCTCCCCTCAGTCAGCAACACAGTGGAGGACGTCTTCACTCCAGGGCTGCCCACTAAATCCCCAGGGCTGCCCACCAAGTCCCCTGCCCGCTCAGGCAACACTGCCAGAGACAGAGAGGAGAAGGCTGCTGTTCAGTCTGAGTCTCAACTGGCCACCAGTCCCACCTTCGCTCAGGTGAACAACCCATTGTGGTTTGATACTGATCAAAGATATTTTGATCCAGCAAAATTGGCAACAGCATTTACCTGTGTAGTAACAGTCTAATTACTCTGTATTAACATGTTGTTACATAGTACATTTACTTCAAGTTGTGTGCTCTGTACTGTTCTAATTGAGATGTTCTATTTTTCTCCTACCAGTTTAATACCAGCAGTAACGTCCTGAAGACCGGATTTGACTTTCTTGACAACTGGTAACAGCTGCTTCAAGTAAAAACATTGAGTGACTGGATCAACTCAACACTAGAAGGACCATTGTGATGACCATTTTAATACATGTATTAAGGAAAGCCAACAATTGAACTGACTATGTCTATTTATCTTAAATGGCTTTTTATGGCATATCTCACTACATGTGTGCTTTTGTTTGCCCACTGCCAGAACCCACACACTCCAGCTGTTACCTTTACCTTTATTACTCTGACCTCGTACTAGTGCTAAGCATTACTGTAGTGTACACTAATGAGAAGCACTCAAAGTGGTATGTTTAGGTAAGCCAGCATGTTAAGTGATTTATACCACTTGCAATGTAGATCTACAACCATTTATACTACTAGAGTACTATTTTACAGAATTTTGTATGTAAATTATATTCACTGTATGCTATATTGCACTCATACATTTTGAAATCACTGATTCAAAGCAAATAAATTGTACAGAATGAGGTCATTGTTCTGGGATTGTTATTTTTTTAATTCAGTGACAATATCAGTCCACCATGTGGCAGCAGAGAACTTGTGGGTTCAATTGAGAAAATCTCACAAATAGAGAATTAACCATCTGAGCAGGCCCTGTTAAAATGGAAAAGGAAAACCAGCAAAGCATCAGACTAATATGTACTGTATATCTGTATTAGTCAAGTTTCTCCGTGTACTGTCAAAGGCATGCTTATGGAGGATACTGCACATTCTATTTTTGCATTGTGCAGAGTCATCCTCACAGTAATCTGTATGAACATTTCAGTTACACCACACACTCAGCCCTTTCAGTGTCTGGCAGTAGCCACACCCAGACATCCTAGCAGACCTAGCTAGTTCATGTCCAAGTCCTGGTGCCTGTGGAATGGAAACTAGGATTTTTGTGGCATTTTAACTGGCATTCCTCCTGTCTGCCATGACTTCAGCACATAGGGATACATTGACTCTAATTTTCCCTGCAAATTCACTCACCACAACCACTGCCTCTACTACTGTGATTTATTTCCACTGGCAAATCCTCATGTTCGCCCTAATAAAAGTGGACTGTATTAATAGGAACGTGTGCCACCAAAGGTCCGCCTCTGTAAAAGTGCACTGTTAACTCAAAGTGTGGAAGTGGGAGGTGATAGGAAAAACAGAGGTTTCCTGTTGTTGGGGAGGCCAGCTCGGGACAAGTCAGAACGACAGGAGGGAGTGAGATTGAGAGAGAGAGAGAGAGGGCATGACAGAGGGATACTGAGGACAACCAAAGTTATTACAGGGTAAAATGGGAAAAGCAGCCATCCTAGTCACCGTCTTGTGTATGTGTTCACTCAGCCTGAGTGATCCAGACAGCGGCACCGAAGATGGAGATCCTGTCGATGCAACACCAACTGAAGTGAGGACTTGTACTCGCTTGCAGATTTTGAACTAGGACATAACATCAGTTAAGGAGGTATAGTAGTACATTGTTAGTGCAGTAAGAATGGAATGAATTCTACAGATGCACATAAACTCAAATAGAGTACTGTAACATCTTCATTATGTTGTCATTATTCCATGGAAACCCCTAGACTAGTTTTATGTCTTTTTAACTATATTATAACTATGTTATTTAGTGTAACAGTCTCACTATAATGGCAATCAGTGGAGGAGCTGGAGTATTGGTTGCAAATGTTTTACCCTCACTGTTTCCTTCAGAACCCAGAGACTCAGGGGAAACAGGCGAGAGAAGACGTACCGGAGGAGCAAGATCCCAGTCCTGTCTCAGACTTTGACAACACATACCACTATATTTGTATGTCTGCACAAACTCAAGAAAATTATACACTACACACTACAAATTATTGCTGAATTGTCAGACATAAACAACTTCTGAGGTTTTCTCTTAAACAGTGTCCAGACTGGCATCAATGGATCAGGCCATCCACAGACTGAATGTGGGCCACTACACCCTGGACGTGAAGGTGACCCAACTGCTAGACAGAGTGTCCCGGCTGGACGGCACCCTCTGGGAGGTAGAGGAGACCATGCAACAGATTTCCCTCTTCACCAAAGAGAACCGCAAGGAGATTGGCCGCTTGGAGGGTATGTCTGCACTCTGCATACCTCCCTTGACCTTTTTCCTCTCAATAGTTCAAATGTTTTAAAATGGAATTATGAAAAACCATTATAAAATCATGAAAAACAAAAAGGTGAAATGTTTCCTCCTCTTCCTAGGATGTCAGAAGGGTCGACGGGTGGGGTATAAGTGCTATCTGGTCTACCGCACATATGAGACGTATGCAGGGGCAGCCCAGAAGTGCCTGGAGCGTGGCGGAAGGATGGCCATGCCTCGGGACAGGAAGGAGCAGGAAGCCCTGGCAGAATACGTCAAGGCTTTCTTCCAGCCAGGGAACTGGCCTGTGTGGCTGGGCATCAATGACCTGCGCTCTGAGGGACTCTACCTGTTTGAGGACAACACATACGTTACCTACTTTCAGTGGCGCAAACACTTCCTCTCCAGCCAGCCGGACGGAGGCAAGCGGGAGAACTGTGTGGCCATGGCTTCAGATGATGGGGACTGGTGGGACAACTATTGTGACAGGAATATGTCTTACCTCTGTGAGTTTGATGCCTGATCCTTTTCTTCAAACTTTTGACAAGTATCTGAAATTTCAGAAACACAAATCCAGCCAAGCTTGACGAAAATGTACCTTGTGGATAATTTATCAGGAGTAGTTATCTATCTTGTAAAATCTTTATTATTATTTTTTTGTTTAAAAAGCAATAGGGGATGTCATTGATCCACAAAGAGGTGGGTTGTAATCTATATATCATACTGTTCAATACTCAATAACATTTTAGTTTACTAGTTGATGGTGCTAGTGTTGAATAATAATCCATAACACATTTAACATACTGTTAAAAAAAGAAAAAAATGTATCAAACCCATGGCCTAATATACTGTACAGACAGATGGTGCTCATCTTAGTCCACATTTGTAAAAAAAAATATACGTAACTTATTACTCACTCTAAGCTATGCCAGTCTCTTTGGCTGAATACTGACTACTTTGGATCGAAGACTTAAACTAAAACTGGATTATCAAAATATTTATTCAATTTATCATGATTAAAAGTATACAACGTTATTACTGTACTTTTTCACAGTTAATGTAAACAGCATAGTTTCGGTACAAATATTGTGCAATAAAATATTTGAAAAAGCTCTGTCACAGTTACATGATCAGATTTGTTTTACTCATAAAGTCAGTGATTATCCTTAAAGGGGCAGTGCAGTCAAAAACGTGATTTTCCAGTGTTTTATATATACAGTGTACAAAACATTAAGAACACCTTCCCAATATTGAGTTGCACTCAATTGTCTCAACGCTTAAAAATCCTTCTTAAACCTGTCTCCTGCCCTTCATCTACATTGATTGAAGTGGATTTAACAAGTGACATCATTAAGGGATCATATCTTTCACCTGGATTCACCTGGTCAGTGTATGTCATGGAAAAAGCATAATGTTTTGTACACTCAGTTTATATTTCCACACTATGAGGTTGGAATAGTACTGTGAAATTGTGACATCACCAGGTGGTATAAGTTAATACACCAATAACAAAGAGAGTTTGCCCTGATTCAGAAGGGTTGTGTTAAATGCGGAAGACACATTTCAGTTGAATGCATTCAGTTGTACAACTGACTTGATATCCCCCTTTCCCTTTCCCTCCTCTCTGCCAATAACAGCTAGTTTTCAGGTTACACATAACTCCCATTAGGCTCCTCTAATTAGGCCCCTCTCTCAGACCACTCCCAGACAGTCCTAGTTAAATTCTTGCTTGAGAAATTGCATTTAGCTAAGAAGCTATTTTGTTTATTTTTGACCATTTTAATTGAAAACAATAACAGTAAGTTACTTAATTGTTACCCAGAAATGATTTGATATTGAGATAAAAACGGTTGCATTGGACCTTTAAAAATCATCCTTGAGATCTGAATTAATTTAATTCAAAGTTCAGTAAACATTAGAATCTACAATTATGCCTCCCGAGTGGCGCAGCGGTCTAAGGCACTGCATCGCAGTGTTGCGGCATCAATACAGCCTGTGGTTCGATCCCAGGCTGTGACACAACCGGCCGTGATCGGGAGTCCCTTAGGGCGACGCACAATTGGCCCAGCGTCGTCCGGGTTAGGGGAGGGTTTGGCCAGGGGGGCTTTACTTGGCTCAACGCGCTCTAGCGACTCCTTATGGCGGGCCGGGCGCCTGCAAGCTGACTTCGGCCGTCAGTTGAACGGTGTTTCCTCCGACACATTGGTGCGGCTGGCTTCCGGGTTAAGCAAGCGGGTGTTAAGAAGCAGGCTTGGCGGGTCATGTTTCGGAGGACGCATGACTCAACCTTCCCCTTTCCCGAGCCCGTTGGGGAGTTGCAGCGATGAGACAAGATCGTAATTGGATCACAATTGGATATCAGGAAATTGGGGAGAAAAATATTATAGAATTCAGTCAGAAATAATAGCACTAGCGCAGCACTAATCCCGCAGCAGAAAGGGCAGTTGTCCTTGGCTTGTGAGTTCCCTTCAGACACTGCTCTTCATGAGGTCATGAGCTTGAGCCGTGTCTTCATCCACACAAGCCAAGGAGGTGCCCTTCCAATGAGAGGTCAGTGCCATGTCCACTCAGATGGAGCGAGTCACTACTACATTATAAGCTAGTAGGATGGCCACCAGACGAGATGGTAGCCACCATCTGTGTTACTTCAGGCCTGTCCATTGGATTCTTGCAGGGATGAGAGAGGATCACTTTCCCGCCTTCATCCAGGACAAAGTCACCGCCCATCTGAAATCGTATCAAAAACGGAATTATAATGAGGACATGGATTATACAAACCTATCCCAAAATAATTGGGCATTGTATGGATACTTTTCTTAATAGAAAGAGGAAATATTATTTTCTGTGTTTAATGTATACTGTATCTTAAGTAGAATTTCTGAATACCTGATAGAGATCTTCCAGGAAACGTGGTGGAATGTCAGGAAACTCTTGGCCTAACACAACATACTCTGCATACTGAAGTAAGCAGTGGAAATTCATCACCTTTAAATAGGAAGATCCTAGGCCAAATGCCCTGTAAATCTGGAACACAGATAATACGTTTCCAGTAGGCAAAACATTGGCATAACACTGAGTACATACAAGCTTTACATTGAAATACCAAAGGTCAAGATCAGCCCTGAGTGGCCCTCTACAGTGGCTGCCGTACTCTTACCTTCCTCTGTGGGTCAAGCAGCATGTCGTACTTGCAGCCCGTCTGTTCTAGCCAGAGCTGAGCACCTTCCCGACAGCCAAAGGAAACCACCAGTACCCGAGCCGACTGAGAATCTAGGAGTCCCTTAAAATTAGCGATGGGCATTTGAAAGAATGTCTGTGTTCGAGTGCTCTTATGCAAAAAATTTAGCGTGAAATGGGTCTGAAGGCCAAAAAAGTTTGAGGTGTGCTATCGATTGTTCCAATTAGACCTACTGGTTGTTCTGATACACAACTGAAAAGTACATTTAAAAATGTTCACTGCATTTGACATACTAGAAATAGATTACAAACCTTGAATCGAGCACTCAAATATTCAAGTCCTCGCACCCATCCCTACTGAAAACAGAGTGCAATACGGGGCACTAAAGGCTGCTAGAGATTAAGGGCACTTAAAGATGGTATGAGAGGTTATATGAAGTTAGGAGCACTGAGAGATGGTAGGTAGGTGGTGTTAAAGGAAGTTAGGAGCACTGAGAGATGGTAGGAGATGAGCTCCTCTCCTCTCAGGTAGACTGACCTGTTGGGTCTCCAGCTCAGCCACGTGCTCTCGTCACGGTAGTCATCCAAAGTGTCGGATAAGGACGAGCAGTAGATTCTCCCCTTTCCCAAAGTACTGGCCCAGAGTCACATTCCTGCAAAACACAACAACAGAGGGTCAGTTTGGGTATTTTATACCTGCTGAAACACTAAAGATCTCAATCCCAAAGAAACCTAAATGGAATTATTTGGTTATTAATATTTTACGATGTAATTTCTAGGTAAATAGCAGACTGTACTCAGACTGTACTCTTCACAATTTTCCCTGAACTTTCTCCTAGTCCTTCTGAGACAAGTTTACCACAGTGGCGGTCCAGACTATTTCAATGATGTGAGCAAGCTGGTTATGCTGATGAAAAAAATTAAAATTAAATGTATGCACTCACTCTGGATAAGAGCGTCTGCTAAATGACTAAAATCTAAAATGTAATGGTTCTACACTGAACAAAAATATAAACGCATCATGCAACAATTTAAAAGATTTTACTGAGTTACAGTTCATATAAGAAAATCAGTCAAATTGAAATAAATTCATTAGGCCCTAATCTATTGATTTCACATGACTGGGAATACAGATATGCATATGTTGGTCCAGGGGCGCAACTTTAGTTTTAGAAGTGGGGGGGGGGACATAATAATAATAATTATTATTATTTTTAATCCAGTCGGATAAACACTCCAAACAGCCTACCCGACCGCTCAGAGGCGTCCGCATCGTCCTAAAGCACACCGTTGCCTCATTTTGTATCACATTCCAATGATAAAACTGGGGGGGACAAAAATGCAATTTCAGAATGTGGGGGGGGACATGGCCCCCTGTCCCCAGTGAATGTTGCACTGCTGTGTTGGTCACAGATACTGTATAAACACATTTTACTGAGTTAGTTCATATAAGGAAATCAGTCAATTGAAATAAATTCATTAGGCCCTAATCTATGGATTTCACATGACTGGGAATACAGATATGCATCTGTTGGTCACAGATACCTTAAAATAAAGGTAGGGGCGTTGATAAGAAAACCAGTCAGTATCTGATGTGACCACCATTTTCCTCATGCAGCGTGACACATCTCTTTCGCATAGAGTTGATCAGGCTGTTGATTGTGGCCTGTGGAACGTTGTCCCACTCCTCTTCAATGCGAAGTTGCTGGATATTGGCAGGAACTGGAATATGCTGTCATACACGTCAATCCAGAGCATCCCAAACATGCTCAATGGGTGACATGTCTGGTAAGTATGCAGGCCATGGAAGAACTGGGACATTTTCAGCTTCCAGGAATTGTGTACAGATCCTTGCGACATGGGGCCGTGCATTATCAGACCCGGGTTCGATCCCAGGCTGTGTCACAACTGGCCGTGATCGGGAGTCCCATAGGGCGGTGCACAATTGGCCCAACGTCGTCCGGGTTAGGGGAAGGTTTGGCCGGGGGGGCTTTACTTGGCTGATTGCGCTCTAGCGACTCCTTGTGGCGGGCCGGGCGCCTGCAGGTTGACTTTGGTCGTCAGTTGAATGGTGTTTCCTCTGACACATTGGTGTGACTGGCTTCTGGGTTAAGCTGGGGGGTGTTAAGAAGCACAGTTTGGCAGGTCATGTTTCGGAGGACGCATGACTCGACCTTCGCCTCCCGAGCCCGTTGGAGACAAGATCAAAATTGGGGAGAAAAAAAATAACATGAGGTCTTGGTGGCGGATGAATGGCACAACAATGGGCCTCAGGATCTCGTTAAGTTATCTATAAAATGCAATTGTGTTTGTTGTCCGTAGCTTATGCCTGCCCATACCATAACCCCACGGACACCATGGGGCACTCTGTTCACAACTTTGACATCAGCAACCCGCTCGCCCACACGACGCCAAACGCTGTCTGCCATCTGCCTGGTACAGTTGAAACCGGGATTCATCTGTGAAGAGCACACTTCTCCAGCGTGCCAGTGGCCATCGAAGGTGAGCATTTGCCCACTGAAGTCGGTTACGACGCTGAACTGCAGTCAGGTCAAGACCCTTGTGAGGACGACAAGCACGCAGATGAGCTTCCCTGAGACGGTTTCTGACAGTTTGTGCAGAGATTCCACAGTTTCAACAGCTGTCCGGGTGGCGGGTCTCAGACGATCCCGCAGGTGAAGAAGCCGGATGTGGAGTTCCTAGGCTGGCGTGGTTACAGATGGTCTGCGGTTGTGAGGCTGGTTGGATGTACTGCCAAATTCTCTAAAACGACGTTGGAGGCAGTTTATGGTAGAAAATGAACATTCAATTCTCTGGAAACAGCTCTGGTTGACATTCCTGCTGTCAGCATTCCAAAATTGCCAATTGCACGCTCCCTCAAAACTTGAGACACCTGTGGCATTGTGTTGTGTGACAAAACTGCACATTTTAGTGGCCTTTTATTGTCCCCAGCACAAGGTGCACCTGTGTAATGATCATGCCGTTTAATCCGCTTCTTGATATGCCACCCCTGTTATGTGGATGGATTATCTTGACAAATTTGAGAGAAATAAGCTTCTTGTGCGTATGGAACATTTCTGGGATATTTTATTTCAGCTCATGAAACATGGGACCAACACTTTACATGTTTCATTTATATTTTTGTTCAGTATATGTTGACTCACTCTCCACTCCTAGCATCTGTGAGGGGCATATCAGCACTCAGGTTCTGTGAGGTTGGGCCTCCTGTGAGCTGCTTGTCAGTTGTCTTCAGCTCAGTGTCTATGCAGTCCAGAAAGGCATCCCATTCCTCCTACAGGAGCACACACACACACCTATTACATCTCTATTACATATTTACTACAACCTCATCTCTCAAGTCATGCCAAAAGTACACCTGAAATCACAGATAACAATAGACCATTGTGTAGAATGGAAGACTAACCTCCAACTGCAGGAGTTCCTCAACTTGCTCTTGCACCTTGGCATGGCTGGTGAAGGATTGGGGGAGAGAAGTGTCATTGTCAAAATGTATTTATTCTTCTTCTAAAAGAACAATAGTTTGCAGATTGAGTAACGCAGTTCTCTGATGTTTGCTCTCCAAACTCACTGAAAAGATTTCTTCCACAGGTCTTCAGCCTCACTCCTCTTCTTCACACCAATACTAACAAACGTGAACAAAAATGTATTCATCAGGATTGGACTGAATATCTGCCACCAAAGGAGAGAAAGAAACTTAAGCTAAAGTAGGCCAAAAGTCTCTAACACACACACACCTGTTATAGAAGTTGGCACCACAAGTCATTAATCCAAATAATGTTGTAATTTTATTTGGGACAAAATCTTCAATGGAACCTGCAGAATGACAAATAAACATTGTAGCTGATTGTGCAACTGACAGTCCTGGCAAATGAATGACGGAGCTTAGTTCCCATATTGCTAAATTACTAATCCCCGATCACACTTTTCTACTTTGAGAACATGTGCTGTAGGCCAGGGGTTTTCAAACTTTTCTTTCCCAGGGACCCCTGCCCAGGCAAACTGGCTACCCAGGGACCCCCATCATATGTTAGCAAAGGTGATTGATAATGGCAATTTGAAGTAATCATAATTTTTAAATGAATAGATTTGGTGGACAGTTTCATTATTTTGACCTCCCCAAAGTCGAAGAGGAAGCATAAACTCTAACATAGTCAATTAGCTAGAAAAGTATATTGGTGGCGTTAGAGTACATTTTGCTGTTGTAAAGCAAATTTTCTGCAATCTAAACTTTTTCCATTGAGCTGAGAGAAAATGTTGCAGTTTTGAAGCAAATTTCCAGAAATTCTATGCATTATTTCCATGGCGCTAATGCCATGTTCCTCTGCTCAAACATTTGTACAAAATCAATAGGCATGTGCCTTGAATGCCCGTTTTTTAAATTTATTTTTGTATTCTTGCTTACTGTCTAGCTTTTATTTGATTGTTAGTTTTCAAAGATTATTATATATATATATATATATATATATATATATATATATATATATATATATATATATATATATATATAGTTCAATATCTTTTCTGCCTTCTTTCTATCTGGTTTTGGTCCTTCAAATTGACACAGAAACAGTTTTCCATCCGGAAAATTACCACTGAGACAGACGGCAAGCCTAAAAGAAAACGGTAATTTGCTCTATTTTAAAGGGATAGTTCGAAATTTTGCAATGAAGCCGTTTATCTACTTCCCCAGAGTCGGATGAAGAGGAACAGCTAGCATGCTAACGTTCCAGTAGACTGCCAGTCATTGCGCTAACGCTAGTTAACATTGGCTCGTGAAACTACCTCTAACTTCGTTCATGCTGGACGCAGTCAGATACATACAAATGATATTCTGTTGCAGGTAGCGATATTCATAAAAAATACACAATTCACTTCCGTCCCAGTTTGAAAAGCCCACTGTAGGCAACAGTACATGCAATGTAGAGAAATTCACTCTAGGGCTCACAGATCACTGTCAATATTATTTCAATATTCATAGCTATCCAGAGTCTATTGATATTGTTGGCTCACTCAGCATAGGTCATATGTGACAGTAGTTAGCTAGCACCACACGATAGCTACTGAAATACCGGTAGTATACTGTACCTGCTGCTTCTTTCTTGCCATTTTCGAGTAGAATTCTTCCCATAGTATTCAAGCCTGTTAAACAATAAATAAGAGTATCCTCTGCCTCACTGATATCTTCAGCCATCTCTGGGAACGGTCAGCCTCCTCCAGCAGAGCAGAAACAGTAGTGTTAGCTGCAACTGTGTAGCAAGCATGCAAACCATATCCTCTTCGGCTTATCAGAAACATCACATGATTTGGCTAAGGTCATAGTGGTTTACAGTATTTAGGAGCACTTGTGCGACATCTGCTGACCTGAATGAAAGTACAAGCAAGGTGTGTTTGAAAGGGGTAGAAAGCAAGCTCATTAATTAATAACATATTTGTGGGTGATCTGGCATAACTGTAGATAACCATATCAGTATCACTCCTGGTTGAATTGAAATAACAAGAAACAAACCACTCATTTGTCAACCAATTTTATTGACCATTGAACATCCCAATTCCCTAAAATCTCCACAGATTTCTTTCCTTCAAGTTTAAACTTCAAGATGGGACATATGCTTAGCTTAAAAATCCACCTTAGCGGTTTAATAAACATAGCCAATTCACCCAGTGCAAAAAAATATTAAAACAAATCTCCCAGCCATTCAGCACAAACATTGATATGGAAACATTATGATAAAACAGTAGTTCTGCCAAAAAATTAAATAACGTTAAGCAGAGAACTTAACATTGTTGTTGGTTATTTTATTTGATCCTCTGGAGCTCATTCAATAAGGACTCCGGCAGGCAATGCATATTTTATTCTGTCATTCACAGTTAAGGGTAAGTGGGAAACATACAAACTGAACACCAAAGCTTGTCCTCACATGAAGAGGTTCTTCAGAGCAGTTGAACATACTCCCCTTAATGTATCCCTGAACATGTGTTCAAATGTTGTGTGTCGATAAGACCATTGTCAAATGATTTAAAAACATTTTACGGAAAAAAGAAAGAGAGAACAGCAACAAGACAGAAACAGATGTCTCAAAATAAGACCAGAGGACCATTGTTGTGTGCTTTCCCCAAAACAAGTTTGACCCAACCTAAAACCAGCCCTGCCTCATGCCCTTTATTGGTCAAGTTAAAAACAATTACTGAAAAAGGAAATGCCACAGAGTGACACTCTCCACAATCGCACCATCGACAAGACTAAATAAAAAGATTGCTTGACTTTTCTAAATGTTCAAGTATCCCAAGTGGAATAGAATAGCCCTGAAGGAAAGTTTACATCTTATAATCTCCTCCCCCACTTTCTTTGCTTATAGACTGAGGGTTTTTAAAAAGAAAATAGTTAGAATTTTAGTGCCAATCACGATCGAGAGATTACCTCCCATTCAAATAAATGTTGCTTCTTAGCTTTTACATACTAGACCCTACTAGGGTTTTGCTGGTATTGCATACATATCTGAACAACATGTAGTTGCCATTAATCATGTTTAGACAGATGTTGTGCTTTGGGGGTTGAGCTTGGCCAGAGAGACTATGAGCAGAAAGAGTGGACAGGGCGAGTGGCCCTTGTTCTCATCAGGAGAAGTGGTGTTAGGACTTCTTTGGACAGTGCGATGTCGAGTCCGTGTTGAGGACCTCTATCATGGTTCTAGTCGTCGGGAACGTTTCTGCTACCGATGGAAGACTATGGTACCACACTGGTAGACTATGAGGTAAAAAAAGGTTATCAATACAATAATTGGCCAACTTATGATGCGTTTAAAGGTGATAACAGTGGGCATGTCGAGCTACTCACCTCTTTAAATTCATCCAGTTTTTAGCTGTTTTACTAAAGCTGTCAGGACTGGGTGTTGTCATGGCTTCAAAATCAACCAACTAAAAAAATCATCATAAACAAGAAAAAAGCTTAAAAACCAGGCACATTGTTACCACATTGATACCACCACTGGGAAATGTAATGTATTAAAATAAAGTAGTGTAAAGTAGAGCAAAACGTCACGATTACCTTCCCTTTGGGGATTCTGCCTATCACCTCCTTTCCACTGGCCATCAGTGCACCCATGACAACGGAGTATGCCACAACACTGAAAAAAGAGAAATAGAGACGAAAAAGTATGGGAAATGGGACTGATTTCATAACTAAAAAAACTGTTTCACAAAATGAAATCACCATTCAGAGAAGACCAACTGAAACATGTGCCTTAACATCATGTATTGATGGTTATATGACTTGGACAAAACCTTACCTGGACCCTCTGGAGAGGGGCATAAGGTTACAGAAGTAGTAAACCAGGGAGAGGATTAAATTACACACTGCATCTGCATCCTAAAAGATAGAAACAAAAACAATGCAATTCATACTACAGGGTCCACTTACAGAGGTCATATCATTACACAAGGATGTGGCCAGTGACACTTGGCTTCTTGAAAGTCCAATAACTTGAAAACTTGACTGCTGACATGCAAAACATTTTGGGACATTATCAACAGTGGACTAATTGAGTGGAATTTCCCTTTAACAGGTTAGGTAGCCTCATACAAAACGGACTGCTCCACATTTTCAGTGGTAGAGAGTAAATCTATCAACACAACAATAGAAAAACGTGTGTTACATCAGATAGGAAAGCAACAGTATGGATCAGATTGTTGAGGTGGCAGTGAATCGCACAACTGGAAGCCAACACTGACAGTCAGAGAAAAGAAAAGAGAGGGAATAGGGAAGAAGAAGAAGAAGAAGAGAGAGAAAGAGGAAGAGAGAGCATACCCCAAGTTCAGTGGACAGCATGAGAGCCTTGCCTTTGGCAGTCAGGTCTTTGTAGATCGACTCAATCTCAGACTGGTACTGCTGCGTGCGCTCCTCTGTGGTCTGGGTCTCCACTGAGAACAGCATGTTCCCCACTCTAAGGTAACACAAATACACACAGTCTGAACAAACACCTTGGTCTCTATGAACATCTACTGTACTGTACATACATCAACATTCATCATGGGACAGATAACAAGGCGCACTTTGGTGAAAGCTGTAGGGTTAGAGGTAGAATAACAAGCCAAATCATATTTCAAGCTTTGTATTTCAAGCTTAGTATTTCAAGTTTTTTTAGAAAGTCCAACCTGAAGGACAAAGAATTCAAAAGGTTCAAATAGGGGTTTGGCTGTTTCAATACTGAATTTTTTTTTGAAACGCAACATGTAAAGTGTTGGTCCCATGTTTCATGAGCCAAAAGAATGAAAAAAGTATGAAAATGTATGCACTCACTAACTGTAAGTCGCTCTGGATAAGGTCTAATACCAGCAACAGTGTGTGAAAACCTTGTGAAGACTTACAGAAAACGTTTGACCTGTGTCATTGCCAACCACGTCTGGCACTGCAGGATTTGAGTCCCTGGCGGCGTAGTGTGTTACTGATGGTAGGCTTTATTACTTTGGTCCCAGCTCTCTCTGCAGGTCATTCACTAGGTCCCCCCGTGTGGTTCTGGGATTTTTGCTCACCGTTCTTGTGATCATTTCGACCCCACGGGGTGAGATCTTGCGTGGAGCCCCAGATCGAGGGAGATTATCAGTGGTCTTGTATGTCTTCCATTTCCTAATAATTGCTCCCACAGTTGATTTCTTCAAACCAAGCTGCTTACCTATTGCAGATTCAGTCTTCCCAGCCTGGTGCAGGTCTACAATTTTGTTTCTGGTGTCCTTTGACAGCTCTTTGGTCTTGGCCATAGTGGAGTTTGGAGTGTGACTGTTTGAGGTTGTGGACAGGTGTCTTTTATACTGATAACAAGTTCAAACAGGTGCCATTAATACAGGTAACGAGTGGAGGACAGAGGAGCCTCTTAAAGAAGAAGTTACAGGTCTGTGAGAGCCAGAAATCTTGCTTTTTTGTAGGTGACCAAATACTTATTTTCCACCATAATTTGCAAATAAATTCATTAAAAATCCTACAATGTGATTTTCTGGAGAAAAAAAATCTAAATTTGTCTGTCATAGTTGTCGTGTGCCTATGATGAAAATTACAGGCCTCTCTCATCTTTTTAAGTGGAAGAACTTGCACAATTGGTGGCTGACTAAATACTTTTTTCCCCCACTGTATCTGTATTCCCAGTCATGTGAAACCCATAGATTAGGGCCTAAGGAATTTATTTCAATTGACTGATTTCCTTATATGAACTAACTCAGTAAAATGTGTTTATACAGTATATTTCATGTCTCAGATGCAACCATTATTTTTAGCTAATATTTCACACTTGAGGATATCCATACAGTATGCATCACACTGCAGTTCTTGCTTCTGAGTAAATCCACTTTTTGACAACATCCCTTTTGATTTAAACAAAACTTCCCATACATATTTGCCCATGGAAGAAGTGGTCAGAAAAATACTTTTTGGACCTGAATGCCAAAACATTCAGGAGATAGAAGTTGCTCAAAGTTGACAGATTTTGCATTCCCCACCATACCACGAGACATCCATGTCTTCATCACTGGAAAAGATAAAGGGTTGAGTTTGATATACAGTGCCTTCGGAAAGTATTCAGACCCCTTGACTTTTTCCAAATTTTTGTTAAGTTACAGCCTTATTCTAAAACTGATTAAAAAATAAAAAATAAAGATTATAGCAATCTACACACAATACCCCATAATGACAAAGTGAAAACAGTTTTCTAAATTTATTACAAATAAAAAACAGAAATACCTTATTTACATAAGTATTCAGACCCTTTGCTATGAGACTCGAAATTGAGCTCAGGTGCATCCGGTTTCCATTGATCATCCTTGAGATGTTTCTACAACTTGATTGGAGTCCACCTGTGGTAAATTCAATTGATTGGACATGATTTGGAAAGGCACACACCTGTCTATATAAAAGGTCCCACAGTTGACAGTGCATGTCAGAGCAAAAACCAAGCCATGAGGTCGAAGGACTTGTCCGTAGAGCTCCGAGACAGGATTGTGTCGAGGCACAAATCTGGGGAAGGGTACCAAAACATTTCTGCAGCATTGAAGGTCCCCAAGAACACAGTGGCCTCCATCATTCCTAAATGGAAGAAGTTTGTAATCACCAAGACTCTTCCTAGTGCTGGCCGCCCGGCCAAACTGAGCAATCGGGAGAAGGGCCTTGGTCAGGGAGGTGACCAAGAACCCGATGGCAACTCTGACAGAGCTCTAGAGTTCCTCTATGGAGATGGGAGAACCTTCCAGAAGGACAACCATCTCTGCAGCACTCCACCAATCAGGCCTTTATGGTAGAGTGGCCAGATGGAAGCCACTCCTCAGTAAAAGGCACATGACAGCCCGCTTGGTGTTTACCAAAAGGCACCTAAAGACTCTCATACCATGACAAACACGATTCGCTGGTCTGATGAAACCAAGATTGAACACTTCGGCCTGAATGCCAAGTGTCACGTCTAGAGTAAACCTGGCACCATCCCTACGGTGAAGCATGGTGATGGCAGCATCATGCTGTGGGGATGTTTTTAACAGCAGCAGGGACTGGGAGACTAGTCAGGATCGAGGCAAAGATGAACAGAGCAAAGTACAGAGAGATCCTTGATGAAAACCTTCTCCAGAGCGCTCAGGACCTCAGACTGGGGCAAAGGTTCACCTTCCAACAGGACAACAACCCTAAGCACACAGACAAGACAACGCAGGAGTGGCTTCGGGACAAGTCTCTGAATGTCCTTTTGTGGCCCAGCCAGAGCCCAGACTTGAACCCGATCGAACATCTCTGGAGAGGCCTGAAAATAGCTGTGCAGCAACGCTCCCCATCCAACCTGACAGCTTGAGAGGATTTGCAGAGAAGAATGGGAGAAACTCCCCAAATATAGGTGTGCCAAGCTTGTAGCGTCATAACCAAGAAGACTCGATGCTGTAATCACTGCCAAAGGTGCTTCAACAGTAAAGGGTCTGAATACTTATGTACATTTGATATTTACGTTTTTTATTTTTAATACATTTGCAAAAGTTTCTAAAAACCTGTTTCCGCTTTGTCATTATGGGGTATTGTGTGTAGATTGATGAGGGGAAAAAACACAATTTAATCAATTTTAGAATAAGGCTGTAACGTAATTTTTTTTGGAAAAAGTCAAGGGGTCTGAATAATTCCAAATGCACTGTAATTTAAGCTTACAGTGTTGTCGTCAATCTAATGCATTTACTTTTTTTAAATAATTTTTTTCATTTTTAAACCTTTAACGTAAATTATCTAAAAATGTGTAAATTCCGATTTGTTTCAGATTAGAATATGTTGTAGCTTAGACCCCATTTCATCTGAGTTTTTTTTTCATCTGAGGTTTTTGTGTTGTGCCTGCCATCAATTGAGACAACACCAGTGGCGACCCGTCATTCAGAGCCCCACCTGTTTTGAGCCCTACCTGTTAAAAAAAGTATAATAATACAAAATATATACACAGTACCAGTCAAAAGTTTGGACACACCTACTCATTCAAGGGTTTTTCTTTATTTTTACTATTTTCTACATTGTAGAATAATAGTGAAGACATCAAAACTATGAAATAACACATGGAATCATGTAGTAACCAAAAAAGTTTTAAACAAATCAAAATATATTTTATATTTGAGATTCTTCAAATAGCCACCCTTTGCATTCTCTCAACCAGCTTCACCTGGAATGCTTTTCCAACAGTCTTGAAGGAGTTCCCACATATGCTGAGCACTTGTTGGCTGCTTTTCCTTCACTCTGCCGTCTGACTCATCCCAAACCATCTCAATTGGGTTGAGGTCGGGGGATTGTGGAGGCCAGGTCATCTAATGCAGCACTCCATCACTCTCCTTCTTGGTAAAATAGCCCTTACACAGCCTGGAGGCGTGTTGGGTCATTGTCCTGTTGAAAAACAAATGATAGTCCCACTAAGCCCAAACCAGATGGGATGGCGTATCACTGCAGAATGCTGTGGTAGCCATTCTGGTGAAGTGTGCCTTGAATTCCAAATAAATCACAGACAGTGTTACCAGCAAAGCACCCCCACACCATAACACCTCCTCCTCCATGCTTTACGGTGGGAACGACACATGCAGAGATCATCCATTCACCCACACTGCGTCTCACAAAGACACGGCGGATGGAACCAACAATCTCCAATTTGGACAAATTTCCACCAGTCTATTGCTAATTGCTCGTGTTTCTTGGCCCAAGCAGGTCTCTTCTTATTGGTGTCCTTTAGTACTGGTTTCTTTTCAGCAATTCAACAATGAAGGCCTGATTCACACAGTCTCCTCTGAACAGTTGATGTTTGGGCTGCAATTTCTGAGGCTGGTAACTCTAATGAACTTATCCTCTGCAGCAGAGGTAACTCTGGGTCTTCCATTCCTGTGGCAGTCCTCATGAGAGCCAGTTTCATCATAATGCTTTATGGTTTTTGCGACTGCACTTGAAGAAACTTTCAAAGTTCTTGAAATTTTCCGTATTGACTGACCTTCATGTCTTAAAGTAATGATGGACTGTTGTTTCTCTTTGCTTTTTTGAGCTGTTCTTGCCATAATATGGACTTGGTCTTTTACCAAATAGGGCTATCTTCTGTATACCCCCCCTACCTTGTCACAACAAAACTGAATGGCTCAAACGCATTAAGAAGGAAAGAAATTCCACAAATTAACTTTTAAGAAGGCACACCTGTTAATTGAAATGCATTCCAGGTGACTACCTCATGAAGCTGGTTGAGAGAATGCCAAGAGTGTGCAAAGCTGTCATTAAGGCAAAGGGTGACTATTTGAAGAATCTCAAATATAAAACATATTTTGATTTGTTTAACACATTTTTGGTTACTATATGATTCCATATGTGTTATTTCATAGTTTTGATGTCTTCACTATCATTCTACAATGTAAAAAATAGTAAAAATAAAGAAAAACCCTTGAATGAGTAGGTGTGTCCAAACATTTGACTGGTACTGTACATTTAATGCAATGTCAACAAACAGATCTAGAACCTTTGCTAGAAGTTCCCTAACAGAAAACCCTGAGCACTGAATTAGAATGAACAAAAATATACAATGTGTTGAATTACTTAACTGCTTTCAACTGAGCTGAGTTGACATAATAAACCCTGATGTTTTTCCACATGAAATGATGTTCAGTGATGAGGAAATGTGTCTCGAATTTCTGTATGATTGGAAAAGCTTAGGCAAACCACTGATGGAGACTATAAAGTCAAGAGATTAGTTTGTTATTAATTTATTAGAACCAAATAAACTGACCTGTCTCCTGTTATGGTGATAGTGAAACCATCATATTCTTTCCCAGGGTCTTTTAGACTGGGCACCTTGGAGTTCACTGTGAAGCCATCCCTTGTTTTACTGTTAAACTGCTTCAGGATAAAAATGAAAAAACAGCAGCAAATCAGACATCTACATTCTATCAGTTGTGAAACTCATGCCAAGTTGATATGTCAATTTGGATGTTTTTGCAATAGATGTTTTAGTACATGATATCGTATCGTACACACCACTTAGTAGTTCCTAGGACCTAGATGCTATTTCCATGAATATATCAGGCCTCAAAGCTTTGCCCCCTGGGTCCAGAGTCTGAAAACACTATATCATACTATTTTGATGAGTCAATATTTTCTTTTCTGGGTGTTGTTCCTTATTACCTTCATTATGGGGAGAAGGTCTTCCACCTTGTCCACATTTTCCAGTGCTTGTCTGACTTCCAGTAGGCCTTTTGGGTTGTATGCCCTGAGGACAATGCATAAATAAGTAAGCCAACAGATTTCTCCAATAAAAAGCTATCTGTATTTTCTTTAAAAAATACCCACCCGTGGTAAACCAATATTCGGTCTTTGATGAAGTTGAGTATTTTGTCAAAATAGGCCAAGTATCTTATGTTGATGATCTGTCCTCTGTGATGCAAAAAAACAGGAAAACCACATTATCAAAAAGGATATCTAAAATTACAACTTGACTCTACAGTTTGTTATGTGTTAAATTCACACAGGGACTATCTTTGAGATGATTTCATGTCATTTTCCTTAAGGTTACCTGATGAGGTTGATATGGTTATTGAACCCTCGGCTGAGACTTCTGGCAGGCATCTGGTCCAGCCACAGAACAGGCTGGTCTGGATCAGCAATCCTTCAAAGGGACAGAACAACACAATGATGTATGACATGAAACATGTACCAAACCTCACAGACTGACAATAAAGAAACTGCAGACAGGGTGTTGATCGATACTGCAGATGTGCATTGTTGTAATAACATTGTTATATAGTAACTTTCTCAAACAAGTCTCACACCCAAACCTCACCTCCTCCATTTGACAGCTATATCGAACATGTCTCTCCACTGCATCTGCCTGGTTTTGCCATTGACTCGCACCTTTGAGTTGCTCCAGGTGCGCTGCATAGCCTGCATGACCTCTAGGGTTGCTAGACCCATGGCTTTTGAAGTGAAACACAGAACACGTTCAATTTCAGAACTTTGAAATATACTGTTATAGAGCTACTGGATTTACAGTGGCTTGCGAAAGTATTCACCCCCCTTGGCATTTTTCCTATTTTGTTGCCTTACAACCTGGAATTAAAATAGATTTTTTTGGGGGTTTGTATCATTTGATTTACACAACATGCCTACCACAAAATATTTTTGGGGGTGAAACAAACAAGAAATAAGACAAAAAAACTTGAGCGTGCATAACTATTTCATCCCCCCCAAAGTCAATACTTTGTAGAGCCACCTTTTGCAGCATTTACAGCTGCAAGTCTCTTGGGGTATGTCTCTATAAGCTTGGCACATCTAGCCACTGGGAATTTTTCCCATTCTTCAAGGCAAAACTGCTCCAGCTCCTTCAAGTTGGATGGGTTCTGCTGGTGTACAGCAATCATTAAGTCATACCACAGATTCTCAATTGGATTGAGGTCTGGGCTTTGACTAGGCCATTCCAAGACATTTAAATGTTTCCCCTTAAACCACTCGAGTGTTGCTTTAGCAGTACGCTTAGGGTCATTGTCCTGCTGGAAGGTGAACCTCCGTCCAGTCTCAAATCTCTGGAAGACAACCAGGTTTCCCTCAAGAATTATGCACCATTCAATCAGTCCTTCAATTCTGACCAGTTTCCCAGTCCCTGCCAATGAAAAACATCCCCACAGCATGATGCTGCCACCACCATGCTTCACTGTGGGGATGGTGTTCACGGGGTGATGAGAGGTGTTGGGTTTGCGCCAGACATAGCGTTTTCCTTGATGGCCAAAAAGCTCAATTTTAGTCTCATCTGACCAGAGTACCTTCTTCCATATGTTTAGGGAGTCTCCCACATGCCTTTTGGCGGACACCAAACGTGTTTGCTTGTTTTTTTCTTTAAGCAATGGCTTTTTTCTGGACACTAATCCGTAAAGCCCAGCTCTGTGGAGTGTACGGCTTAAAGTGGTCCTATGGACAGATACTCCAATCTCCGCTGTGGAGCATTGCAGCTCCTTCAGGGTTATCTTTGGTCTCTTTGTTGCCTCTCTGATTAATGCCCTCCTTGCCTGGTCCGTGAGTTTTGGTGGGCGGTCCTCTCTTGGCAGGTTTGTTGTGGTGCCATATTCTTTCAATTTTTTTATAATGGATTTAATGGTGCTTCGTGGGATGTTCAAAGTTTCTGATTTTTTTTTTTATAACCCAACCCTGATCTGTACTTCTCCACAACTTTGTCCCTGACCTGTTTGGAGAGCTCCTTGGTCTTCATGGTGCCGCTTGCTTGGTGGTGCCCCTTGCTTAGTGGTGTTGCAGACTCTGGGGCCTTTCAGAACAGGTGTATATATACTGAGATCATTTGACAGATCATGTGACACAGATTGCACACAAGTGGACTTTATTTAACTAATTATGTGACTTCTGAAGGTAACTGTTTGCACCAGGCCTTATTTAGGGGCTTCATAGCAAAGGGGGTGAATACATATGCACGCACCACTTTTCTGTTATTTATTTTTTATTATTTTTTTCATTTCACTTCCCCAATTTGGACTATTTTGTGTATGTCCATTACATGAAATCCAAATAAAAATCCATTTAAATTACAGGTTGTAATGCAACAAAATAGGAAAAACACCAAGGGGGATGAATACTTTTGCAAGGCACTGTAAGACATAAGATCGGATCAGAGAATATGTATTCCAGAAAAAACGACTTCTACAATAGTTTCTTACCAGCATGCATAGGGTTTTTTAACAAGTTCAGGGCTGATACTAGTAGATTAAACTGATAGAGTCACTTAATCTGATTTCAGCCAAGAATGTACACAAGAGGACTACAACTCTAATGTGTCTCAGTGACTCACCCACCTCTGTGTATTCTGCGATTGGGAAGAAATCCTGGTGTATTGTATTGCATAAGGGCACCAAGGTGATCAGCTGTGCAAATGAGCTTCTGAACTTCAGTGTTGTAGCTTTCAAAGTTCTGAAGTAGAACATCCCTACAATGACAAGGCATGAAACAAGATCAGTTGGGCAGGTTACAAATGGGTTGAATAGCACAAACACTGAGTAGGTCAAAGTCAACTAAATTAGCCTACTCCATTACCTATCAGTTAGCCTATACTTCAATTTTACATATATATATTTTTTTCTTTCATTTAGCAGACGCTCTTATCCAGAGCGACTTACAGTTAGTGAGTGCATACATGTTTCATACAATGCTGGCAGAAGATATTGAACTGTGTTCAGTCAGTAGCAGGTTCTATCCCTTTGAACTCACTTAATATGAGGCTGCAGTCCTGGCTGCTCCTCATAGTCTTCTATAAGAAAAGGGAGGTTTTTTGCCCAGTGGTTTTTGAAGTTTCCTGGAAGATCCTGATCAACATTGTATTCTGCCACAGGTATGTCGAGATGTGAGTGCAAGTAGCGAGAGTATTCTGTGGGGGGGAAATGACATGAGAGATTCAAACCATCGATCTCCAGAGACAAGAAATTATCAAAGATAAAACATTCAGCTTCAGGTTGAAATGTTAGTTGAGAGGTCACTAATGCTGCGCTCACCTCTGAGGTATTTCACTTTGAGATATTCCGAGCTTGCCTTCTGGCCCAGCAAAGGGTCATTCAACATGACTTTAGTCTGAGCCTTGATGCCTTCATAGAACTGTCCCATAGCCACGTGGCTCAGACCCTTCATGTACTGACACACCTCATTGTAGGGCTCCAACTGTAGACATCTCTGCAAAACACAATACAACATGGAGGTGTTACACATCAAGTCCAATGACGCACATAGGTGTAATAATTAAAAAGGGAGGGAGGGAACCTCAAATTCAGACATACATAATTCAGACTCAAAGTGGATATCACTACAGTTCGCTGCTGACTGCGTGAACGGCCTGAGGATGACGGCTCTAGACTGACTCATGACCCCACCAAACCACATTCTCCACAGGGAGTGTGGGAAGCACGTGACACGGTCATGTAAGCTGCTGTGTGGGGGAGGTAATATATATATATATTTATATATACATTTGTCATTTAGCAGACACTCTTATCCAGAGCGACTTAAAGGAGCAATTAGAGTTAATAATAATTTTAATTTGGTGGGTGCTTAGATTTGTCCTGTTTCACAAGTGTGTATTATACACGTGTGACATGCATATCCCAACTCCCCAAGACACCCTTGGAGAGTGGGGTCACGGCCAAGGTCAGCCATTATCAAGGGCGACCCTGGAGCAATTAGGGTTAAGTACCTTGCTCAAGGGAATATCGTCATATTTTTTACCTAGTCGGCTCGGGATTCGAACCAGCGACCATTCGGTTACTGACCCAACACTCTTATCCGTTAGGCTACCCACCACCCCGGTAGTAACCGTCATAGTATTGCCACATCTACTACACATCAATGCATGAGGCCTACTGAGTCACCACAGCGGGGCTGCCGATGGGACAGTAAGGCAAATGCCATCATGGGGACAGATAGGGGATATGGAAAATGACGATAGTCAGTATGGCCTACATGACACACGTCTGTGATCAGGGGCACGGCACTGCTGCTCGTTAGCCTGCGTTGCCATCAACCGCCTGAAGCCACAGTGAAAACAAACCATCAGGAGAATCCCTTGCAGTGTTAATTTTGTCAACAACAATAATGACGAAAATATTTGTCAAACACCCATTTTTCAGTGGCAATTGACGAGATGATAACTGACTAGAATAGACCCAGAAAACTATAACTAAACGAAAATGATTTTTCATTTCAGTTGATGAACACTCTGTGACTAAAACCTGACTGGTAAATGGACTGGACAAGAGTTTTTGGAGAGATTCTCCAATCTGGCTGCAACACATCATTGATGCAAATAACGCACATGACATGGCGACTCTTCCTGTGTATAGTACAAGCTCCCGGTAGAAAAAGGGGCAACGTTTGGAGCCACTTTGCTTATCGTGTTGATTCAAACCGAATGCAACGTTTCCACAGGAGAAGACAGCGTTTACACCCACAAGTCGAAGGGGAATACTACCAACCAAGTCGAATACTACCAACCTCAAGAGACAATCTGAAAGAGCATCATCTCAATATATACGCTCAGGTAATAACAGATTGATAATGCTAGCTTTTTAGTTTGCTGCAACCTATCAGACCACTACTTATGACAGAACTTTGATACTATAGCTACAGTAGGGTGGGTATTATATTTAGTGTTAGAAATCTAGCTAATGTGTTTTGAGTTTTCACTTCCTCATGTGGTGAATTAGCCCCAAAATAAATTAGCCTATGATATTAGTATACATAAAGATGTAGGCAAATTCATCTCTATTGAACCACAAAATTCAGAATATTCTGGAGCCGTATTTCAACAGTAAAATATAACAACAATACCCTATTGTCAACCCACAATTCATGACAATCACTGGATTAGGTTGCACATCAAAATACCTTGAATCATGTATTCCTGCTTGGACATGTTAGATGAAACAACGTATTTATTGAATAGCCTACCATCTCAGCAGTCTATTACACAGTCTAAAGCACTGTGAATGACTTTATAAAGGTGATTACTAATTTGTTCCATTGTGTGATGCCACGGAACAAAATTGGTGCGACCAAATCATGGCTGGTGCCACCAACTGAAAAAGTTAGTCTGGAGCCCTGTCAAGAGATGTGATTTTTAATCTGCTGCCGAGTAATGTGTTCTGCTGCCAATTTGGCTGTTGGGAAGAGAATCATGCGATAGGATGTTATACAGAAAAATATGTTGGTAGGACAAGGCTATGTTTGTGCACATGGAAGTCAGTGATTTATGTTTACTATAGGTTAATGAGGCAATACAAATGTGATGTGACTAAAATGAAAGGGCATTTAGTTGACTAAAATGGCCCACTGTTTTCGTCATTTTGACAATAACTAGACTAAATCATTATTCAAATGACAAAAATGTGACTAATACTTCATGATATTTGTCAAAATTACTAGACTAAACTACATTTAAAAAAAGTAGTTACCACTTGTAATGGGTGGTAGACTGATATTGTGTCAGGAGAAAGAAGCTGTGTGTTACACGGCCAATACCTTGAAGTTGCCGATGGCTTCCTGGAGGCTGCCGTGGTGGTAGAGCATCATGCCTCTCAGCTGCAGAGACTGGATGTGGTTCTGGTTGAGCATCAGGGCTTTCTGGAAGCTCTCCATGGCTGCCTCAAAGTCCCCCAACTCTCTACACACACACAACAGGGATCATTTACTGCACTGGCCCATGAGTACTAAGGCCCTGAGTTCTTCCTGACCATGTGACCTGACCAGGAAGAATTCTGGGTCCTAACTTTGAGGCACATTGGTTGAAACCAAAGCATGTCATAGAGCATCCCTACTGTACCTGTAGGCCTGTCCGAGACTTTTGTATGCATCTATGAAGTCATATTTTAATTTCAGGGCCTCCTTGAATGTTTCAATGGCTTCCTGGATCGAAGACAAGATTGTATCGTAAACGTGCAGGGATATAACTGGTTATACTGGCAGTACTCAAAGTTGAGCAACTCTGGTTTTCTACAAAAATGTCTATACATTTTTACATTTACATTTGAGTCATTTAGCATACGCTCTTATCCAGAGCGACTTACAGTTAGTGAGTGCATACATTTTCATACTGGTCCCCCGTGGGAATCAAACCCACAACCCTGGCGTTGCAAGCGCCATGCTCTACCAACTGAGCTACACGGGACTACCTTGAGCATTCCTCTGTGGAAGAATGTTAGACCTCTGTATAGCATGGCAATGGGCTGGTTTTTCTTCAGATCCAAAGACTGTTGAAAATCCTCCATAGCTGCCACATAATCCTATTTAGAGAAAACAAAAGCATATAAAACCCACTATGTGAACTGAACTCTATTTCAACACTCATCAGAAACTTGAATACATTGTCAGTCTGACCTCGGCAATGAAGAGCAGAGTTCCTCTGTGTCTGTAGAGGCGGGCAGAGGGCTGGAGCTGGATGGCTTTGGAGAGATCACTCAGAGCCTCACTGATTCTTCCAAGTGGAGAAAGAATCTGCAAGCACATTATTCAAGTAAAACTTGCAAGTCAGAGTGCATTCGGAAAGTATTCAGACCCCTTTACTTTTTCCACATTTTGTTACGTTACAGCCTTATTCTAAAATGGATTAAATGTTTATTTCCCCTCATCAATCTACACACAATACCCCATACAAAGCAAAAACAGGTTTTTAGAAATTTCAGCAAATGTATTCAAATTTTAAAAAACTTAAATATTACATTTACATAAATATTCAGACCCTTTACTCAGTACTTTGTTGAAGCACCTTTGGCAGGGATTACAGCCTCAAGTCTTCTTGGGTATGACACTACAAGCTTGGCACACCTGTATTTGGGAAGTTTCTCCTATTCTTCTCTGCAGATTCTCTCAAGTTCTGTCAGGTTGGATGGGGAGCGTCGCTGCACAGCTATTTTCAGGTCTCTCCAGAGATGTTCGATCGGGTTCAAGTCTGGGCTCTGGCTGTGCCACTCAAGGACATTCAGAGACTTGTCCCGAAGCCACTCCTGCATTGTCTTGGCTGTGTACTTGGGGTCGTTGTCTTGTTGGAAGGTGAACCTTTGCCCCAGTCGGAGGTCCTGAGCGCTCTGGAGCAGATTTTTATCAAGGATCTCTCTGTACTTTGCTCCGTTCATCTTTCCCTTGATCCTGACTAGTCTCCCAGTCCCTGGCGCTGAAAAACATCCCCACAGTATGATGCTGCCACCACCATGCTTGACCGTAGGGATGGTGCCAGGTTTCCTCCAGACGTGACGCTTGGCATTCAGGCCAATCTTGGTTTCATCAGACCAGAGAATCTTGCTTCTCATGGTCTGAGAGTCCTTTAGATGCCTTATGGCAAACTCCATGCGGGCTGTCATGTGCCTTTTACTGAGAAGTGGAGTGCTGCAGAGATGGTTATCCTTCTGGAAGGTTCTCCCATCTCGACAGAGGAACTCTGGAGCTCTGTCAGAGTGACAATCAGGTTCTTGGTCACCTCCCTGACCAAGGTCCTTCTCCCCCGATTGCTCAGTTTGGCCGGGCGGCCAGCTCTAGGAAGAGTCTTGGTGGTTCCAAACTTCTTCCATTTAAGAATGATGGAGGCCACTGTGTTCTTGGGGATCTTCAATGCTGCAGACATTTTTTGGTACCCTTCCCCAGATCTGTGCCTCAACACAATCCTGTCTCTGAGCTCTACGGACAATTCCTTCGACCTCATGGCTTGGTTTTAGCTCTGACATGCACTGTCAACTGTGGGACCTTATATAGACAGGTGTGTGACTTTCCAAATCATGTCCAATCAATTCAATTTACCACAGGTGGACTCCAATCAAGTTGTAGAAAAATCTCAAGGATGATCAATGGAAACAGGATGCACCTGAGCTCAATTTCGAGTCTCATAGCAAAGGGTCTGAATACTTATGTAAATGTGATATTTCAGTTTAAAAAATGTTAATACATTTGCACAAAAAATAAATAAAACAGATTTTTCTTTGTCATTATGGGGTAATGTGTGTAGATTGATGAGGGAAAAAAATAATTTAATCAGTTTTAGAATAAGGCTGTAAAGTAACAAAATGTGGAAAAAGTCAAGGGGTCTGAATACTTTCCGAATGCACTGTACTTTCCCTTCATTTTACTTGTGGGGCAGTCCAATGGTCTATTAACTAGGCTACTTCTAGGCATATTGTTAATACAACAGTGGTTGCCTCCTGTGCACAATTTTTTAAAAGCCTGCTTGAGAGAATACCACCACCCTCACTCATTTGTAACCATTTTGCATGTGGCTACATAGAAACCTGCTCCATTCAAAGAGACATACAATTCAAGCATGATAGTAAACCCCAATGAAAACCAATACCCTAACACAAGGTCTAACACGAACAGACAGTTAACCCATGACGCCAAAACAGGCCTAGCATTATCCTCACCTCTGCCCGCTGTTCGTACACCTCAGGACGGTTGGGCTCAAGAGTGATGACTCGGCTTAACTCGAACAGCGCCAAGTCTGCATTCTTGATGTCCTTCCATAGAAGAAAAGAGACAGTCTCACCTCCATTGGACACACCTCCCCCACCCCCCCATAAAAAAAAAGGGTGGTTGTCCCACTGGCTATCCTAAGTTGAATGCACCAATTTGTAAGTCGCTCTGGATAAGAGCGTCTGCTAAATGACTTAAATATAAATGTAAAAAAATCACCACTCTCAGCCTTTATCAATCACATCCACTGACACGCACACATGCTAACTGCTGAGCAGGGTCCCCGGTGGGGGCACTCTCATAATCAAAAGTTAGCACAGATTAGATTTTTATTTATGATGTGTCACAGTGCAAACATTGGCTGACTGAATAGAACTGCTGGTGTCAACATTCTGTGAACTCCAGTATCATGCTAATGTGATCACTTACCTGCAGACTCTTTTTTCCGTATGCTATCCCTCTCCCGTAGATGGCACTGACCACCTCTGGATCCCCCTACACCAGAGCACAACACACACTGATAAGAAATATGTCCTTTATTGCAAATGCAAACCACACAACATATTCAAAGCAAGGAGAAAGAGAAAATGTAATGTAAATGTCTATGTCTGTCTCTCTACTATTCATATATTTGACTAAACAAAAAATATGCATTATTCAAACTGTCAAGTAGGCCAGACCAAGACATATATACAGATGTGTGTTGTAATTCATGCATCTATGAATGTTAACCAACCTGTAATAACAAGGAGAAGTGTTTGATGGCTTCATCGTACAGGCCATTTCCAATAAGAACATATCCTATAGCTGCAATGAAAAGAAAATGAGAGTAAAGCAAAAGGGCTTCGATAGCAGAAATGTACAGTGAGGGAAAAAAGTATTTGATCCCCTGCTGATTTTGTATGTTTGCCCACTGACAAAGACATGATCAGTCTATAATTTTAATGGTAGGTTTATTTAAACAGTGAGAGACAGAATAACAACAACAAAATCCAGAAAAACGCATGTCAAAAATGTTATAAATTGATTTGCATTTTAATGAGGGAAATAAGTATTTGACCCCCTCTCAATCAGAAAGATTTCTGGCTCCCAGGTGTCTTTTATACAGGTATCGAGCTGAGATTAGGAGCACACTCTTAAAGGGAGTGCTCCTAATCGCAGCTTGTTACCTGTATAAAAGACACCTGTCCACATAAGCAATCAATCAATCAGATTCCAAACTCTCCACCATGGCCAAGACCAAAGAGCTCTCCAAGGATGTCAGGGACAAGATTGTAAACCTACACAAGGCTGGAATGGGCTACAAGACCATCGCCAAGCAGCTTGGTGAGAAGGTGACAACAGTTGGTGCGATTATTCGCAAATGGAAGAAACACAAAATAACTGTCAATCTCCCTCGGCCTGGGGCTCCATGCAAGATCAGTTGCAATGATCATGAGAACGGTGAGGAATCAGCCCAGAACTACACGGGAGGATCTTGTCAATGATCTCAAGGCAGCTGGGACCATAGTCACCAAGAAAACAATTGGTAACACACTATGCCGGGATGGACTGAAATCCTGCAGCGCCCGCAAGGTCCCCCTGCTCAAGAAAGCACATATACATGCCCGTCTGAAGTTTGCCAATGAACATCTGAATGATTCAGAGGAGAACTGGGTGAAAGTGTTGTGGTCAGATGAGACCAAAATGGAGCTCTTTGGCATCAACTCAACTCGCCGTGTTTGGAGGAGGAGGAATGCTGCCTATGACCCCAGGAACACCATCCCCACCGTCAAACATGGAGTTGGAAACATTATGCTTTGGGGGTGTTTTTCTGCTAAGGGGACAGGACAACTTCACCGCATCAAAGGGACGATGGACGGGGCCATGTACCGTCAAATCTTGGGTGAGAAACTCCTTCCCTCAGCCAGGGCATTGAAAATGGGTCGTGGATGGGTATTCCAGCATGACAATGACCCAAAACACACAGCCAAGGCAACAAAGGAGTGGCTCAAGAAGAAGCACATTAAGGTCCTGGAGTGGCCTAGCCAGTCTCCAGACCTTAATCCCATAGAAAATCTGTGGAGGGAGCTGAAGGTTCGAGTTGCCAAACGTCAGCCTCGAAACCTTAATGACTTGGAGAAGATCTGCAAAGAGGAGTGGGACAAAATCCCTCCTGAGATGTGTGCAAACCTGGTGGCCAATACAAGAAACGTCTGACCTCTGTGATTGCCAACAAGGGTTTTGCCACCAAGTACTAAGTAATGTTTTGCAGAGGGGTCAAATACTTATTTCCCCCATTAAAATGCAAATCAATTTATAACATTTTTGACATGCGTTTTTCTTGATTTTGTTGTTGTTATTCTGTCTCTCACTGTTCAAATAAACCTACCATTAAAATTAGACTGATCAGTTCTTTGTCAGTGGGCAAACGTACAAAATCTGCAGGGGATTAAATACTTTTTTTCCCTCACTGTATAGCATACACTCCACATACCAAACTCTTACTAGATTAACTTACCAAGCTCCTCATTTGTGTTGTGGTTGTCCACTGCAAACGGGAATCGTTTCTGCTCTATGAACAACTTGGCTTGGCTCTGATTGAAAGAAGATGAGATCATTGTGTAGTTAGCTACACGTTCAGTTTCCTCTGTGAAAATAAAAGGTTCAGTCAAACAAAAATGCCAAGGCAAAAGCATTGAGATCTTAATGAAGTCTGTGCATCTCACCAGAATTTTCTCTGCGTTGAGAGAGAAGACAGACTCGCATGGCAGGTTGCTTCCTTCCTCACAGTCTGGGTTGTCCAACTGTAGAACGGAGGACTCTGTAGGGAAATATACAGCATCAGACACAACACAGCAGCCAGACTGCTGCCAACTTGGTCATTATGGGGAGAGATAAGGATCAAAAACATTGGCAGGCTTCTTACCTGATCTGCAATGAAGGGACTGGTCACATCAAATACTAATCTTTTATTATTGATTGATTCATAAAAGCCTTGCTTTGTGATCTTTCAGTGGGAAAGTCATAGGATGATCTCATTCATATTTCATTCATTATCCTGGATATTTTGATTCAGTCACAGTTTGCAATGCAATTTTATTTTAATACATTGATTGCACATTCCAATACAAAACCTGTGCAAGCAAGACCATCGCGAGCTTTGAGGTGCGCTCTGGGTTACGTTCACGCGCAGGAAAGACACGCAGAATGTACTAACTGACATTGTGTGTAAAAACGTATCTAGGTGAGGACATCATAGCACTGGGGACCTTGTCGAAGTCTTATTAGTACTATTAATCTTGAAATATCAGTTGAGGAGCCTCTGATTCTACCCTGACCTTTACCATCAAATCCTAACCTCTACGAGAGAGCGGGTAATATCCCACGCTTGCTAGCTAGTACAGTAGCTAACCTCCTGTCAACGGGTGCGGAAAAATATAGGTTTTGTTAGCTAGCCACATTTACACAGCGAGTTACAAGGACGTGGCAAAACTTACCGCAATCACTTGCGTATTCCTCCCACTCTGACGGAGAGCTGCAACCATGTTTATGCAGTTCGCTATTAAAGAAAGTAAGTGTAGAGAAGTATTCAGTGGAAAATATAGCACGGGATAAGTACAGAAATGAGAGGACTACCACAACAACACCCCGGCCAGCAGGTGCCATGTTGTGTTTCATGTGTCGGTGAGGAGCGCGGGAGCTTTGGTAATGTAGTTCCCGAGTACCTACGCCCCCTCTTGACCTAAACCGCCAGCCAAACTGCAAACGACTACATCTCCCAACCAATCACGCATAAATCCAGGAAGTCAGGTTCCTCGAGCTGGTTGCTCCATCGTTGCCAAGTCGCGAACATAAAACAGAATGGGAAAGGGTTTCTTTAGATGTGTTGAATGCATTAAGGACGCGCACGAGCTTCGCAGAGATTACAGTAATGGGATCTTGAAGATAAACATATGTGTGAGTTAACTAACTGGCCCATGTTCATTTCCTGGTTTAGATATTAGCTAACTGATGATGCTAGGCTAGCTAGAAATGAAGGGACCTGTCACTGCCAGCGGTTTCTCTGTTTCTATTCAAGTTATGATGCCTGATGATGGATAATTAGCTGATATTTGTGGTTAGTGGTTGGGTCTCTACCCTTACAACAGATAAAACAGTAAGCTAGCTATCTAGTTTAGCCATAAAAGCTAGATAAATGCGTATGGTGTGCCTGTTTTATCCCTTTCATACATAGACCAAAATCCCACTAATTTATCATGTCTGCATTTTTATAACAGCTTTTTCGTATATCTGAAAGGGGTAGGGGGTAAAAAACGTGGGAAAATAAAAGCCACCTAAAGACCGAGTCATGATTCCTGCATTTTCACAGACCCTGTAACCAAAATACAGGTATCGGGTCTGTGTGAATGGTTCTCTGCTTTTTTGCAGGTAAAGACATTAACACTTCCATTGTTTAACACCTCCCTAATTTAAACTGCAAACAGCCCCCATGGTTTAACAACACCCCCCACCCCTCCTAATTTCAAATCAAATCAGATTTTCTTTGTCACATACGTGTTTAGCAGATGTTATCGCGGGTGGAGCGAAATGCTTGTGCTTCTAGCCCCGACAGTGCAGTAATATCTAACAAGTAATATCTAACAATTTCACAACATATACCCAATACACACAAAACTAGTAAGGAATGGGATTTAAGAATATATACATATATGGACAAGCAATGACAGAGCGGCATGGACTAAGATACAGTAGAATATTATAGAATATAATGCAGTATACAGTGAGGGAAAAAAGTATTTGATCCCCTGCTGATTTTGTACGTTTGCCCACTGACAAAGACATGATCAGTCGTTAATTTTAATGGTAGGTGGTCTAAGGCACTGCATCGCAGTGCTAACTGTGCCACTAGATCCTGGTTCGAATCCAGGCTGTGTCGCAGCCGGCCGTGACCGGGAGACTCATGGGCGGCGCACAATTGGCCCAGCGTCGTCCAGGGTAGGGGAGGGAATGGCCGGCAGGGATGTAGCTCAGTTGATAGAGCATGGCGTTTGCAACGCCAGGGTTGTGGGTTCGATTCCCACGGGGGACCAGTATAAAAAAAATATGTATTCACTAACTGTAAGTCGCTCTGGATAAGAGCGTCTGCTAAATGACTAAAATGTAATGTAAATGTTGAACAGTGAGAGACAGAATAACAACAAAATCAAGAAAAACGCATGTCAAAAATGTTATAAATTGATTTGCATTTTAATGAGGGAAATAAGTATTTGACCCCTCTGCAAAACATTACTTAGTACTTGGTGGCAAAACCCTTGTTGGCAATCACAGAGGTCAGACGTTTCCTGTAGTTGGCCACCAGGTTTGCACACATCTCAGGAGGGATTTTGTCCCACTCCTCTTTGCAGATCTTCTCCAAGTCATTAAGGTTTCGAGGCTGACGTTTGGCAACTCGAACCTTCAGCTCCCTCCACAGATCTTCTATGGGATTAAGGTCTGGAGACTGGCTAGGCCACTCCAGGACCTTAATGTGCTTCTTCTTGAGCCACTCCTTTGTTGCCTTGGCCGTGTGTTTTTTTGTCATTGTCATGCTGGAATACCCATCCACGACCCATTTTCAATGCCCTGGCTGAGGGAAGGAGGTTCTCACCCAAGATTTGTACTCCTGAGTGGCGCAGTGGTCTAAGGCACTGCATCGCAGTGCTAACTGTGCCACTAGAGATCCTGGTTCGAATCCAGGCTCTGTCGCAGCCGGCCGTGACCGGGAGACTCATGGGCGGCGCACAATTGGCCCAGCGTCGTCCAGGGTAGGGGAGCGAATGGCCGGCAGGGTAGGGGAGGGAATGTAGCTCAGTTGATAGAGCATGGCGTTTGCAACGCCAGGGTTGTGGGTTTGATTCCCACGGGGGGCCAGTATAAAAAAAAATATGTATTCACTAACTGTAAGTCGCTCTGGATAAGAGCGTCTGCTAAATGACTAAAATGTAAATGTAAATTTGACGGTACATGGCCCCGTCCATCGTCCCTTTGATGCGGTGAAGTTGTCCTGTCCCCTTAGCAGAAAAACACCCCCAAAGCATAATGTTTCCACCTCCATGTTTGACGGTGGGGATGGTGTTCCTGGGGTCATAGGCAGCATTCCTCCTCCTCCAAACACGGCGAGTTGAGTTGATGCCAAAGAGCTCCATTTTGGTCTCATCTGACCACAACACTTTCACCCAGTTCTCCTCTGAATCATTCAGATGTTCATTGGCAAACTTCAGACGGGCATGTATATGTGCTTTCTTGAGCAGGGGGACCTTGCGGGCACTGCAGGATTTCAGTCCTTCACAGCGTAGTGTGTTACCAATTGTTTTCTTGGTGACTATGGTCCCAGCTGCCTTGAGATCATTGACAAGATCCTCCCGTGTAGTTCTGGGCTGATTACTCACCGTTCTCATGATCATTGCAACTCCACGAGGTGAGATCTTGCATGGAGCCCCAGGCCGAGGGAGATTGACAGTTATTTTGTGTTTCTTCCATTTGCGAATAATCGCACCAACTGTTGCCACCTTCTCACCAAGCTCCTTGGCGATGGTCTTGTAGCCCATTCCAGCCTTGTATAGGTCTACAATCTTGTCCCTGACATCTTTGGAGAGCTCTTTGGTCTTGGCCATGGTGGAGAGTTTGGAATCTGATTGATTGATTGCTTCTGTGGACAGGTGTCTTTTTATACAGGTAACACGCTGAGATTAGGAGCACTCCCTTTAAGAGTGTGCTCCTAATCTCAGCTCGTTACCTGTAGAAAAGACACCTGGGAGCCAGAAATCTTTCTGATTGAGAGGGGGTCAAATACTTATTTCCCTCATTAAAATGCTAATCAATTTATAACATTTTTGACATGCGTTTTTCTGGATTTTTGTTGTTGTTATTCTGTCTCTCACTGTTCAAATAAACCTACTATCCAGGCTCTGTCGTAGCCGGCCGCGACCGGGAGACCCATGGGGCGGCGCACAATTGGCCCAGCGTCGTCTAGGGTAGGGGAGGGAATGGCCGGCAGGGATGTAGCTCAGTTGGTAGAGCATGGCGTTTGCAACGCCAGGGTTGTGGGTTCGTTTCCCACGGGAGGGTATGAAAAAATAAATAATGTATCCACTCACTAACTGTAAGTCGCTCTGGATAAGAGCGTCTGCTAAATGACTAAAATGTAAATGTAAAAATGTACCATTAAAATTATAGACTGATAATTTCTTTGTAAGTGGGCAAACGTACAAAATCAGCAGGGGATCAAATACTTTTTTCCCTCACTGTATACATATGAGATGAGTAGTGCAAGATATTTAAACATTATTAAAGTGACTAGTGTTCCATTTCTTAATGTGTCCAGTGATTTCAATAGGCAGCAGCAGCCTCTAATGTGCTAGTGATGGCTATTTAACAGTGATGGCCTTGAGATAGAAGCTGTTTTTCATTCTCTCGGTCCCAGCTTTGATGCACCTGTACTGACTTCGCCTTCTGGATGATAGCGGGGTGAACAGGCAGTGGCTCGGGTGGTTGTGGGGCCCCAATGTTGAGGATCAGCGAAGTGGAGATGTTGTTTCCTACCTTCACCACCTGGGGCCGGCCCTTCAGGAAGTCCAGGACCCAGTTGCACAGGGCGGGGTTCAGACCCTCGAGCTTAATGATGAGCTTGGAGGGTACTATGGTGTTGAATGCTGACCTATAGTCAATGAACAGCATTCTTACATAGGTATTCCTCTTGTCCAGATGGGATAGGGCAGTGTGCAGTGTGATGGCGATTGCATCGTCTGTGGATCTATTGGAGCGGTAAGCAAATTGAAGTGGGTCTATTGATATGTATGAAAGGGGTATACCTGCAATTAAGTGGTAAATAAGAGGCTGTTTCAACGGGGGTCATATAAACATTTCCTTATAGTTTTTACAGGTAACATACCACATCTTCTGTCTGAAATGGGTAAATGTCTCTACTTCTTTCAGGAATCCTGCCAAAAGCCTGTGGACAAGTACATTGAATATGATCCAGTCATTATTCTGATTGATGCCATTTTATGCAAAACTCAAGCATTCAGACACATTCTGTTCAACATTACATTGAACGTAAGTACAGTAAGACACTGAAAAACGATTCACCAGAGTCAGATTACAGTGCATGCTTTAGAAAATTGATGAGACTTGATCCACATTGCATTGCATTTACTCTGCAGAGAGACACAAGGCATGATGGCATGTCTTATTGATGGTTTCCTCTACAGATTCACTGGAAGCTGTGTGTGTTTTGCCTGCTGTGTGAGTCCTACCTGAGGTGGTCACAACTTCCGGGATCTGAACAGAGCAATGACCCTGCAGACATCATTAGATACACCAAGGAATGGGATTTCTATGGCATGTTTGGGATGGCAGCTCTTGGTGGGTATATAAAGCATGGAAAAAAACACATCATTACTATAACAAGTCATGCACTCATCAACAAACATGCCTTTGACAATGTTAATAGCAATGTTATAACAATGTTTCCAAGTGTAGATAAAATGACAAATCCTGCTTTCTTTTCACAATGATTTCATACAAATGACGGTCTTCTGCTGGTTGGTACTGATTTCATGTTCATTTGTCCACAGAATTGGGTGCGTTCTCTGTTGGAGTGCTGTCTTTCCTGTGGCTGGTGCAGAGGCTGCTTGGCTATGACTTTGAACTGAGCTTACTACTGAAAGCCCTCCTGCTGTCCAGCTATGGCAAAATCCTGCACATCGCTGCAGTCATATGGGAGCATGACTACTCCCCGCACTGCTTCAGCCTCATCAAGCTGTTTGTGCTCACATCCAACTCTCAGGCCATCAGAGGTACATTAGCCAACTCCTCCCTCAGTGTACCAATGCTCCCATTATAATACTAATAATAATAATATGCCATTTAGCAGATGCTTTTATCCAAAGCGACTTACAGTCATGCGTGCATATATATTTTTTTTTGTGTATGGGTGGTCCCGGGGATCGAACCCACTACCTTGGCGTTACAAGCGCCGTGCTCTACCAGCTGAGCTACAGAGGACCATTAGTCACTCACATTTAGCTCCATCGCTGTTCCTGTTAATTCAGCGAGTGAATTGGAGTGAAAATGGATTGAAAAGTTCTCATTACTCATTATTGATACTATTAAATAACCTATTTCACACATTGAGCACCATATCTATCGACTTTTCACGTAGTGAATTCTGTTATTCCCTAGAGTTACTAAATAGTTATAAATAGTTCCAAAATTGTCCAAAGCTAATCCATTAATTCACTAAAGTTGCATTAACGTTATGCATTATGTTTTTTTCACCAAACAATCAGGCCTGCAAAGCAAGCACTAGTCTCGGTGTGCCCCCTGTGGTTTGTCACATTTCAGGGTAATGGCCCTTATCGTGCTGCTGGTCCAGTTTTTGCTGTTCTGCCTGCGGCTATGGAACCCTGACCTCTTCACCAGTCGTGCTACCTTTTCCCGGACCTTCTGTTTTGACTCTCTCCTTTCTTTCTTTCTTTCTTTCTTTCTTTCTTTCTTTCTTTCTTTCATTCTTTCAATTCGATTTAAGGGCTTTATTGGCATGGGATAAACAAAAGTGAAATAAACACTTTTTCCCCCTTTTTTTTTTTTACAGTAAACATTACACTCACAAAAGTTCCAAAAGAATAAAGACATTTCAAATGTCATTATGTGCAAATAGTTAAAGTACAAAAGGGAAAATACATCAACATAAATATGGGTTGTATTTACAATGGTGTTTGTTCTTCACTAGTTGCCCTTTTCTTGAGGCAACAGGTCACAAATCTTGCTGCTGTGATGGCACACTGTGGTTTTTCACCTAATAGATATGGGAGTTTATCAAAATTGGGTTTGTTTTCTAATTCTTTGTGGATCTGTGTAATCTGAGGGAAATATGTGTCTCTAATATGGTCATACATTTGGCAGGAGGTTAGGAAGTGCAGCTCAGTTTCCACCTCATTTTTTGGGCAGTGTGCACATAGCCTGTCTTTTCTTGAGAGCCAGGTCTGCCTACGACGGCCGCTCTCAATAGCAATGCTATGCTCACTGAGTCTACGTAGTCAAAGCTTTCCTTAAATTTGGGTCAGTCACAGTGGTCAGGGATTCTGCCAATGTGTACGCTCTGTTTAGGGCCAAATAGCATTCTAGTTTGCTCTGTTTTTTTGTTAATTCTTTCCAATGTGTCAAGTAATTATCTTTTTGTTTTCTCATGATTTGGTTGGATCTAATTGTTTTGCTGTCCTGGGGCTCTGTGGGGTCTGTTTGTGCTCTCTGTCTCTCTCTCTCTTTCTCCCCCATATTCTCCACCTGGCACAGCCAGAAGAGGACTGGCCACCCCTCAGAGCCTGGTTCCTCTCTAGGTTTCTTCCTAGGTTCCTGCCTTTCTAGGGAGTTTTTCCTAGCCACTGTGCTTCTACAGCTGTATTGCTTGCTCTTTGGGTTTTAGGCTGGGTTTCTGTATAAGCACTTTGCGACAACTGCTGATGTAAAAAGGGCTTTATGAATACATTTGATTGATTGATTGATATTGGATTCCTGTAGAATTCATGGTTTATTGCACTGATGGCAGTATTTCTCAATTCTACAACAAGTAGGAGATTAACATGATCTAAAGGTGTTCTAAACAAGTACTTTTCCTGCATATTGTCATGTTTGTGTTCTTGTAAGACCTGATCATTTCCTCTCCTCTCTTCTCCAGTCATTCTTAACTGCAGCAGAAGGCTCTCCCTGCTGGCTGTGTGTGTGGGTCTGCTATTGGAGACGTGCATAGCCCAGGCGTTTCAGACGCTTCCATGGAGCATAAAGGACATCCTGCCGTTCCAATGACCTGTTTCAGGCCGGTCCTAAAGAACACACTGTTACAATGGCACCTATTATGCCCTGGACCAGAGACCGGTGAGGGGAAACTATTAGTGCTATGTGGAGTGTGCCTAGACATATAGTCAAACACTGACAATAACCTCTCTGTTGGTATTGGAGTTAATGAGGCTACGGGACATTCCTGAGGCTATTTGTGAAATACCACCTTAGAAAGCACATAGTGAACATATTCATTATTCTGTGCAATGCCAAAAACCACAGGCTGTGTATAAGCAACACATATTTTGATATGGAACAGATGTAAGATGTGTGTGTCACAGAGAGAGAGAACTTGCAGTGAGTAATCCCATTTATTGCCTTGAATTCTTTATTTTATTGAAGCTGTACAGTAAAAGAGAGCAATACTCTCTTGGTGATGCAGCCTATATGATTAAGTATAGGAGCTGTGGAATAATAAGCATTTGACACACATGTTCACAGAGGGTGGCTTTACAGTGCCTTCAAAAAGTATTCACACCCCTTGACTTTTTCCACATTTTGTTGTGTTACAGCCTGAATTTAAAATGAATTAAATTAAGATGTTTTTGTCACTGACCTACACAGAATACCATAATGTCAAAGTGGAATTAATTAAAAATGAAAATAAATGAAAATATCTTGAGTTAGTAAGTATTCAACCCCTTTGTTATGGCAAGCCTAAATAAGTTCAGGAGTACACATGTGCTTAACAAGTCACATAATAAGTTGCATGGACTCTGTGTGCAATAATAGTGTTTAACATGATTTTTGAATGACTACCTCATCTCTGTACCCCACACATACAATTATCTGTAAGGTCCCTCAGTCGAGCAGTGAATATCAAGCACAGATTCAACCACAAAGACCAGGGAGGTTTTCAAAAAGAAGGGCACCTATTGGTAGATGGGTACATAAAAAAAAAAGCAGACATTGAATATCTTTTTGAGCATGGTGAAGTTATTAGTTACACTTTGGATGGTGTATCAATACACCCAGTCACTACAAAGATACAGGCGTCCTTCCTAACTCAGTTGCCGGAGAGAAAGGAAACCGCTCAGTGATTTCACCATGAGGCCAATGGTGACTTTAAAACAGTTACAGAGTTGAATGGCTGTAATAGGAGAAAACTGAGGATGGATCAACAAAATTGTAGTTACTCCATAATACTAACTTCATTGACAAGAGTGAAAAACAGGAAGCCTGTACAGAATACAAAAATTCCAAGACATGTATCCTGTTTGCAACAAGGCATTAAAGTAATACTGCAGAAAATGTGGCAAACAATTCACTTTTTGTCCTGAATACAAAGTGTTATGTTTGGAACAAATCTAATACAACACATTACTGAGTACTACTCTCCATATTTTCAAGCATAGTGGTGGCTACATCATGTTATGGGTATGCTTGTAATCGTTAAGGACTGGGTAGTTTTTCAGGATAAAAAAGAAACGGAAAGGGGCTTCCCGAGTGGTGTGGCAGTGCTAGAGGCGTCACTACAGACCCGGGTTCGATCCCGGGCTGTATCACAACAGACTGTGGTCGGGAGTCCCATAGGGCGGCCCACATTTGGCCCAGCGTCGTCCAGGTTAGGGGAGGGTTTGGCCGGGAGGGCTTTACTTGGCTCATCGCGCTCTAGCAACTCCTTGTGGCGGGCCGGGAGCCTGCAGGCTGACCTCGGTCGTCAGGTGAACAGTGTTTCCTCCGACACATTGGTGCGGCTGGCTTAAGCAGGCGGGTGTTAAGAAGCGCGGTTTGGTGGGTCATGTTTCGGAAGACGCATGACTCGACCTTCACCTCCCGAGGCCGTTGGGGAGTTGCAGCGATGATTGGGGGTAAAATATAAAAATAAACGGAATGGAGCTAAGCACAGGCAAATCCTAGAGGAAAACCTGGTTCAGTCTGTGTTCCACCAGACACTGGAAGATAAATTCACCTTTCAGCAGGACAACAACCTAAAACAAATGGCCATATATACACTGGAATAGCTTACCAAGAAGACAGTGAATGTTCCTGAGTGGCCAAGTTACAGTTTTGACTTAAATCTGCTTGAAAATCTATGACAATACCTGAGAATGGTTGTGCTGAAGGTGCCAAAAGGGCTTCTGCAAAGTATTGATTCAGGGGTTTGAATACTTATGTAAATTACATATTTCTATATTTCATTTTCAATAAATTAGCAAACATTTCTAAAAACATATTTTCACCATTTTGAATTCCGGCTGTAACACAACAAAATATGTAATAAGTCAAGGGGTATGAATACTTTCTGAAGGCACTGTATGTGCTAAGGCCCCTTGATACCTTATGGTTAAGTAGTGCATACACAAACATACTGTATGAGTCTTTAGATTTTTTCTGACCAAAGCCAGTTGCTTTGTTGGTATTTCTTAATTGTATGAAGCACACTAATGTCCTCCAGAAAGGCTGTTTTTGTATGCAGACAGAGCCTGAAGTCAGTGTGAATAAAATTAATATTTTTGATAACTCACTGTTTTGTCCTCAGAGATTTTTCAAACGGGTCTTATTTGTTTCTCCTTTTTGAACAGAGATAAAATTATTTATATTTAACTTTTGTAATTCCTGCCATAACTCGGCTCAGGATTAATGTTGTGCTCACACGTTGTAACAAGCCTTTACATCGTTGAGTGAACTCTGCCTGGGAATGTTATGTTTGGTATCCTTACAAGGATACCTCAAGTGGATCTGAGCATCTGTCAGTGAATGGTCCAGGATGACAAATAGTCATTGTTTTTAGACTGCTTGCCTTGCAAGCACGTGGAATAAGGGGAGAGGATAGTGAGTGGAGTATCTTCAATGAATAGTGAGTATCGATACCGTATCCAAACAAGAAGGCATGTCAAGTGGAAGGAAATGTAAACAACAATGCTAGAACAGAGATTCAACCCCACATGTTCCTAGGGCACATACTGTACGCTAATGTATCAAGTCAATTGGTGATGTGCATTCTAAAGAGCAGTGGGGGTCACTTATGGCAAATGTGTCATTTCAAATAAATAGATATCTCTAATGCCTGACGTGCTGACCCAGCCTGGTGCCTTCAAACAGGGGGAACGTGTTATGTAAGGCCTCAGGTGGTCGTGGGTAATTGTAGATCCATGTTTTGAAAGACATTCCACTGCTTGTGAAATCAAACTGGTTTCAACCCCTGTAGTAAGCCTTGAAGCACACATACTAAACGTCCCCAGCTCAGTGTTGGTAATGGAGAAAGGCTCAAAGTGTTCCAGCAAGAGTGTAGTGAGTGTTTGCAGCATTATTCAACCTGGTGTAGTGGTAGATCATGAGTCTGGATAATCAGATTAGTATAACAAGAATCACATCAGAGGCATTACGATGTTGAGACCAGTGCATGAATGTACTGTTAAAGGGAAAGAACATTTGAGTCATTGGGACAAAAGATGTCATGAAGAATAGAGAATTTATCATTGTAATTCTCTATCTCAGTGAAGGAGATGAAGAAGAGCTCAGTGTAAGCGCATGAGGATAGTGCTAGCCAGGTCCAGGGCTCAGAGAGTAAAAGTCAGACAGGATCACTGAAGGAGAGCTGACTGTTCTGTGCCAAAGCCGGGCTGTAAGCTCTCAATCAGATTTTCCAAAATCCTCTGGACAAGTTAACCAAGGCTTCAGACAGCGCATCTGTTGACACAATAAAGGTCAGATGTCCTTCTAACCACACCACTATTTGATTGCCACTTATGTAAGTGTTCATTAACAATTTGTATATGTTTTTAGTCTTATTTCTGAATAAAACCAAACTTCAAGGATACTATTTCCTCTGAAAACTCCTCAGCTGTATTCGTTTTCTGGCGTTAGTAGAACCAAGGGAATTCGTTGGTGTTCTTTCCCATTAATTGCTAAAGCTTTGTTGTGAGCAGTGTGTTTGTGGTCTGTGAATGTTGGTACAGCCCAGTTGCACATAGTTGGTACAGCCCAGTTGCGCTTGTGTGGCAAGCTGTCCCATCCCAGGGGCAGAGTTACACATACCTTGGATTTGCTTTCAATCAAGATTATGTTAATCTACCACAATCTCCTAAACAGGTGCTCAGCCCAGCACAGAGGCGTGTTCACTACAGGCTGCTTTCCAAAAGGGCACTTGATGTTAGTCAATATTTACCCTCACTTCTCCTTTGAATACATGTAGCTCATATTGTACTCTAAGGGACACACAATGGTGTATGAAGTTCGAGATTTTAGCTGCCCAGCTGGGTTGGTTGCTATATGTCCGTGAATAGATACAGTAACAGGGTAACTTTCTGAGGGTCCACCAGTGTTGATCACATGATTTGTCTACGGAGCCTTGACCTGATAAGAAAACACTTGCAGAGCCATATTGTGCAATAGCTCTCTACCTCACCTAAGTTGCTCTTCCAGAAGCTTTGCTTCTCAGTTTTCAGTATGAGATAAACAATTATCTTCAGCTGTACATATAGAGCACTAGTTACATATCATAAATTATATCATAACTTAAGCGATGCCTCTTTTGAATAAGACATTCATTTTTAAAACTAGGTCAAACAGCAATAGTGTTGAAATAGTGAACAATTCTCCAAAACACATATAGACAAAGAAGGATGTTTCTATAGCAGCTACAGTTGAAGTCGGAAGTTTACATACACCTTAGCCAACTACATTTAAACTCAGTTTTTCACAATTCCTGACATTTAATCCTAGTAAAAATTCCCTGTCTTAGGTCAGTTAGGGCGGCAGGTAGCTTAGTGGTTAAGAGCGTTGTGCCAGTAACCGAAAGGTCGCTGGTTCTAATCCCTGAGCCGACTAGGTGAAAAATCTGTCGATGTGCCCTTGAGCAAGGCACTTAACCCCAAATTGCTCCTGTAAATCGCTCTGGGTAAGAGCGTCTGCTAAATGGAAAAAAAAAACAACAACTTTATTTTAAGAATGTGAAATGTCAGAATAATAGTAGAGAGAATGATTTATTTCAGCTTTTATTTCTTTCATCACATTCCCAGTGGGTCAGAAGTTTACATACACTCAATTAGTATTTGGTAGCATTGCCTTTAAATTGTTTAACTTGGGTCAAACGTTTCGGGTAGCCTTCCCCAAGCTTCCCACAATAAGTTGGGTGAATTTTGGCCCATTCCTCCTGACAGAGCTGGTGTAACT